TTGCAATAAATAATAAATAGAATTGAACCAAGAAAGCATTAGTTATAAGTGAATGAGAGTGAATCTTCTTTGCAAAACACCGCTAAATCATGTCAACATGCGAATTAAATCAACTCCAGCTCAAAAACATTGTGTCTCTTTCGAGAAAATCAGCCAAGAGTTTCCAGATTTGTGACTAAAAACAGAGTGTCGGTCAAAAAGTTGCTAACGAGGTTTCTTAAGAAACTCTAGAAAGAAGAAACTCTTAGGAAGAAGAAAAAACTTTACCAAAAGATTAGAAAACCAAATTAACAGAATCATTGCTTTCTAATCCGGAAATTATTACTTTTTCTCGTCAGTGAGTGATGAATCAAAAAGTCAGTGAGTGATGAATCAAAACATGTGAAAGGGAAACATTTCTCGTTTCTCGTAAATTTCCCAAAGACATAAGAGCATAGGCTGGGAAAATGTTGATGTAAAGCCGAGAATTTGCAGCCAGGAATATGTTCAAATTTTGCGAGTAGACAAAAAAAGAAATGAATTGAACAATGGACGACACACGGCTTTTACTAATTCATTAGAGACCTCACCTGAAAAAGAAAAAAAAAAGGGCAGAAATTCGACCCCCGAGAACACCACAACCAGTTCGTTTTCCTCTTGCATTTGGAGGAAAGGAGAACTTTGGAACCTTGGAGTTGGAAGTTTTAGATATTCTTGCTAAAAAGAAGTTTTATCTATGGTCAAGTAAGCTTAAGCTTTATACAGATTTCTAGGTTCCATCTAGACGAGCTCTATCTATCTAGACGAGCCTAAAAGCTTTGCTTTACTAATAAAGTACCTAAGCTTTTGTTTGTTCCACGTTTTCTAGGGTAATTGATGACGCTGATAACGAATTTGATGTTTAAGTTGATGATTTAATTTAAAATTTCATTTAAAACGCGTGTCTTCAATTTTTTGAGTTATTGAAACTTGTCATGCCGACAGTTTCATGTTTTTAAATGCAAATGGGACACTTTGTATGCAAATGAGCCTGGCAGGATGCCAAGCCCCGCCCAGTTACCTCAAAATCTATATAAGCATTTCGAAAAATCAGAAAAATCAGAAAAATCCTCTTATTTATTTGCCACAGGAACAACTACCGACCTATTACCTATAATAGTATCGCCCCTTAACTGAATATCTTAATGCCTATGTGAAAGCTCAAGATAGAAGGACTGAAGACTTTGAAGAAGCACTTTGAAGAAGGACTAAGCCTGAGCCTGAGCGATCACAAAAGCTGGGAGGACTTTGAAGCGTTTCGCGATCGACGTGAGCATAAACTAAACGGATTCTTTGAAGAAGGACAAGAACATCAACGTGAATTGAACGAAGAATTGCACCAGGAATCGGACAAAGAAGCAAACGAGGGAACGGACAAGCCAAAGCTAAAGAAAAAAGCAATAGATGCGAAGACTAAACTCGATGCTGCAAAAATGGCTCGCAAAGTCTCCGTTCATGCCGCTGGCAGATTCTACAAAATTGATCGAGCTTGTGTCCAATGATATGTCAAAAAAATAAACGAGCTGAACAAAATGCACGGAAAAAGGAAGCGGCTCGATGGTGGCGGACGTGGTTGACCTCAAAAGAGATTGATGAAGCTTTGGTAATATGGATTCTTGAAAAAGGAGCGAAAAAAAGCGAGTGATCCGTCAAATAATCTGGAACGAAGCGGCTAATCGGTTTGCTGCAGAGGTTCGCTACTATTACAGGTAATACTACTATTCTCTTTAAAAGCAGACACAGTTGAAAAAATTCTGGTGAATTATTACCTGTAATAATATAAGAACTATTACCTGTAACGCGGTACTATTACAGGTATTACGATACGTGTCATTACTCCAGAAAACGTGGAAAAACCAAAATTGAGATCCCAACTTTATGAGTACCATCTTTGCTTTGCTTTTTTGCTCAGCTAAAGAGCTATTAGCTGGCCTTGAAGCCTTTTCAAAGCAAATATTTCAAAGTGCATTTTGAAGTATCAATTAGATGTCTACTGAAATGAGCTTGAGACAGACAGGTAAATATGAATGTTCATGTCGGAATGACTGAATCAAAACAGCAAATCAAACAGAAATCAAACAGAAAAAGAAACAGATGGACACAGAAACTTTCAACTCTCCTATTTCATCAACATTTTGTAGAATAAAGCTCAAATGAAATGAAATGAATCAAAATTTGTAATGTAAAAGGTATAGCTATGCAAAATATATAATATCTACGTGCGTGGAGGAATTTGAATAGAGAAACTGGGCAATGAAAGGTAGAGTTGTGAGCAGAGACGTTTAAGAGTAAAATACACTGACTAACATTTAATTTAGGAAGGCCAAAAAACGACGAAAGCAACAACTTATATCCCATTTGCACAAGAAATAGCACAAAAAGAGGGGAATCTCATCAAAATAATGCAAATCCAATTCTCCCTTGACAATCGTTTTGTGTTTTGAGCTGTGTGAAATTCTTGACGCCGATTAGAAGAAAAGAGAAAAGACTGAGTGAACAAATGTACCTATTCTCTCTCACATTTTGATTCGATTCAAAAAAGTAGAACAAAAAATTTGTATTTGTATAAGAAACAGGAAATTTGTAAAAAAAGTGAAAGTAAATAAGGTTTTGACTCATTTGAGTCAGTTGGAGAAATAATGAAATGATTGGAAAGTGTGAGAATAAGGACTGGTTTTATTAGGTACCCTAAAGTCTCGAGTATAAGTTCTGCCTTAATTTACATTCGCTTTAATTGCTTTGAATTTCTTTTTGTTGGGTTTTTATACATTTTTATTGTTATATAAGCTTTTATTATTGTTCTTGGAGCGCGGGATACTACAGGGTGACAGCCATTGCTATTTGTCACCATTGCTATTTGTTATGTGCATGGATACATCCAGACGATAGTGTTGAAGAAGACGCTGGAAAGCATCTCTTTCGACCGTCGGCGTGGACTTTGGCCGGATGAAGAGGCCAGGGAGGGATCCATAAGACTGAGCACCGGAGAGAAGCAGGGCGGACGCGCCGAGCCACGTCCGGAGCAACAAATAACAGCATAAAATTGCTATAACCCTCAATAAATTTACTTCTATTATTGTTCTTAAAAAGCAAAAAAGTCATGCTGCAGCGGGGTTCGAACCCTCGACACACCGCACCGGAGACAGCCGTCAATTTGCAAGCGAAAACCAAACAGAACTTATACTCGCGACTTTAGGGTAATACAATTGTCATTCTCTGCTTTTGTGCTAAGAGTTGTTGTGCTAAGAATAGATTTGGTAATACCTACCGTAAATACTGTAATATTAGGGACTTGCAAAAGAAACTGCGGATTACTTCCGAGGAAGAAAATTTTTGTTATTTCGAAGTGTGATGATCCGGTTTAAATTTAATTATATTGTATTATTATTGCTTATTTGTTTTAATGATTTTCACAACTATTGCTATCATTGAATGTTACATAATTTTAGGTACAAGATCAAAAGCTCGTGTTGCGGGTGTGTCTTCTCTATGACTTCAAAAGGAAGAAATCAGCATCGGAGTCGCGCTGGAATCTTTGTGAAGCATTTGGGGAAAACATTTTGAGTGGAAGGACTTGCCAGGAATGGTTTCTGACGTTTCAAGGAGAATCCATTTGCTCGCTGACAATGCCCGGGTATACACATCAAACTTGGCTCAAAACACCATAGAAGAATTAGGCTGGAAACTTGTGCCTCATCCGCCCTATTCGCCTGATATTGCTCCCTCAGATTACCACTTGTTCCTGTCTATGCAACACTCTCTTGCAAATCTTCAGGATTGTCAAATCTAAAGTTTAACAATCCTGAAGAAGTCGAAATTTGGGTGCAAGACTACTTTGTGTCGCGGGACCCCGAATTTTTCGAATCAGACATCCAAAGCAAAATCAAGCATCTACGCAAAAAATGTAAGAACATAGTTGATAATAATGGCAAATATCTTTTGGAATAAAGTTGTTTTCTTATTGGATTTTGGGTTCTTCGAATGTTGGTTATAATCCGCAGTTTCTTTTGCAAGTACCTAATACTTTTGGATCCAATAGGTCAAGAAGTTGAAAGAGATTTTCGAATAAATCTCAAATTCAAACTGAAATGAATCTAAAGATTTTAAATGGATCTAAAGCTTTTAAATGAGTCTAAAGCTTTTAAATGAATCTAAAGCTTTTAACAAAAGCAAAATTTGCTAAACAATAGTTTCAAGAAGTTCTCTTTTTCTATTACCAAAGAACATTGAAAATTCGCTACTCTTCTTGCTAATTATCATAGCTTTAGCCCTAAGAAAGTCCAAAGAACTTCACAAGCATTGAAAAAACGAACAAAAAAAGGCAATTACAAAATGAATTCATCTTAATAGATGAAATTTGTCCTTTGAATTCGTGAAAACAAAGTAAAATCGCTGTTTTTCTCCTAAAAGATGAAATCTTGCTTGAATGAGAGAAAACAAATCATTCCTCTTCTAAATTCTTTAAATGATCATAGAATACATTAACAATAGAGCAATTTTGTTCATTTTTTTTCAAAAAAAGACTTACTCAATAATATTTGCCTGGATTGAAGCCAATGGTTGTCTAGAGAGAAACGAGCTTAAGAAAGTAAACTTGTTTGTAAAGTAAAGTCTAAAGTAAAGTCTAAAGTAAAGTCTAAGAAAGTAAAGTCTAAAGTAAACTTGTTTGAATTCTTCTTTGAATTCTTTTCATTCTTATCTCTTTTATGCAAATTTCTAACTTTCCCAAATGTCAAGCTTTGTCATTGGTCATTTCGTGATCATTTCAAGAAGGGTTATCAGCAACAATTCAAATTAAGGCAATCAAGGGGTCATCAAGAGGGAATTCCCCTCCCATTTCACCCCTTTGTGCCGCCTTGTACCAATTCTTGATAAAACTTCAGACAGGCAAACAAACACAGACTTGAACTTGAATTCATTTCCAAACATTCCAAACTTTCCAAACTTTCCAAACTTGAAAGCTAAAGATTGAAACCAAGGAAATGCTGATATTTCTGCTTTTATTCGTTGCTGGAGTTCAGGTGAGTTAAAGGGGAAAACTGGGAACAATTTTGAACCAGCCAACTGGTGCAGTTCAGCCAACCAGCCAACTGGTTCAGCTCAGCCAACCAGCCAACTGGTTCAGCTCAGCCAACCAGCCAACTGGTTCAGTTCAGCCAACCAGCCAACTGGTTCAGCTCAGTCAACCAGCCAAACCAAGATCTTTCGTTTAGTCTCTTTTTTGGATTTTACTTTAAAATAGATACACGGAAGTGAATAGTTTTTAAGCATAAAGATATCGTGGGAGGGTATTTACTCTAAAAAAAGGGGAGATTTTGAGAGTGAAAAGAGCGGTGGACATTTTCAATATTAAAGCCGCTAAAGTACGCAGCCCGGCGGGAGTCCGGCAAATATTGGGAAACGAGATTTGGATAAGAGTTGGAATAGTAAAAATTTCGAATGATTTTCAGCGATCATTTCAGCGAATTGATCATTTCAAGGGGTTCAGTTAAGTGAGTTGGAGTGAGAAGAGAAGTCATTGAAGAAGTTAGGCAAAGAGGCGAATTTCCCTGCAAATTTTGTTATTTCCGTGTTCCGATTGAATCGAGTGCAAGGAAATTACGCGTTTTCTTTCACGAAAACACATCAAAAAAAAGTAGGGAATTCGTTTTTGTGTATTTCTTGGAGAGGAGATCGGAGACACAGAAAGCACGTCAAATTGCGGGAGTTTCAAAGAAATATTAGGCTTTTCAGAAGAAATATTAGGCTGTCTCTTTTCGTTTCTTTAAAAATAACAAATTCACCAATTCACCTACCGTAAATGCTGTAATAGTACCCCACCCCCAATAATGACGGTGCGGAGCGTTGCGTAGCTCTAACTTTGAACGAGTTTTTCTCGACACTGGTTTATGCTACAATGCGCGCGTAGGTATCAAAAAATAGCCCTGAATTTCAGCTATTTTTTGATACCTAAGCGCGCTTTGTAGCATAAACCAGTGTCGAGAAAACTAGACTAGACTAGACTAAAGCTCCAAAGCTAGACTACGCAACACTTCTTTGCCATTCTTTTCCAGAAGCTCACCTGTACAGTTGTTGTGCTAAGAATAGATTTGGTAATACCTACCGTAAATACTGGAATAGTACCCCACCCCCATAATGAAGGTGCGGAGTGTTGCGTAGTCTAGCTTTGAACGAGTTTTTCTCGACACTGGTTTATGCTACAATGCGCGCTTAGGTATCAAAAAATAGCCCTGAATTTCAGCTATTTTTTGATACCAAAGACGCATTTTTTGAAAGTACGGGTGCTTTGAAAAAAATGAAATACTAAAAAACTTTTGCGACTACGCGACTGTACGAGGCGGGTGGGGTACTATTACAGTATTTACGGTATGGTTTAATCTAAATCAAAAAGTGTTTATTGTTCAATACGAAAAACACGTTTATCACTCTCGAATTTGCTTGAAAGTGAGCCAAAATTGGCTTAAAAAGATCCAATTGGCGTAAATAGATGAGAAATTGAACAATAGACAATTTTTATTTAGAGAAAACCATAAGTAACGTGTTGCGATTCGAAAAATCCAAATTCTGGGTCGAAATCTTACCCAAACTGTTAAATCTTTTAACCTAGAAACAACAATTCTAAATGATTTGCCAAAACGAAAGGAATAACAAAGTGGTTCGCGGCTGGTTTGGATTGACGTTTATAGAGAGAAGAATTTAGATTTGTAATAACTTTATCGATGGTATGAAAGACACGGGTCCGAAAGACCAAGAAAGTGAAAAGAACCCAGAAAAGTATAAAAAAACAGGGAACGAAGATAAAACAAAGTTTAAAAGGAAACAGGGAACGAGGGGTGGGAACAATACAAGGAGGAGAGAAATTTTAACAATAAACAGAATTTTACAACAATAAACAACAACAATAAACATAATTTTACAACAATAAACAGAATTTTATAACGGGATAGAGGAAGGGAAACATATACGCGCAGAATACACGGCGAAAACGCCGCACAGAGCGACGATTCTTCTAAAGAATGAATTTTAAAGGGATGGGACTTTGTTTTATGGGGGAAAGGGAGACGCCATCTCGAGTACGGTAGCTTAGGTGTATTTTAGAATTTAGCGTTGGAAAGTTGCCAACCCGTACTCGAACTGCGGGAATTCGGATTTTACTCATAGTTTATTCGTGGATTTGTTATTTTTCAACAGAAGGATTGAAAAGAAATGAAAACATTTCTGGATATCTCAACACTTATGTTAGAGAACTCTTTTCTAATGAATCCAAACAAAATTTCAGATCAACGCCTCGCCAATTGAGCAAATTGAGGGTTTGCGATCGAGGTAATATGGAATTTGTCGAAATAACTTTTAGTCTTTGGAAGTAATTAGGTACTACATAGTTTGAAAATGAAAAGAAACTAGATTGTGATAAGAGAATTGCTCGGTGCAAAGCTTTTTACCGAAAGCAAAGACCGAAAGGCTTGAAAGAGATCGAAAAGTTAGCAATTTGCAAGCTTTGATGACAAAACAAGGTTTTGGATAAGTTTTCTTGCAGATGTAGTTGCAATTTTGCGAATCTTGCAGATGTAGTTTTAAAATGGCTTCCTTGTAGTTGGCTTCCTTGTAAACAAACTGTACAGTAGCGTTTACTTGGTAAAACAGTGACCAAACTTTTCAAACAAATGGTTTAGCTATGAACCGACAGATGGCTCAATCCGACTCGAGTGGAAAAGTCGATCACATAGAGCAGGTATCATTTTGAAAGATTGACAAAATAATGTTGGAATTGATGACTTTGAAATTTTCTGAAGAAGGACAATCTTCAAAAAGCTCATTATTGTTTTTGATCGATTTACCTTATGGCGAAAGTTCGAGACGAAATCTCAGATTGTTGATTTCTTGATATGTACGTTCATAAAATTAATTATTGGGTTGGTGAATTGAAAACTGCGGGCTATTGTCATATGTGACAGTTTGAGCACTTTCTTCAAAAGAAACCCATTTTGGTGTCAATGGAGAAGTTGTAGAGAATCAAAAATCAAGCTTATATCCAAATTTTCAGAACCATTCAAAAACCGCTTTTGAAGAAATGCCAAATTTACGAATTTTCACAAAACTTCCATCTTAAACGAAACTACCGAGTGTATCTTTTTGGAAACTTGGCTATAAGCCTAATTTTTGATTCTCTACAACTTTTCTATTGACACCAAAATGGGTTTCTTTTGAAGAAAGTGCTCAAACTGGGAGTCCAGTCCTCGATTCTCAAAGTCCGGTCCTCGCGTGATCACTCGTCGTCTGGCGCAGAGCTTTTACATAACCCCCTTCCCTCTGTCATCATCAAATCTCCTTCCCTTTGCTAAATAATCTGTCGGCTCCGTGGACATTGACTTCTCGACAAAACAAAGCTAATCTCAATCTATTGGGTTAGTGAATTGAAAACTGCCGGCTATTGTCATATGTGACAGTTTGAGCACTTTCTTCAAAAGAAACCCATTTTGGTGTCAATGGAAAAGTTGTAGAGAATCAAAAATCAAGCTTATATCCAAATTTTCAGAACGATACAAAAACTGGTTTTCAAGAAATGCCAAATTTACGAATTTTCACAAAACTTGCAACAAAACTTGCATTTTAAGCGAAACTACTAAGTGTATCTTTTTGGAAATTTGTCTATAAGCCTAATTTTTGATTCTCTACAACTTTTCTATTGACACCAAAATGGGTTTCTTTTGAAGAAAGTGCTCAAACTGGAAACTGGAAATTATTATTAACCGACAAATGATAAGTACAGAGATTTTCAACAAAATAAAGTTGTTGTTGTTGAAAGTTTGCAAAAAAGTCTACTGAAAAGTGGCTTTGGCTTTGGTTTGCTGTTACAGCTAATTGTAAGCAAACTTTGAGTTAAATACGGTAACTTATAGCTAAATTTATAGCTAAGCTTAAACAGTCAGAGAAAGCTTTTGTCATCTATTCGGCTAGCGGGTTTGTTTTAGAGAATTTACAAGATCTACAGTACTGGACAATGAAATATGATATTTGAAAAACGATCGTCACTTTCGCGCGTCTATAACTCCCTTGTTTTTGAGTTTAAACTATTAGTGTTATACATTTTCTGAAAGCTCTTTTCAAGGGCTACACAATGATAATATTCATATTTAGAAATACGGTAAAGACAAGAGAGTTACAGACGCGCGAAAGTGACGATCTTTTTTCAAATATGATATTTCATTGTCCGGTAGTGTAACTATAAGCTAACTTAACTTATAGCTAAGGATTTAAAGAGTACACGTTTTTAGATTTCCCCTATTTGATTCGCTATCGTGTGGTTGGTGTTGGGGAATGGACGTATCAAAGAAGTCGTGGAAACTCTCAGAAACTTCAAATTCCGAACCTTCGAAACAATGAGCAAGTTGAGGTTCAGGTGGGGATACAGAAACAAAGCAAAGTTTGAAAGCAAAGCTCCAAAAACACAACTTGACTAGCCGCTAAACACATCTAATTCTCATACACACATGTTTCTATAAGAATAAGTTCATTTCAACTCTTCGCTTTGGAACAGATGGTTGTTCTGTTCAGAAAGAGAAGCAAAATTCCCACATTTCTGGGCCATTATTACCGCGATTAAGACGTAAAAATTCATGGAAAAGAAAGAAAGAAAGAAAAGAAAAGAAAGAAAGAAAGAAAGAAAGACAAAAAAGAAAAGGCAAAAAGTTAGAGGGAAAGATTTGCGCTAGTTGAGAGCTCAGAAAATTGTAATTTAATGGAAATTTGTAGATCAAATTTGATGTGATTGCAATTGTAATAGATTGCAATAGATTTTGATTGTAATAGATTGCAAAACAACTTGAAATTTTCTATTTTCAGAAAAATTGAATTAGCTTGAATTAGCTCTCAAGAAAAGTCATGTGATGGATGATTTACTGAGATTTGATGAGTTTACGGCAGAGTTTCGTTTTTAAAATGACAAGCTATCAAAATAGAATAGTAGGATAAGTCTAAAACACAATTTATTCGTCAGTAAGCCTTGGTGAGCTTGGTGTAAGCCTTGGTGACCTTGATGAGCTTGGTGTAAGCCTTGGAGACCTTGGTGTAAGCCTTGGTGATCTTGGTGTAAGCCTTGGTGACCTTGGTGACTTTGGTATAAGCCTTGGTGAGCTTGGTGTAAGCCTTGGTGACATCTGATTTTAAAAATCAGCGTCATTTTCTACCTGAGAAATGGGAAATTGAGAAAATCAGCAAGACAATTGAGAAAAGCTCAAAAATTACTCAAACAGACTTCAAGCAGATCATTCAATTTTCAAATTCCATTCCACAAAAGAAATGGGAATAAATCAAGCCAATTGAATGAAGAAAAGGCTGGTTGTTGTTATGTTTTCAGGTGCGAACCGACGAAAGAACCAACGATCATTGGAGTCAATCTCTTCTCATTACCTTTCAAAAAAAGGTTTGTAAAGAAAAAAAACGGGTGAGCAATGGGGTGATTTCTCTGCAAAAGCTACTGGATTCGATTTGGGTAGTATTTTTTGGAGTTGAAAACGGGAATTAGGATGGATGTTGAATGGTTGTCGAGGTAGTCTAATTGACTTTTGATGGTTAAACGTGTCACTGAAGGAAAAGATGTTTTTGAAAACAGTAAAAGCGTGATTGACTAAGAAGATTACGATTACGATTACGATTACGAGTACAACGGATTTATTAGGCTTTTCAGAAAGTCTTTTGGTTCCTTTTCATACTTCGGTTTAAAAAATAACAAAATCCTTTAAATTAACCGATTCAAATCCATCATTCAAATTGGTTTTAAACGGAAGTAAAGAAACGAAAAGACTTTCTAGGCAGTCTAATAGCTTTCAGATCAAAATCCTTACGTTTAAAATTTAGCTGACACTTGACGGACCTCTAGCCGACGATACCCTGATCCCTCCATTGGACTTCAAGGCAACCATCAAAGATTCTCGTTCCGTCAAGCTCCAATGGCATCCCGCCGATCAAAATCCTGGTTTATTTAAATATAAACTCAAAATGAAGCTTCCTCTGATTTCCATAATTTCCCAAAAGGGGATTTATGAATCGAGAAATTGAGGAGAAATTGAGCTTCAAAGAAATCCGAGCGCCGTTCAGAGAGTCGGATTTCTGGGAGTGATTGAGGGTGGATGTGATCTTTACCCATTTATAGAATAAGAATAATTTAGGAATGCTAAACGTTGATGCTATCCCCCAAAAAGCTTTTTGATTTTCAGAGATCTTCTACTTGGTTCACGTCAAACAAGTGACTTCGAAAAAAGGCGTATCACTGCACAGGCAACAGGTAGAACTTTAAGAAGATTCAATTTGGAAAATAAGTATATTAGAAAGTAAATATATTAGAAAAGATTGATGTTTGCAAAAATTGACAAGTTTTTGGTGAAAATTTCATTGAAAAACTTTTTTTATTCGGGTTTTTAGATAGCGTTCAAACATGCAAACCCTAATTAAACCGCCTACATTCCTTGGACCAAATGATTTTTGAAAAAACAGTGTTAGGCTTTAAAGATCTGGCACTTATGCTTTGAATTCTCATTTGGAAAAATGGGGAATCCAATTTTCGTCGATTTGGAGCCCCTTTCAGCCTTTCAATACTTCTATGCAAAAATGTGAGTAATAGAAAATGGAGAAAGATTCAGAAAGGAGAAAAATGTGATTGGATTTGAAGCACATAAATTAGATGATTGTGTGAGAAAAAGGGAGAATTGGGAAGTGGAAAGATGTGAAGGTTTAAAGATTTGTAAGAATGAGATGTTTGGGTCAAAGAAGGTCAAAGAAGGCCAAAGAAGGCAAACAATAATGATGTTTTAAAGCCAAAATTAGCCAAAGAATCCATTAAGTATATTGAATTGAAAACCTTTTGATTACTCCATACAGTTAGACTAGAAATCTATTTCTCCTAAAGCAAAGTATGGCTACTACACCTTCAGAAACTAATCAACATCCCATGGGAGAGTTTTACCCACTAAGCTGTCCAGAAATCTTTTCGCTTCCTTTTCGCACTTCCGTTTAAAACCAACAAATGCACCAATTGAGGTAGGGTTTGTTTCATTCGAAAGACCACTTATTTCTCTGCAAAATAACACTAAAACGAGTTTAAAATTATTTATGTCTGGACTTATTTGAGAGCCTGAAGTCGGGTAGTCAAAAAGGAGCGACGGCTTGATGGTGCGGACACTTTAGCTTTAAAAAAGACCCACTTTAGCTAAGGAAACCTATCTTGATGTCAATAGATAAAAGATAGAGCACAAAAAGTTAGTTATATAGCCAAATTTTTAGAGAAATTGATTCAACCGACTTCTTCGTAGGGGCTTTTATAGATTTTTACGAAAAACACTCTCGAATTTGCAACGAATCTCGAAAAACAGGCTTATCACTCTCGAATTTGGTTGAAAGTGAACCGAAATTGACTTAAAATAATGGAAATTGAACAATAAAGACTTTTTTATTTAAAGCAAGCCATAAGTTTATTGGTGAATTTGTTATTTTTAAACGGAAGTATGAAAAGAGACGAAAAGACTTTCTGGAAAGCCTAATACAAACATCATCTTGATGCTAGTCCTCTACGTTACGTTACGACGTTCGTAGCGGATCAACAACAAAATTTTTGATAAGATCAACATAGGTATTTGCTTTAAAAACTTGTAAAAATCTCATATAGTGATCTCATATAGTGATTCTGAAGGGATCTCCCTTAAAGAGTCGACTTATTCGATCCCTTCCCCTTTCTCTTCAACGATATTCCCTTCTCTCAATTATTCATTCTCTCAAGAACTCCTCGTAGCGTGGCCAAGAAGTTTACGCAAATTGCTGTCTTATAAATTGCTCGGGGGGAAAAAAGAAAGAAAAAGGCATGAATTTGATAAATAATTCACTGGTTTGAATTTCTCCAGATTTCCAAGAGATGGAGAGCTATTTTCATACTTGAAATCTAGTCTACCGCCCACGAGCGCAAAGAAATAGGCAAAGAAATAGGCAAAGAATAAAGGCCCATTTGCAAGGGCACAATTATGTGAACAAATAACGCAAAAACAACGGTAATCATTAAAAGAAAGAGCCCAAGAAATGGGAATCCCATTAAAATGGCCTAAAATCCCATTAAAATGGCCTAGGTCTAGGGCTAACACAGGTCTAGGTCTAATTCTAGATCTAGGTCTAACACAGGTCTAGGTCTAATTCTAGATCTAGGTCTAACACAGGTCTAGGTCTAATTCTAGATCTAGGTCTAACACAGGTCTAGGTCTAATTCTAGATCTAGGTCTAACACAGGTCTAGGTCTAATTCTAGGTCTAACACAACGCACATTTAAAATATCACTTTTCGACTGAAATTTGGTATCCTTTTCAGTCAAAAAATCTAATATCCTTGCCTCTTTTTTTCGCTTTTTTCACTCACCCACGCGAATTCTCTTTTTTTAGGCTTTTTTAGGATCCAAAAGGCTTTTTCAAACCTAAACAGAGAAATTTTAAATAGTCAGAAAGCTTTTAGAGTTTTTTTTGCATAAAGAAGACTGCATAAAGAAGACTTTTTATGCATAAAGAAGACTGCAAAAAATGCCAACGACCAAAAAAGAAAAAAGATTGCAATTTGCTAAAGACAAAGTAACCAATTTCACCAATTTCAAGTAACCAATTGAATTTCTTTTAAATTATTGGAAAAGTTAAAGAACTAAAGCTGCTTCAAGTTCAATTTTACGTCACTTTATTCGCAAGGATTTTAGATCAAAACAGCGGCCACGAGCTTCGAATTGGGCGGGCTTGAGGCAGGCGCTCGTTACGAGTTAGCGGTGAGAAGTGCTCTCCCAGAAAGGATCTCACAAACAGCATCAGTCGTCGAAATCAAATTACCCTACGGTAAGTGTAGGAAGAAAACACACGCAACTTTGACTTTCGTTCGGTTTTTGGGGATGGCCAAGCCTTGGAAACATTTCTGGGGGATGGCCAAGCCTTGGAAACATTTCTGGGGGCCAACCCTTGGAAACATTTCTGGGGGATGGCCAAGCCTTGGAAATATTTCTAGGGGATGGCTAAGCCTTGGAAACATTTTTGGGGATGGCCTTTCAGCCAGTTTCCTGTGTCGGTATCCCGATCCTTTCCTTTTCTCCCATAAATGGAGCTTCCGTGTCGATTCCCCTAGGCTTCCCATCCTAATCTTGTTTTCCTTTGCCTACCATTGCTCTTCACCTTGTATTCGGAATTGAAAACAAGATCTAAGGGGATCTAAGGAACATTCTTTAACTTGTGACTTGAGAAATGAAAGAAATAAAGAGCTCAGCCAAGAAATGACTTGAGTTTTTTGTGAAAAGTTTAAGAAAAGAATAAGATCCGGTCAAAACAAGATCCGTGAACTTACAGGAAAGTCTTTGTTTACAAGAAAATGCGGTACTTTCCTATAATATCTCATAGAAATCTCATAGAAAGGTGATGAACAGTTTAAAGATCTCGAATTGATCCCGAATTGACCCGGAATGGGCCCGAATTGACCCGGAATGAGCCCGAATGGACCCGGAATGGGCCCGAATGAAAGTCCAAAAGGTTTGAAAGTTCCAAGTCTTCGAAAAAGCTCAAATTCATCAATATAGTCTTCTTGGCAATAGTTTTTATACATTTCAGACTTTGTTGTATGCATATTGTATGCAAACTTTGTTGTAATTAGCATAGGTGTAAGTAGTGGCTATAACAGGGAAGTACCAAAAAGGCATTTACAGCAAAAGTCTGAAAACCGCTAGTTAAAAACCGAATTCAATCTTTTGAAGGCTCAACTTTCTAGGTTTTAACCAATCTTTAACCAATCAATCATCAACCAATTTAACCAATCAACACCAACCAATATAACCAATATAACCAATCAACACCAACCAATATAACCAATCAACACCAACCAATATAACCAATCAATCACCAACCAACCAACCAACCAACCAACCAACCAATCAACCAACCAACCAACCACTAGTGATCATTATTTCTAGAAAAACCCCTGGATACACTTTGGCACATTCATTAGATCATTCCAAATTTTCAAAATGTTTTTCCCCTTTCTTTCCCTTTCTTTTCTAAAATTCGTTAATGGGATAAGTGGAATACGTTGCGTGCTGGGTGCCTATCCGATTGGCCTCTCTTAGCAAATTTTTTAGGCACTCACACAAATTGGCTCTCTCAGGAATGTAGGAATTGAGAAGAGAACTTGGCTAAGTTTTGCACATAAAAAGAAATCTAGAGGTTTTCTCTTTTGGATTCTCGGAGCTAAAAGAGCGATAATTAGATAGAACTGACCTTTTTCCCCCAACAAAAAACGTGTTAAGGGTTTCTGAAAGAAAAGCCCGAACGTGTTGCGATTCTAAGGTTTATTTACCTGCTTTGAAAGTGAATCTGAAAGTGAAAAAAGTTTCGATTTTTTCTGGAACTAAAATTTTGAAAACTCTAGGTGAAACTTTGGGAGTGGGACAAATAGCCTCCGTTGTCCATTTGATCTTTCAGATCGAATACTATAGGTAAAGAGGCTAAAAAGAGGTCAAAAGGTGGTGTCCATCCATCCGTCCCAGCCATATTTACCCCTCGAATTACGTATTCTTTCCCCTACACCCAAACACAAATATCATCGGTTCTTGCCAAAAAGAGCCTTTGAAAAATGTTGCGAAAAAACATTGACCGTGAGAATGGGGGAATTCACTGAGAAAATGATCTCTCGAACTTGTCAAGGCCAAAAAGTGTCTGTGGAGGAGATATTCTTGGGAGTGGGACAAATGCAGCCTTTTTTTGCGCACCCGGACATTTGCGCACCTTTTTTTCCGCACCTTGCCCATTAGCGCACCTTTTTTCGCGTTTTAAGCTCTAAAGCTCTAAAAAGCTAATATTAACCAATTTCTATTCCAAAAGTTGTTTTTCTAGGTAATTTTAGGGCGTAGAATCGAAATTTTGACATATCAGAGCTTGTGGAAGCGAACGGACGGAGTTATACAACGAGAAAAATCAACAATTTTGTAATTTGACCATTTTTGTAATTTGATCTAGCCATTTTGTCTTTCAAATTGGTTCCACAAGCTCTGATATGTCAAAATTTCGAATTCTACGCCCTAAAATTACCTAGAAAAACAACTTTTGGAATAGAAATTGGTTAATATTAGCTTTTTAGAGCTTTTTAAAGGTGCGCTAATGGGTTTTAAAGGTGCGCTAATTTTAAAGGTGCGCTAACGAAAAAAGGTGCGCTAATGGGCTAAGTGCGGAAAAAAAGGTGCGCAAATGTCCGGGTGCGCAAAAAAAAAGGTCGCATTTGTCCCACTCCCGAAACTTTAGATGATGAGTTCTTTGAAATCGGCAACTTGATGATCGCCTCGAAATTCATGAGTGACGGGAGGGGAACGGTGAATCTCACATGGACTGTCCCTCATCAAATGAAACACAGAATAACAGGTAGGGAAGATACGGAACTTTAAAGGGAGCGACTGATTCAATTGTTAAACTAGATTTAGTGTAGACGTTGCACCCTAAATAATAAGATCAAATCATGAGATTCTATGAGTCAGTGCGCAAAGTGATAGAGAAAAGCTTGTGAAAAAAAAGGTGCTTTGTGAGTCCATCTCTGGATATTGGCCATAAGGGAGTGACTGATTCAATTGTTACGTATGAGTTGGTGAGAGAAAAGAAAGAAAATATCGGTGTTTATCTATGTGAGGAAGAAACGAGAATATGGGGACGCACATCGGCGCGAAATAAGGCAAAAACACGACGCACACCGGCGCGAAATAAGGCAAAAATGTGTTTTCTATAGGATTTTTCTGGGAGTACCGTTTTTAGATGCGGAAAATTGTGCTGATTCCGAATCTGAAGGAATTTTTCAAATTCCTCTGACAGAAATTTTTAAAATTGAGTTTTAGCGGTTTTTTTGGTCATTTTGTATGGGAAATTTTGTGATACCCTGCAGTTTGGAGCTCGTAACTCGACAACGAGGGTCTAGAACCAAAAACGAGGGGATAAGTTTTATTCTAGAGACCCTTACGAACATTTTGATGCAAAAATCATCAAATTTGCTCAACTCTACAAAAAGTTATAACATCTTTTTTAGCCAACTTGCAGCTCATTTTTAAGTACCTTAAACTTATCAGCTTAAAAAGTTTTAATAAGATTTAGATAGCTTAGAACGTCAACCTTCAGAAACTATTTGTTTTATCAAAAGTTATTAACAAAAACCTATCTAAAATGGTCAAAAACTCGCCGCCCTTCTTGTAAATAATCAAAAAAGAAGTAAAGCATTGTTCTGAAAACTAAAGTTTAATAAGTTAACATTTAGATTGGATTATAACAATGCTATGCTAGTTATAGGGAAGTCTAAAGCCTTAACTTTTTACAGCTTTTTTGACTGACTCAGCAGCTTTGAGGCGTTCCATTTTGAAAACAAGGAAGTCTCAGAATCGTTGCAAAACTTGACATTTTCTTAAAAGGATCAACATTTCTTGTCAAAATGTCACTTTTGATTTTCAGCCTATGATGTGAAGTACACAGAAAAGAACGCGAATCGGTGGAGAAAAGTGAATTTCGGAGGAGAGAGACCAAAAGCCACACTTCACGATTTGACTGGGTATTTCGTAAAGAAATTTCGTAAATTTGTTGTTGATAAAGAGTCAAATGATTGATGAATCGAATTCTTAGACGTTCTCTTTTAGTGACACGGAATACCAATTGGAAATCAAGACAACATTGGACAATGGACATAACAGCGAGACAACCCATTTCACTTTCCGAACTCCGAGGGGTGAATGAGTTTTTTTTTTGAAAAGTCTAGAGGATTCATCAATCGTTTTTACGATTCTTTTTACATATCCTGGTAGAACTGTGCTCCCATTTTTTCCATCAAAATTACAGAAAAACCCTTTCCCTAGCCAATCCCCTGTGAATTCTATCATATTAGACAAAAAAATTGATTTTTCTGCAAGATTTCACAAAAAAATAGCCAAGATAAAGGCAAAAAAAGGCAAAAAAAAAAGCTGTGCCCTATTAGGAGCTCGTTAGTGAATGGAAAAGGCAAAAAATGAGGGGAGTAGAACGATGTCTGAAGAAATGAAGAACATTCCTTCATCTTGTTCAATTTCTGGTGTTCCAATTAGTTCCTCAAGCAAAGCACAACTCAAAAATTGCAAAAGAAAATGATCTATGAAATCATTGGAGAATGTCTATTGGAGAATACATTCGAAAATTCACCAATTACTCGATTCAGTTGAAACAAATCCAATTGAAAAAGTCGATGTGCTTTTCTCGCACGATGTGAACACTGTGCAAGTACAATGGATCTTGAAAGAGTAATAGTAATTGTTAAAAAAAGAGTGCGACGAAAATTTCAGAGACATGGATCTTTCCCAGGTGATCGGATATGATGTGTATTTGTCTGATAATAAGGTAAAGTTTTGAGTTGTTATTGACATTGACAATGACAAATAATATCAGGACGCTCCCGCTCATACTTGGCAAAGGATGCACGTGGACAATCCTGAAGGCTCATTGGCGATTCCAGGTAAACAAAAAGGCTGTTGTCCAGGCCAGTAAGGCCTGGGAAACTTGGACGAAGTGGCCAGTAAGGCCAGGCCAACATGTTCCTGAAAAAGGGTTTAGTTTGGTAAATTAATTTTTTACCTTGGGAGTCAACGTGTGCTCTGTCTTCCTTTTTGGTGCCTTCTTTCTTGCCATCAAAGTAAGCCTTTGTGGCTCAGTGGTAGAGTCTCTGCCGCCTCGAGCCGAAGATCAAGGGTTCGGTTCCTTCGAACGCTTTCTTTGCCGAATTCTTTTGAAAAGCCAAAAAGCCAAAAAGCCAAAAAGCCAAAAAGTCAAAAAGTCAAAAGGTTAAAAGTGAAAAAGGGAAAAATAAAAAGAGATGGGAAAGGGGAAAATTCTGTAAAGTGTAAAGAATCCCCACAGAAATCAAAACTTTTCACGGTTGAGCTATGCATTGCTTTTTGTGAAGAACTAAATTACAAGCAAAAACCAATTTGACGCTAATACATTAGGGTTGGGCCACTGGAAAATTTCCATATATAGTAATTTGATTTCAATATTCAACTTTTGTTGGTGTAGACTTCTTTCTTTACTCTATCGACTGTTTCCAATTTTGTAAATTAACAAAATTAAACAAAGATAACATAACAATAACACAACAAATAGGTAACACTTAACTTAACAAAATGACTGGCTTATCCAGCTTTTCTTTATGTTTTCTTGAGCAAAAGACAAGTCAAAGCATCGATTTGTTGAGATTTTTCCAAAGAAAAAGAAAAAAATTCCGGCTTTTCTTATTTTTGGCTTTATTAAGTGCAAATTATATGCAAATTTCCTAGTGGCTCCACCAATTTTACCGTATTTACCAATTTAGCACTTTGTTGGGTATAAAGGCAAAAATGTTCCAAATTTTCCCACTGTCAGGTCTCCGCTCTCTATCAACCTACTTTGTGAGGATCGATGTTCGCACCAGAGATGGCAAAACCGTGCGATCGCCTCCCATTTACAAATTCACTACAATCGGTAAAACAAAGACCCAAAATCCAGTCCAAATCCCAATCCGGCTTCAGATTGGCGTCATATCATTCACCATCCATTCCCTCGCACTGACCCATTCATGCACCGGAAATTATGAATTCTCACGAATATTCACTTTCACTATTTCCCCCAAAAAAAATCATATTACTGCACTGTACATAATAAAATCTTTTCACAGCACACAATACTGATTCCATTTAAAAAGGCACCGAAAACAGCGACGATAATACGGCAAATATGCTTTCCTATATGAATGTGGCGCCCGGAGAAGTGATCTTATCGTGGACTTTCCCTGAATATCTCAGGCGTCTGGTGAAAGGTAATTGAAGAAGGGTTTTGGAGAAAAATGGTGAAAAATATGAACCCAAAATAGGTTCACTTTTACTCTACACTCATCACAAAGAGGATCCACAAGAAAAATGGGCACGAGTCGACATTGAAGGAGGAAATGGGGTGGGTTAGTTGGATGAGCCAAGTTAAACCAGTAACTTTTTAGAAATCCGTTCATTTACAACAATTGCATATGGGAAGAACGTATCAAGTTAGAATCATTCCACGCTTACACGATGATCGATATGCACCACAATTCGCGGAAACCCTAGAAATGCATGTTGATGCTGGTAAACAATTTTGACAGACATTAGATGGTTAATTATAAGGTCTGCAAAACATCTAAATTATCTTATTTTAGTGACAATGCGAACTGGCGGTAGTGGACCACGAGACCCACTTCAAATGAGTGCCGCTTTGCCACCCCGCAGAAGAGCCCGATATTTCTAAAGTTATCCGTCGATAAAGAGTAATTTATTTCGTTTATACCGAACACGTACAAAATATGCGAAAATGCTTGAAAAATAAAACATCACAATCTGAATGGATTCCTTTTTTGCTCGTCTTGACTCCAAGGTTTCGTCTCGATACATAAATTCTCGATTGCATCTTGTAGCTCTTCGGTGGCTCTGTATGTCACGGGTTTCAAGAAGGTGCTTTGCTAAAAAAATCATTTCTAAGTGAGTTAATATTCTCTGAAAAATTGTACTCTATCCAAAACTCAAAGCTACATTTTTCGAATTTTCGCTTAAAAAGTATGATACTTGGTATGATACTTTTGGTTATCATACATATAAAATTGGTTCTTTTTCCCATTATTATGGGTTTCTTCTTAACAACATTTGGGTAATAGGGGTAACTAAGGGTAAAAATTTCCTCCGTTGTGTTATAATTCATTATTCGTGTCAAATAAACATACTTTTTTTATACTATAAAATATTACCTCAAAACTGATTCCGCCTTTCTTGAGTGATTTTCGCCTTTTCTCGAACGTTGATAGCCGGCGATTTGTTGGATCATCGGTGATTTTGAAGAAATCGAATGAATTGTTCTTCACCTCTTCAAAGACTTCTTGTGAATTCTAAAATCAATATGAAAGTAGAAGTTGACAAGGAAATAAAGTTAAAATCACTACCTCCTTTTCATCAAATGCCGTAGATGATGAAGTAGTCTGAGTCGGATCACAAACATTCGTCGTTTCCTAAAAATAAAAAGTTACTGGAAAAATAATGTCTAAACTTTGCAACTTTAATTTATAGCTTCAAGATAAACATAAAGCTTCTTACTAAGCAAACGACTCACAGGTGAAGAAGATCGAATGGGACGGAATTGAAATTGCGAAGTTTCCGGAAGAATAGTCGGCTCGAGTTTCACATGCATATTGTCGGGCAGTAAAGGTTCCGTGATCACTTCTACTTCATCTTCTGGTTCCGATTTGTCAAATGGAGTTTCTTTGTTGGTTGATTCTTCTTTTCTTTTCCGCTGACTCGTTAATCCAGTTGTTTTTGGCGTTTGATTGGTGAACTTGCGAGGTGTCCCCTTTGGAGTTTTTGGGCCACTAAAACAAACCATTAAAGCCAGAAAATTCTTCAATTTACCTTCCATATGATGCCGGAGGAGTTGAAAGAGATTTGCGGACAGATGCTGTAAGCAGAGAAGGTCGTCTATAATTTGAGTCGTCTATAATTTGAGTTACGTGATGAATAATATCATAAGAGTAAAATTGTAATTCCTTAATCCTAAATAAACCAATTTATTAAACGTTTAAAACAAAACCTATTTTGTGTGATTGTTTCCGTTACAGAAGCAGTTTTCTGGGGAGGAAGAGGGCGAATCCTAACAATTAAAGATATGATTACATTTTAAAAACGCTTACGGCGAGAGAAGTTTCAATTTTTGATCAAGTTTTTCAATCAATTTTTCTGGCTGCGCCGAGTTTTTACGTGCCAATGACAACACTTGCTGAAATACACAAATCATTAGACAAGATAAAACATTGTTTCTTAAAAAAAAAAAATCAGATTTTTGCCTAAACACTTACTTCAGCTTCTTTTCGTTTCCCATCGTCTACTAATCCACCCATCCAAAGCTCGTAAAACATCGCTAATTTTCGAAAACGATTCTAAAAACTTGATCTCACACAAAACATAAAAGAAAACTCACATTATCATATAAAGTCTTCATCACTGAATTCACATTCATTGTTTTTGAATACCGTCCCTAAAATAAAAGCGTTTATACAGTCAATTTTAAGAAAAACTAACCAGCAGATAGTAGACAAATGCCATTTTTGAGTCATCCGCGTATTTCGGATTCTTTCCGTACATTGTGATAAAGACATTTGCCGATTTCTTGATGACATCTGGGCACGATAATCCAAAGAACTGTTCGTGAAGTGCTAGTAATCTAAAAATATACTTTCATGCTATGCAAAATTATATAGCCTATGAATTAAGCTAAAGAAAGATTTCTATAAAAAAAGAAACAAACTCACTCAGCAAAGTAGTGAAAGTGCTCATCACTTGGCCCAGAATCGATCCGTTTGACGCAATCACTAAAAAGATAACATTGAACAAAAGTTTAAAAAAAAGAAATCACAAACCTCGCGAAAAAAGTAAGACCAGCCGAGGTCATGTTGCAGTAATCGTTGAGTCGATCGCTGATATTTCGATCTTTTTGTCGGAAAACTAAAATGTTGTTAGAAAATTAAAGTTGGAAAATTAAAATTGGAAAATTAAAGTTTTTAACAAATCAAAACACATTAAATAACAACTTCAAATCATTAAAAGTCAGCTGTGAATGATAGAGTCCAACTGCTGAAGCTCTTTAAACCGGTGAAATAGCGGTCAAACATTGACAAGACTACGGTAGCTATAGTGCGCATCCACGGTTTAGTGTGGCCTTTTTTGCATTGAGTTTATCACAGCTAACGTTATCACGTTTTGTACTTTCCCATAACTAATTGTAAATTTCTTGACACTGAAATAGAGAATCGAATCATTTATTCAAATAATAGAATAGGTGGCTATCGACAAAAAAAATGAAAGGTTCATGGAGGAACGTTGAGAAATTGGCCGACAAAGAAGCCAATCTCTTGACGGGCCATCGCAAGTGTTTCCCCGTTTAGATCATACAGCTGATAGAATTGTTTAGTCATCAGATCATTGTAGCGGGGACGTTGGTCTCGATCTTTCACAAGGCTAAAATGGGTTTATTTTGTGGGGAGATACCCTAGCTCCTTGCTTGTATTCTTGCTTTACTTTTGTTTTTCGGTATATAAAAAGATCAAAAAAAAAATCTTTCTGAGAGGGATAAAGATGAAAAATGGAGTATGCTAGAGACTTGTGTTGAAACACAACAACAGGTCAATCTTGACAATATTGTTGATTATGTAGCAATTGAAAGCTCACCAAGAGTTCACGAATTGTACAAGCTCAATGGAGAAATTGTCCGGCGTGTTCACACAAAGCATTGGGGCCTCACCTTTCACTACTTGGTCTACCTGAAAAGCCTCAAGTCTCTTGATCAATTCTCACTTTCTTTACCTGATCAAAAGCCGTGTTCCAATTCGAATACGGGAATTTCCCCATGGCCACTTCAAAGAGCGTAATCCCCAATGACCAAACATCAGATCTCACATCGTATGGAGTGTTCATCATACTCACCCGTTCTGGCTAAAAGCATCAGTTTCATCTTGTTTTTGTGTTTCGCGAAAAAGTTAGCAAGATTTTAATTTTCCAGCTAAATTTATGAAATAGATTAACGAATTTCGAGTCGGATTTGAGAGGTCAATTGGGGAAAAAGCTTAAAATGTTTGAGCGATTAATTCAAAGCCGATTTTTTTCCTTGGATCATCAACAAAATCGCCATTTTATCATCGTCACCGTTAAATTATTGAATTTTTCATATCGTTCTGTGATTTATGTATGAATTTGTGATAAATGACAAAAATTGGGAGACGAGAAGTCAAAATCGAGTAGTTTAGGAGTGGAACAAAGTAACAAAGATCGTCCAACAAGAACAAAGAGAACAAAGACAAAAAATGTCCCTTCTCATCTCTCCACCAATGCTTTGCTGGCGCAGGGAAATTATCAAGTTTATGCAAATTTTTGAGTGCTATTCTAATTGGGGGATAACCTACTTGTACCTTCTAATTGGGAGATAACCTACTTGTAGAATTGCACTCAAAAATTTGCATAAACTGGATAATTTGCCTGCGCCAGCGAAGCATTGGTGGAGAGATGAGAAGGGACATTTTTTGTCTTTGTTCTCTTTGTTCTTGTTGGACTTCTTGTCTCCCAATTTTTGTCATTTATCACAAATTCATACATACCCTGGAAAATTGAAAATCGATTACACAGAAGATTGGAAATCGATTACACAGTTTTACAGTTTGCACAGTTTGCTACAAACGAACCGCCATATACGGCTTGCAGCCGACTTCTTGTGTCTTGGCTATCGAGTCGACCAATTCACCGGCAATCCCGAAATCACACAGTTTGATCATTCCGTGACGATCAAGTAAAATATTCGAGGGTTTCACATCTAGACTTATATTGATTTTTTTTTTGCTTAATCCATATTATTCAACCTCTGTGTATAATTTTCAATGCTTGCCGTAGATAGTTGAGCGCTTGAATTGTCTGAAAGTTGCATTGCTTTTATTGAAAGAGTATCAACTTACAGCTACTGCAATATATCCAATCATTGGTTCAGGCACTCTGTGACCTGTTTTGTAGACATTTTTGTACAATTTATCGAGGGAGATGTCCATGATTTCCATGCAAATCCAGCAATCACCCTGAAATTTAGATAAGAAGTGGTGAATTGGGGAATGTAGAGCATAGAACCATTGTAGATGAAGAGGAAGTTTAGTGATTTTATAGATGAATTGGCTATATTTATCCGTATTGGCTTTATTTCATCCATTTCTTTAACTTTATCATAATGAATCGTCAACTCACTTCATAGAAAAGAGCACCAAAAAATCGGACAATCGTCTCGCATTTATCTGCTGACATCACAGTCTCCAATTCTCTCAATAAACGCTTTCTCTCTTCGGAATGAACTGTCGTGGAACGGATTCTCTGAAATTGATTTGTTTTAACATGTCAATAACATGTCAATAACATATCAATTAACATGGTATAAGCAAATTTACATAACCTTTTGAGCCTTTTGAAGGTAAAGCACAAGCACAGCTTTATAAAGCTTTTAAAGTACAAGCACAGCTTTATAAAGCTGTTAAAGCACAAGCACAGCTTTATAAAGCTGTTAAAGCACAAGCACAGCTTTATATTGTTAAAGCACAAGCTTTAGAAAGCGCATTAATCACGAGAACGTCAAAATGTAAAGTCAAAATTGTAAAGTGCAAAATGTAAAGTCAGTAAAGTCAAAATTATCTAGAATGAAATGATCAATTGCATCAATGATCCAGGATGACCGTGGCTCGTAAATGTAATAGAAAACCCAAGTCTAACCCTTTCTCTTTACCCACTTTGACTGCTAAGACATGATTGGACTCTCGGTGAATCATCCGGTTGACTGTGCCAAAGTTCCCTCGTCCAATAACACCCTCATCCTGAAAAGTGCTTTTTAAGTTCAAATTACGCCAATAAGCATTTCAAGAGTCAACTAATCGAATACTGCAGTCAACTAATCGAATCGAAAGCACTAATCATCAGTTTTCAGCCACTTACAATAAGATCATCGGCTGTGAAGTCATACTCCCGTGACGTGTCCGGAAACTTTAACTTACCCGTAGAAAATGATCTAAAATTTAAGATTTAAAGCAACTCGTTTCTTATTTAAGAGTTAACTCCGCACAAAACACCTACAATTGTGGACTGTTCAGGTGATGATTTGGTGGGTTGAGATCAGAGAAGTTGAGCCCTTCTGGTCGATTTATAGGCATAAATAATCTCTGAAAATTCGGAGAATGTACACAAATCGATCGATAAAGAAAAAAAGCGATAAAAATGATTGAAAAAGTTCTTTGTTTTGAGTTGAAATCTGTAAGTATGCAAAAAAAAGGTGCGGCCAAGTGAGGGTGGGAAAAAAGGGAAAGGAAAGGGAAGGAAGGAGGGCACATCGACTCGTTCGATAACTCTGAAAAGAAGAAGAAGAGAGATTGGATTAGAGACAGAAACGCGCCTTGTCTATGTCTCTTCGCAACGGAAATTACCGTATTTGGGAATGCGTGGCGGGACTGGACTCGGTCCTTTTTATCCGTTCGCTCACTTGTCAATTTCCTGAAAAATCATGGCTAAACTTGAAAAAGATCAGCCTAAAAACAGAAATACATTGCACATTCAGAACTTGAGAACTTATTAGCCTTAGTTGAGTGGCAGAGCATCTGTCCGGTAGGCAGAAGGTCGAGGGTTTAATTTCCCTCGGTTCCAAATTCTTTGCCATTCATTTCTTTACTTTATTATCAGCAGAATAGCCTGCCGAACGAGCTGCTTCAGAAATCGTAAAAAGGATTGCAGAAACGAATTATCTGTGTTGGAAAGCTATGCACCATGCAAATTGGTACCTATGGCGCAGTGGATAGCACCGTCACTTCACAAGCACACGACCCGGGTTCGACCCCCGCCAATGACCACCTACTTGGACTTTTGCAAAATTTTTTTTAAAAGGCACAACTAAATTAATTTCATGTCAAAAAAGTTGCCCTGTTACTAGCTTAAGATTATAACTTTTCATTCTAACCAAACAGAAATTAGATAACTGCTCTGATGGAGAAATTTACATGGATTTCATACCGTAAATACTGTAATAGTACCCCACCCCCCTCGTACAGTCGCGTAGTCGCAAAAGTTTTTTAGTATTTCATTTTTTTCAAAGCACCCGTACTTTCTAAAAATGCGTCTTTGATATCAAAAAATAGCTGAAATTCAGGGCTATTTTTTTGATACCTAAGCGCACATTGTAGCATAAACCAGTGTCGAGAAAAACTCGTTCAAAGCTAGACTACGCAACACTCTGCACCTTCACTATGGGGATGGGGTACTATTCCAGTATTTACGGTAGGTATTACCAAATCTATTCTTAGCACAACAACTGTACAGGTGAGCTTCTGGAAAAGAATGGCAAAGAAAAAAAACTCTATTATAGAGAATGTTTGTAAAAGATTGGAAGAAAAGATTCAATTTGAGAAAGCTAAAGAAAGAAAGGAGCTATTTTTCGGTCTAAATCTGATGATCAAAGCTTTTCGACATTTAAAGCATTTAACATCTCATTTAACATCAACAGTAATGTTCAAAATTACTCGACAATTACTCGAGCTATTACCCGAGTAAAAAATTAATCATGCAAACTTACGCGAGTAATTACTTACTTGCGAGGAACACACTCTAGTTAAGCAGTGATAAGTTGAAATGGATTTAACTTTCCCTCACCAATGCTTATTTATATGGGTGCCAAGATCGTTGATCTTCTTTTGAGTAATTGAGAAATTGAAACGCGTACACAAGAAATTTGCTCTCTGAATTTGCAACTTTTTCTATTTTCAAGCTAATAGGCTCGAGATTTGCGTCAAAGAGTTCGCTTTCGAAAGATGAGAAAACTCAGAATAGCTTTGCTCAGAATAGCTTTGCTTTAAAATGCCTTGCGTAACTGGATCGACGTTACAGGTCTTTGCCTTTTCCCCGTGATTCACCTTATCTTTACTTTTCTTCTAAACCAAGTGCAAGGATATGTAGATACGCCACACTTTTCTCTTTTCACTTTGCCCTTGTCTACGTCATTAATTACTGAGTTCTTTGGCTCTCTGTTGCTTTCTTTTTGCCTTCTTTTTGTTTATTTGAACAAAATGCTTACTTTGCACCTGTTTTTCCATGCGTAAATATGATTTTAAGACTGTAAAAACATTTATCATTTGATTTTCCAATTTCAGAAATCAATTTCAAGTAAATCTTAGCATTGGGTCTTTTGAATTGAGTAGTGTATGGATGATTAGATGTTTTTAAAAACGTTTCAGACTAAATATACAGTACTGGACAATGAAATATGATATTTGAAAAACGATCGTCACTTTTGCGCATCTGTAACTCCGTTGTCTTTGAGTTTAAACTATTAGTGTTATATATTTTTTGAAAGCTCTTTTCAAGGGCTACACAATGGTAATATTAATATTTAGAAAGACGGTAAAGACAAAGAAGTTACAGACGCGCGAAAGTGACGATCGTTTTTCAAATATGATATTTCATTGTCCAGTAGTGTACCTTTTTCAGCTTCTTGATTGGGCAAAGCCATTGTTAATGTCAGTGCCAAAGCCAAAGGCAAAGCCAGTGCAAGTAAACCAAAAAAAAGCAAGGCACGTGTAAATCCCAAACATTCGAGTGAGCTAGAGATCAAGGAGGTCGATAGCTTATTGGCAATCAATTTAAAACTGATACCAAAAAAAAAAACGAAGAGAAAAATGCAAAACGATAGTATGTATAATATGTAGAGTCCCGTCAATCAAAGAAATTCGGGATTTTTATCTTTTCAAGTCATCCATTCAGTCTCAAGCTCGGCCATGAGTGGGACGGCGCCGATTGCGCACTCGGAGAATCGTGAAGATGATCGTCGAGCACATGTGTTGGAAAGAGTTTTCTGTAAAGGCTTTGATAACTTTGATTTTGATTTCAATTACCGTATTTATTTTAATAAAAGCGCGGCCTCTAATAAAAGCGCAGCTTTTAATAAAGTCAATAACTATGAATATTCAGCTTAGTAGACTGAATAGGGTATTCTGAAACTTTAAACATTTTGACGCTTTATATTTTAGTATCCAATTCTTTAGCAAAGAATTGGATACTAAAAATGAAACTTTAGACTTGAATCAAAAGCCTTACTGATGGGTGAGCCAGAGAATGACTACTACTACTATGAGCAAGAGATCATGGAGCTTTTGGCTACTGTTTCAGAGGGGACATCAAGTGAGGAAGTTGAATTAACGACGTTTTAGTACTCCAATATTTACCTCAATACATTGACGAAAATACTAATAACGATTATTTTTGGTGTTAACTCAAGTTAAACGGTTTTTCACGACTTTTATTATTGTTTTGCAGAAAGTTCTCGATAGCTTTGTACTAGTTTTCAAGCAAATATTCAGGGCTATCAAATAACTATAACAGTTTAGTTTATTTTTGAATTTCCATCAAATTATCATTAAAATAGTTATCGACTACGCGACTGTACGCTCAAACTTTGCTAAGATCACAAATTCAGTTGTGCAAAAGGGAATATTTCTCGCTTAGTTCTTAGATTCTTGAATTGAACTGCTTGAAAATAATTGCTATTGCTTTCATTCATTATTGCTATTCATTATTGCTTAATCACTAGCTTTTCTTGCATTTTCTTGTATTGATAGTGACATTTCGAACCTAGATTCTTGCATGAACTGCTTAAAAATCATTGCTAAAGTTCATTATTGCTTAGTCATTAGATTTTCTTTCATTTCCTTAGTACGATAGTGACATTTCGATTGAAGTCGGCGACTCTAACGGTAATGAAATCGAGAATAATGCTTTTTTTTGACGATTGAATTATTTTTAATAGATTGTTACCTTGTTACCTATGTTAGTTTGGAAAAGAATCCTTTACCAAATTCATTCATCTATCATTTCTCTACAAAATCGCTTTTGAGAGAAAGCTCAAAGCTCGCCTCAACTCGGAAAAAACACATTCTTGTGCAAAATTTTCAAATGCTGTTTTAAAGATAATGGTTGGACGGATCGTTTTCAAATTTTACAGGGTTGTGTGATCAAATGAGCTCTATTTTTTTTACTTTGGCACCAAAATAAGTTTTATTGAAGAAAGTGCCAAAATTGGCATCGGAGCAGGTGCTCACCTTTGCCCCTTTGAAAATCCACAAAAACAACTACTTCCAAGAATCTCTCAAAAACCATTTCGCAGAGAAACAATTAACCTTTTTAATCGTTTAAATAGAAATTTTGTTGGTGTCGGCATTATTTTTAAAAGACGTTTGAGAAAAATCGTGAAGACTTAGGCACTAACCTAATAGCTAAAAATATAAACTTTTGTGCAGCGCATCCTCTAGTAGAAGCAATTTTGTGGAATGATTGAAAAATGGAATCTTATGCGCTTCTATTAGAAGAAATACGGTAGCTATTTGTTACAGTTTTATCACAGATTTAGCCGCTGTACAGCTAACAGTAGAACACTTGGCGCTTTTATCGATTTAGAGAAGTTTACAGTATAGGTTCTTACTTCTTCTTGTCTTTTGCCCAAAATTTCCATCCTCTTCATTGCTACTGTTTGAGTTGAGAGTGCTCGTCTTGCTCTCCACATTCTCATTGTCACTTTCATCAAAGAGATCATTGTCCATTTTTGACAAGGAGTCCTTGGTCATTGCACTGAAAATGCTTTATATGATTTAGATTTTTGATTGATTAATTCAGAACTTTTATCTATAAACTTTCTGCAAAACACACTCATATGTAGCCAAGTGTTGAAGGACTTGTGTCTTCATTTCATCTCTTTCATCAAGCAATGGACCTGACCTTTTGCCATCCACACAACTAAATCTTTTCCTTTAACAAACATTGACGAATCCCAGACTCGATTGTTTTTCTCTTACAAGAAAAGACTTGTTTTTCTCAAACAGTCTAGTCTTTTGAATGCTCAAAAACATTATGCAAATTCCTTCACAGCTTGTCACAAAAACAAAAGGGGATGACAAGGAATTGATGTTTGAGATGGAGTGCATTTGGGTAGTAAGATCTCTGAATCTTTTCCAATAACTTGACAATCCAAAAGGAGTCAGTTCTCCGTTGTTCTTGTTTAACGATGAGAAAGTCTTTGCTATTTACCAGTTTTCGAATCTATGGGACATTAAAAATGTTAGAATCACATTTCAGTTTTGATTCTTTCAAGAAAACTTAACATAATTTTGTGACAAACTCAATTTATGCCAGAGTAGGTGCTTCTAGGCAAGCAACAGCGTCTACAGGTGCTTCTAGGCAAGTAACAGCGTCTACAGGTGCTTCTAGGCAAGCAACAGCGTCTACAGATGCTTCTAGGCAAGCAACAGCGTCTACAGGTGCTTCTAGGCAAGGAACAGCGTCTACAGGTGCTTCTAGGCAAGCAACAGCGTCTACAGGTGCTTCTAGGCAAGCAACATCGTCTACAGGTGCTTCTAGGCAAGGAACAGCGTCTACAGGTGCTTCTAGGCAAGCAACAGCGTCTACAGGTGCTTCTAGGCAAGCAACATCGTCTACAGGTGCTTCTAGGCAAGGAACAGCGTCTACAGGTGCTTCTAGGCAAGCAACAGCACAAAAGACAATGATTTTAAAAAAAAAGTAACTTAAAGTTGTTAAGCTTGGGCATATTGATAAGTATGTTTTCTTTTTAGCATTAAACTTGTACAAAATGAGCTCTAAACCTAGTAATCTATTGGTTTCCATAACTCTTGAACACCCTGTAGACGCCTGGAAACATCTGGATGCTTGCTTTAAAGCTGATGGAGATATTTTTGAAATTTAACTTGCTATATATCAAATAAATATTGTTTTCAAAAAAATTTTGAAATTTTAACGACTCGGTCTTCCTTTTTTAACGATCTTCCATTTTGTTTTCGAACATGAGTAATTCTGGCCCTGTAGTTTACCTAATTTACCTAATATTACACAGTTTAAAGGTTTAAAGAATGGCTAAAACATTTTAAACATTGAAAAAATGGCTAAAACAGTTTAAAATTCTAATCACAACTGCTGGTCTTCATTGCCAGACTCGCATTCAGAACAGACTATTTCAAAATATCCGTTTCCCAATCGCCCACGTGATGAAAGAAACAAATCCCGGAAATGAGTGGGGAGATTGTCTGGTGATCACAAAATGATAATCGTCAATGATCGTGATGAATCACGAGGCAAAAATAAGCAAATTCTTCGTTGATGTTTTCACGGACAAATTTTTGCCATTCAATTATTGATTCAAAAAAGAAAGACTTAGACTTTTGAGAAAAAAAGGCGAGTCCCTTTTGCTTGCACTAATGGATTTTTGTCTGATTTTCAATCCTGTCAACTCAAGGAGCCAATTTGTGAAGTGAAAAATAGAAATTGTTGAATGAAAACAAGGATTTCTAGGAAAAACCTTTAGAATATTGACGATAAAGTCATTTTTGGTTACTTGGGACCGTAAACTAATAACGGATTCAGATTCTCCATGTCAGAATGCCTCCGATTACAAATTTTCAAGTTTACAGCTAACATAGATAGCTGTAAACGGCAGCCAAGCCAAAAACTTGCGACCCTTTTCCCAGAAAATCCTCGGTTGGCACTTTAAAGCGTGGTAAAACTACCGTACCCCTTCTAAGCGCAAAATTTCATTTTTTTCATTCTTTTTCATTTCATTTTATTCTTTTTGCGTTTTTTGATGTTGTCGCGTTTGTTTTTGCAAGAAACAAAGAGGATACAGCTAAGTTACGTTTTTAACAGCATTTCCTGTGGCGGAAGCTTTGTTTGTAGAGTTTTTTTTAGACCCACCGGCTTCCCGACGATCTGCTCCACGAACTTCATGCCAATTAATGTTAAGTTAAGTGGTTTTTATCATTTTCTATGGCGGAAGCTTTGTTTGTAGAGTTTTTTAGACCCACCGGCTTCCCGACGATCTGCTCCACGAACTTCATGCCAATTAATGTTAAGTTAAGTGGTTTTTATCATTATCTATGGCGGAAGCTTTGTTTTTGTGACTTTTTAGTCGTGCGATCTTTTGTACATGCAGATTACGAGGGGTATTGTAGTTTTACCACACTTTAAAGCGCCAACCGAGGATTTTCTCGGAAAAAGGTCGCAAGTTTTTGGCTTGGCTGTCGTTTACAGCTATCTATGTTAGCTGTAAACTTGAAAATTTGTAATCGGAGGCATTCTGACATGGAGAATCTGAATCCGTTATTAGTTTTTGAGCAACTTTGGTTTCCGAGCCAATACCCTCATGACAATACTCTCTAAAACTTGGGGAATTAAACTAAATTGGAGAGAAAAAGGCGAAATCTAGTTCTCTAACAGAGTTCTCTTTAAAAACCCAGTACGGATTCGAATTCCTCATCCTCGAAAACCCTTGATTGCGAATTTTCAGCTCAATCGGCTTCAAAAAAGTGCTAAGTCCACGCACGGCTCACCGGTGAGTCATATCGTCGCGAATCTATTAATTAGACGCTGTATTTTTGGATTTTGCGTGAAAAGTGGGGATAAAAATAGAGAGCGAAGGAAAATATTTACATTCTATAAATTCCTGCTAGAGGTGATCGTTTTTTTTTCGTTTAAAATAGAATAGATTAAAAGGTTAATAAGTATTTTGATGTTGATTTCAATTGAAAATTCAAAATTGCTGAAATTGCTTAAATAAGATTTCAAAGCTGAACGTTATTGCGCAAAGATTAAAACAGAAGAGATTAAAATATTTGCATTCTATAAATTCCTGCTAGAGGTGATCGTTTTTTCGCTTAAAATAGAATAGATTAAAAGGTTAATAAGTAGTTTGATTAATTAATTAGAGTACTCATAAGTCTAGTACTGTTTCCATCAAAGTAGTTTAGCAAGAAATTGCTCAGAAATTGCAGAACAAAGGTTAAATACAGCTTTGTACAAGTTACAGTTTTGTACAAGTTTTTCTTGATCCGTAAATTGAAAGCTTTCTCTCTTATTCTGATTCCCGATTTGCTCGATTCATGAATCTATCTCAAAATTTGATTTCCTTATCGTTCACAAGTTTTCTAGCCACACAGTTTTTCTAGCCACTAGTTCACAAGTTTTCTAGCCCACAGTTTTTCTAGCCACTAGCCAGTTAGTATTCGCCCATGTGATCTCCCACAAAAATGGCATTGCATCAGCTTGAAGCAGAATCAATAATATATTTTCTTAAAAATCTAAGGAATCTCATCTTACGGAATTTTTCGATCAGTAACTAATCAAGATTGGCACAAAATGCGCTCGTTTTTTTTTTTGCAAAGAAATGCTTGCAGATGAGCAAAAATGCCAATGAATCATTGAAAAGAGGGCATTGGGAGAGTTTCACTGACATTTTTTTCACTCTATTCATTCAAATTTCAGCTAGAAAGGGGTCACGTGGGGATCGAGCCATCGAAGAAAAAAAGGGGAAGATGGGGGTGAGAGGATGAATGAACGAAGAGCTTTGTCAAGGAAATTTATATTCAATGAAAACGATTAGAAAGCAAAAATAAAAAGGGATTTCGAAAACACGAGTTCTTTTCATAATGGTTAAACGAAAACATGTAGGGCTGGGGAATAAGAAAGAACAGAACCAGATCAGAGAACTTTTGGATTGCTGATGATTGTAGCAAAGCTGAGCATATCAGAGATCATTACTACAGAACAATTTTCTATTCAAAATTGTGATTCCTGACCGGTGCAAAGAGCAAAGTTCTAAAATGACCGCTGACTTGTTCAATAACGAATATTGAGTCATTGTGTTGGGTTCAAAATTCGGACAATATGATTCCGTTTGGAATAAATGAAACTTTTATAATTTTGCAAGTCTGGTCAGGTGACAGGAAAAAGTATTTGCAAAGGTTAAAAAAGATTGTTGAAGTTAAACTGTTAAAACTGACTAGCTGATGAGTCGAAGACGATGAGTCCGAGAGATGTTGAACTTGAGAGTGGCTGCGAGATCTTCTTCAGGAGATGAGGTACGTTTAGCGATTGATGATGGCTCGACCCAGATCGGGAAAGCGTCCACTAAAGAAAATGGAGCTATAACTGGAGTATTGTTGAAGCATTTCATGTTACTGATTTTGTTGCAAATAAGATAAACACAACGACGATGACTATAAGCTTACCAATGTTAGTCTCTCGAGCATATTGAGTCGGAGTTGGCACCGAAGTCCGTCTTGTTCTTAAATTCACGGGTACAGAATTGAATTGATAATTTAAAAGAAAATATTCTTTTGATCGTTTATCAATAGTAAACAATCTAATCTCTTTTTTCGCCTAATCTAATAAACTCTATTTCATTAACATTTTTCTAGAAAGTCTGTTAGTCTATTAGGCTGTCCAGAAAGTCTTTTCATTCCTTTTCGTACTTTCATTTAAAATCAACAAATGCACCAATTGAATTACGGTTTTTTTCATTAGAAAGGTCAATTATTTCTCTGCAAAATAACATTAAAACGGGTTTAAAATGATTTATGTCTGGACTTATTTGAGAGCATGAAGGCGAGTAGTCAAAAAGAGCGACGGCTCGATGATGCGGACACTTTAGCTTTAGAAAAGACACACTTTAGCTAAGGAAACCTATCTTGGTGTCAATAGATAAAAGATAGAGCACAAAAAGTTTAGTATATAGCTAAATTTTCAGAGAAATTCATTCAGCCAATTTCTTCGTAGGGGCTTTTGATAGATTTTTACGAAAAACACGTTTATCACTCTCGAATTTGCTTGTAAGTGAACCGAAATTGACTTAATTAGATGGAAAATTGAACAATAAACACTTTTTAGAACAGATTAATTGATGAATTTGTAATTAACAATAGATTAATTGATGAATTTGTTATTTTTAAACGAAAGTATGAAAAGAAACGAAAAGACTTTCTGGAAAGCCTAATAACTTCGTTGTACTTCTTAGATCGTAATCGTAATCGTAATCTTCTTAGTCAATCACGCTTTTACTGTTTTCAAAAACACCTTCTACTTCATCAAAAACGAAAAGACTTTCTGAATTGCCTAAAACTGACTATGAAAGTCAACTTACGAACCTCGGCTTATTCGGTGGTCTTGCCACAACAATTTCCATCATCTCTGCAACAAAGTTGCGCTGATTCAACTCTCGTTGAGCCATTCGAATTGCCCTGAAAAAAAAAGCCGATTTTTATCCTTTTGGGTACAGTGAAAAGAAACAAGAGCAAGCAAAGCAAAAGAAATTCAAGGTCAGTATCAGTATCTGCGAAAATGGGGCCAAAAAACCGAAAAATTCCTTGTGAATCACTTGTGACAATTTGGGAATAGAGTCATGGAAAGCCTGAAATAAAAACTGACTATGAAAGTGATTCGCTGATCGTGTGATGGATAGTGAAGGGGAAAGGAGAGGGGAGATCCCCTTCACATCCAAACTCCGCCCATTCCATATGACTGTTTCCCCGTTTTCTTTTTTTCAGAATGAGTGCAAGATCTTTGCATAGATCACTGAAGGATCACGATGATTGAGATGTTTTTTCGGATTTCATGTAAACAGCTCTCACCTCACTGAAAAGAGAGATTGTTCTCGAAGCGTTCTTATTTATTGTTTTTCTCGATCATTGTTTCTCTCATTCAAATATCAATTTTATCCTTTTGCTATTCTGAAAACAATCGCTCAGATTTTTTGCCAAAACGATTTCTAGTTTTGCTCTTTAATATAATAAACTTCCGGGTTTTCAGAAATTCAGAAAGCTATTGTAAATCAGAAAGCTATTCTAAATCAGAAAGCTATTGTAAATCCAAATTTCGCATTCCTAACACTTTTGTTCATTAAAACACCTTCCCATTGCCTCTCTCTCTATGAATCAATCTAAAGATTTCAATAAGCTGAACGCTTCAATTCTATTTCAATAAGCTTCAATTCTATTCGTTCATCTGATAAGAGAATCGGTGAGATTTTGTTGAAAACATCGATCAAAGTAAGTTACAGTCATGAGTATTGGGCCTCCTATTGTTGAACTTTAAAACGTAAAAAATTTCACTTTACTAAATGATTCAAGGAAACTTTTAAAAGTAGTTCTATAGCATTTCAGTTCTAGTTTTCAAAAAAGGTTACAAAAAGCTATTTCCGAGCAACAACATAACAAAAAACATTGAAAGAGAAAATTACTCAAAAAGTGCAAAAGTATGCAAAAGTATTGGCCCCTGAAGTGAAAATTCAACTATTTAATATTTTGTCGGGCCTTTTTTAGCTGAAATCACTGCTTGAATTCTCTTTGGCATGCTTCGACATGCCTCAGGCATCGACCAAATCTTTCAAGATTTGTGGAGAAATTTTCCGCCCTTGTAAACGAATATCACAGTTCGACCTTCGATCCGAATCGTTTTCCTTTGAGTTGTGTCTTCACGTGGGCCCACGTGGGCCCTCGATAACGTTCAAGTCTGGGCTGTATGGCGGGGCAGAGACGAGTAGAACACCGTTTGAGCGGAACCTCAAACGATAAACGAGCTCTTCAACCATTTGCAAGTCGAACGACACCGCCCATCAACAACTGTGACTTGTGACATGGAGCGTTGTCTTGGTACAGCAATCATCCCTGACCATGACCTAAATGAAGGAGAGCATTTTCCAGGATCGTCTTGTACTGCTGAGCATTCAAGGTTGAGTTGAGAAGCACGAGTGGACTTGGACGAGGCACGAGTGGATAAACTTCTGGAGAAAGGCCTAAGCCTAAGAAAGCAAACTTAGTAGACATAAGCGACAAAGCCTCTTACCCCAAAGGCTGATCGATCCTCCGTCAAATCTCACTGTAAGATGAAGTTATTTGATGCTGTAGAGCTTTCTCAATGGTCTCCGGACCAAATGACTTTCATCTGGATTGAAGATATTGATCTTTGACTCATCGACAAAAATCAAATTGGTCCAGTCGGATGTTGTCCAATTTGCCTACTTCTTGGCAAACTCAAGTCGAAATTTCCGGTGTCGTGCAACCATCAAGTCTTCTAGTTGATGGTGCGACTTCTTGGCAGGTCTTCTAGTCATCAATCCTGCACGAATCAGACGCCTGTTCTGAATCGAGAAATATCCTTGCCGAATTGTTGTTTCATCAACGCGACTCCATCAGTGGTGGTGAGGAGAACTCTCAGGAGAACAATAGAACAACTCAATCTTTTCGTTTTGTTTTGATAAACGAGGAAAATGCTTGAACCGATTAGTTGCAAAAAAAGAACGAGTAGTAAACAGCGTATGAAATAGAACACAATAGATTATGGAATTTATGCAAATCTCTCACCAAACTCATGACTTTCATTCAAACTTGAACTTGAAATTCATTCTCTTCGTCTATTTTATCTTTTATTATAAACAAGTGATTATTTAGTTGTTTTCTAGCTTGTTTCTTTGTCTAATTTTTGCAAAAAAAAGGATCAAAAAGGATCAAAAATTGGATCAAAAGTTACCCCGCGCAAGTCATAAAATTCTCGCTGCTAACAATCGAAAGTTCTCGTTTTTTTCATCTTTTATCGATTTGGGATCAACGCTAATATTGCGTTCTTTCAATTATATTTTTACATTTTGCATCTTTCTTTACAATCTTTACAAAAAAACAACAACAATTTTCAGTTCGATGAACTGTTGGCAATGGAATTTGTTCAAATTCCAGACCGAGAAGCAAAAGCTGTCAACAGTACCAGGTATTTAGCTGTCTAGAAAGTTCCAGAAAGTCTAGAAAGTCCAGAAAGTTCTAGAAAGTCCAGAAAGTTCTAGAAAGTCCAGAAAGTTCTAGAAAGTCCAGAAAGTTCAGAAAGTTCCACAAAGTTCCAGAAAGTCCAGAAAGTCCAGAAAATCGTTCCTTTTCATATTTTCATTGAAAGCTAGCAAATTCATCAATTAATCTGTGGTTTGCTTTAAAGAAAAGCTGTTTATTGGTCAATTGGTGCATTTGTTGGTTTTAAACGGAAGTGCGAAAAGGAACGAAGAGATTTTCTGGACAATTTTCGATATCAAACGACTTTTTACTGTAAATTGCCACAATCATATATTAGGTTGGCAAGTTATAAACGATCGCTTTTGGGTAATGTGTTTTCTGAAAAAACGGCTTATCTAATCAAAAAACGGTTTGCTTGATTCAAAAGCCCTATCCTTAATCTACAAAATGGCTTTTTTGAATTTGATCAAAGCATTTGGGAATGATGGATTGTTCGAAAGCCGATGCCGAGCCTGGTTCCAACGCTTTCGGAATGGTGATGAAAGTCTCGAGGATCATGAAGTCTGGAGGATCATGAAGTCTGGAGGATCATGAAGTCTCGAGTATCATGAAGTCTCGAGGATCACTCTCGTCGACCTCAAGCGGTAGACAACGATATTTTGAGGGATGCAATCTATTGTGTTCTAAAAATGTTTTATTTGAACTTTTTCAGGCATTTTAATGTAAGAGTTCAAAATCCTGGTTTCTAGCATTCATGAGCTAATATTTTTTTTTTTTTTTTTTTTTTTTTTTTTTTTTTTTTTTTTTTTTTTTTTTTTTTTTTTTTTTTTTTTTTTTTTTTAATTTTTTTTTTTTTTTTTTTTTTTTTTTTTTTTTTTTTTTTTTTTTTTTTTTTTTTTTTTTTTTTTTTTTTTTTTTTTTTTTTTTTTTTTTTTTTTTTTTTTTTTTTTTTTTTTTTTTTTTTTTTTTTTTTTTTTTTTTTTTTTTTTTTTTTTTTTTTTGCTTAGCATTCATGAGCTTTTTTGAGTGATTGCATACTTTTTAAAAGATCGAATCGATCGAACCGTTCTCTTTCTTTTAATTTTTTTTTTAATCTGGCTTAAATTCAAACGAAAATGGATTAAATTAGCACAAAAGTGCATTTTGAGCCTAATTTTGAACTGTAAAATGCAAAAAGAAGATAGCTATGTGTTCGCTGTCTGGGAGCACAATCGCGCTCGATCTGGCATACGACGCCCGCTGATATACTTCCTTTTCAATTCTTCAATCGGAAGCGTCCATTTTGGGTCATCCGGTAACCAATCCGTTGTCTGCCCCATGTGGTCACCGCTTCCCAAACTAACTTCGGCTGTAGAATTGGCAAACCCAATTCCGGCTCATTTTGACCACTATGGCGGGTTCTCTGTCGGTCGAAATGGGATCCCAAGTGCCTGTAAAAGGGTGCTGAAGGGGGCCGCTGTGAATTTTTGGATTCATCCCAAGGATTTCGGTCCGTAGGGGCAGCGAGAAACTCATGAAACAAAACGAGTAAACGGACTCAAGCATTTGAAAATACTGGAGATGATGTTGGCCTAAAATCGCTGTTTGTGGCCTGAAATGGCCTAAAATTAAGCTTTTTCGAAAAGCAGAAGCTCTTGAAGCCTAGTGGCTGGAAGGTAATTCTTATTGTTCTAAAATTTTGGGAAACTATGTAATCGATGAAGTGTTTTATTTTAAAAAGTATGCAATCACTGAAAAATATAAAAAAATTAGAACATGATCGCTTGAAGAGCCAACATAATGGGCACCCAATTATCGTAAATATTCTAATAGAGCCCCCTATAGAAGGGTCGCGTAGTTTACACTCAAAGAACCGCTCATATCTCGGCGCTCAGGCATTTGTTTGCTGCGCGCTTAGGTATCAAATTAAAATAGAAAAGATGGTTGATCTTTTGAGATATAACACATATTTTTAGCATTAACCAGCGCTTTGAGAAAAATGATTGAAAAGTGGCAAAAGAGGCCGATTTTCAATTATTTTGTTCTAAGCGCTTGTTCATGCTAAAACTATGTGTTATATCTCAAAAAATCACTCATCTTTTCTACTTTAATTTGATACCTAAGCGCGCAGAAACAAATGTCTGTGCGCCGAGATATGAGCGGTTCTTTGCGTGTAAACTTAGACTACACGACGCTCCTATAGGGGGATCCTAAAGTATGCAATCACTCAAAAATATATTAGCTCATGAATCCTAGAAACCAGGATTTTGAACTTTTACACTAAAATGCCTGAAAAAGTTCTAAAATAAAACATTTTTCAAAAATTCAAAAAAAGCCATTTTGTAGATTAGATAGGGCTTTTGAATCAAACCGTTTTTTGATTAGATAAGCCGTTTTTTCAGAAAACACTACCCAAAAGCGATCGTTTATAACTTGCCAACCTAATATATGATTGTGGCAATTTACAGTAAAAAGTCGTTTGATATCGAAATTGAATGAATCGCTTGCAAAATTTCAACACCAAAATGATGTTGAAACTCTGAAGTCTTTCGATTGGTCTATACGAGCTTTTGCGGCCTCTACGAAAGAGTAGACGAGCTTTTGCGCCTGTACGAAAGAATAGACGAGCTTTTGCGCCTGTGCGAAAGAATAGACGAGCTTTTGCGCCTGTACGAAAGAATAGACGAGCTTTTGCGCCTGTACGAAAGAGTAGACGAGCTTTTGCGCCTGTACGAAAGAATAGACGAGCTTTTGCGCCTGTGCGAAAGAATAGACGAGCTTTTGCGCCTGTACGAAAGAATAGACGAGCTTTTGCGCCTGTACGAAAGAGTAGACGAGCTTTTGCGCCTGTGCGAAAGAATAGACAAAGTTCTAGACAAGACAAAGAACAAAATGCTAAATTAAAGCAAGATTCGAAATAAAAACAAAACTTTGAACAAATAGTTCATAAAAAATAGCTCGTGAAATAACAAATAACATAACAAATAGTTCTTTTCAAATAGTTTTATGAAACTTTTCAGTAAAACGGAACGGCCGTCGAGCGAATTCCTATCCCTCGTATCCTTCTTTTCCTACCCGTCCGCCACCCTCGAGGGACTTTCAAAATATCAATGATAAGAGAAGGAAAAGCCGGAAAGATAGGTGGGAAATGAAGAGAATTAAAGAATTAAGAAAAGAATTTTCAGAATTGAGCAGAGTCTCTTAATCCTTTTATCAACCAAAGAGTAGGCATCTATTTTTTTTATTTTAAAAGATCTGCAATTTTGTGCTTTCATTACTAAACCGAGGAGTGAGATAACTGGTCGATTGATCAAAATTCGGACTTTAACCCCTTAGATTGTGATTAGGTTGCAAGATGAAAGGAAATGATGTTGTTTTTGTAGATGTGAATGTGTAGCTTCTTATTGGCAGGTAATATTAGATTACTTACTGTCTTACTATTAGATTACTATTAGATATTAGATTCTTGCAAGCTCTGTAACACTTTTATCTAAACTTTGAGGAAACAAGTACAGTTTATAAGAAATTGAGAAAAAGTTAACAAGATGACTCTTTTTTCACTCTTATATTGGGTTGGTGAATTGAAAACTGCGGACTATTGTCATATGTGACAGTTTGAGCACTTTCTCCAAAAGAAACCCATTTTGGTGTCAATAGAAAGGTCGTAGAGAATCAAAAATTAAGCTTATATCCAAATCTTCAGAACGATGCAAAAACTGGTTTTCAAGAAATGCCAAATTTACGAATTTTCACAAAACTTCCATTATAACTGCGAAACTACTAAGTGTATCTTTTTGGAAATTTGGCTATGAACCTAATTTTTGATTCTCTACAACTTTTCTATTGACACCAAAATGGGTTTCTTTTGAAGAAAGTGCTCAAACTGGACTGACAGCTGACATCTCTAGTCCTCCATTTTTGAGTCTCACACTTGTCTCACACACAAACCAAAATCCAACTACGAAAGAGGAATCCACAAATTGCCTGTAAAATAGACAGAACTCGTCAATAATAATGGAAATTATTTTGAATGAACTGATGGTTTTATGTTGAATAAATTTTAGTTCAAAGTCCGGCAGTTTTCAATTCACCAACCCAATATTAGAAAACCTCTCAACAGGTTTTTGGCAAACGTTGCAAAATGGGCTTTTACGGAAGAACAAAATTTTGTTAATGCATTTGACTCAAAAATGGATACTTAGGGTTTTACCCTTATGGATTTTTGTTACTATTAGGCTGCAAACTGAGTCTTGACCCTCTATTAAATTGCTAATATCTCAGCGTAGAAAGAATATATTGTAATGAAATTTTAAATGGATTTTTCTCAAAAACTGACAAGCTTAACGCCAAAATTATAAAGTGATTCGGTGATTAGCGACCAAGTTATAACAAAAAGACTGCGCGAGGGCTATTTTTTTACCTCCGGTGCTAAGTTCAAAAATACGAGCACATGAGGAAACAACACAAATTTTGGTTCTACGACATTTAAAACCAGAATAATGTGGATACTTTCTGAAAATCACTGTATAATTTTGGCGTTAAGCTTGTCAGTTTTTGAGAAAAATTCATTTAAAATTTCATTACAATATATTCTTTCTACGCTGAGATATTAGCAATTTCATAGAGGGGAAGACCTAGTTTATGAACTAACTCTTGAAATAATACTTACTCTTGAAATCTCTTACCTAGTCCAGCTCTTAGCCATCCCCTTCTTTCAGGGGATGCCCACTGCTCACCACGCGGAGGTGGCTGGACATCGAGCAGCGCCCTCCCCTTGGGCCTAATGGTCGGCCCAGTGGGAGGGGGGGGGACTGTGGGGGAACTAGCCTAGTGGGGGATCCTTCCCCCGGGGCCTAATGGCCGGCCCAGGGGGAGGGAGTGCGAGGGATGCCAAAGACATCCCCACACATCGCCAGTTGGCCATTTCACGGGTCCTGCTCCGTGTGGTTTTGCGCCGAAAGGGCGTCGACACGGTAAAGATCAAAACGATCAGTACCCCCACACATACCGAAGTTTTGCGCCAAATGGGCGACGACACGGTACGCACCAAAATGGTGCGCCCCCTTCGGATACGGCCAGTTAAACCCGGACCGGAACAGTTTGCCGAAGAGGGACGGGAAGGGTCCGTCATAGGTAAAGGCCCTGCGCCAGACGGCGAACGATTACGCCGCCGCACAAAGATTCTTTACAAAGGAATTTCTTTTGTTTTGTAAACATTGCTCAGATCAGATATGAAGCCAAAATTTTGTACCAATGGGTTTTCGGGGTCAGAGAAGCGATTGGCGGGGTCCGTTTGCTGTATTTCCAAGCAAAATCTCCAATTTGTGCTGATCTTGAGCCATTTTTCCCGTATTTTTGGCTATAATTATCCCATAAGAACCCTTTGAACTTTCAATTGATGTTCTTAAAAGCTTTGGAATTCGATCCAGAGTTTATTCTCAAAAACAAAGAGCCCCAAAATCCAAAGAAATTTCTTCAATCGCCTCTTGTTGTACTTTTCGGACTGCACTTTGAGATGAGAAAAGAAATAACGGAAAAGAAAATAACAAACATGTAGGAAGAAAATATTTTTATCTCTCGGGCTATATATTTATTCCAAAACCCGATTCGTCAGTCATATTTTTGTTTTCCTTTTGATTTCATTTGATTTCAAGTCTATAAATGGCACTGAAAGTCTATAGGATTTGTCGGTTAGTGGAATTTGAATTTGATTTCGAATTTGATCTGGAATTTGATCGATTTGATCAATCGACTTTCCCAAGACCAGTCCAGATTTTAGTCCAGTGGCAACTTCTCTTTGGTCATCTTATCGACTACAAGTTCTTCGCAACCATCATCACACAGCCGCCAAGCCTTTCCGTCCCAGATTGGACAGGTGACAAGAACACTACAAGTACTTCTGTTCAACAGTTCGTGGTGTGGCCCGCTTTAACCGTATCATTGGAGATGATTTTGTTTTAGAATAGCCGAGTAGCACAAAAGGTTAAACGGGTTTCCCCAAAACGTTCACAATATTACAAGAACACACAACATCCAAAATAAGGTTAATAATGCACATTGCTAATATTTGTGTTGCCATCGACGAAGCGTCAATCCGTTATGTACTAGACATGGGAAAAGTCTAACCCGACCTAATTCCACCTTCATTTTCTCCGTCTCTTGGCCGATCGCTCTGGAATTCTGTTTACAAATAGAAATTGGCATTCTCTGCTTGTAGACAAAATTTCAGAGCAATCGGCCAAGAGACGGCTGAGAAAATGAAGGTGGAATTAGATTTGGGTTGGAATTTTCTCGTTTCTCGTCAAGTACATAACGGATTGACGCTTCGATGGCAATGCTTCGATGGCAACACAAATATTAGCAAATTCTTTCCATAATCTTAGACCAGCTATTTAAACAGAATTTAGAAGGTCATTTTAAAGTAGATCGTTTTAAAGTAGATCGGGTTTATGATTTTACAGTTTATTAGTACAGAAAGAACGATAATGATTACAAAAACAGAAAAGAAATATCAAATCCAGAAAGAACGATGGGAAAAATTCCAAACCAAAAATGTTATCGGACGCGCCACTTTTCCCATTAGCAATCCAACTTTAAGCTCAAATATCTTGGTGTTTGGTTGTCCAATTTATTTGTCCAAGGTCCAAACTGTCCAAGGTCCAAACTGTCCAAGGTCCAAACTGTCCAAGGTCCAAACTGTCCAAGGTCCAAACTGTCCAAGGTCCAAACTGGTCAATCTATCGTTGATCATCTCAGTTTTGTTTACTTTTGATAAGGAAATGAAAAGAATCAGTTATTGATAGGAAATCGGGTTGATTTAGAGTTGAGCTGGTGATTGGATTGCAGTCATTTATCAATAGAAAACCAATTCTAGTTAAATTTAAATTTTCTTGAGATCATTAGATGTGCCTGTCGATTGGTACAAAAACTATTTCAATTGGCCTAAGCCTAAGCCTAAGCCAACACCAAGATAGTTAAGCTCAAAAAAATCTTTGAGTGGAGAGAATGAGACGAAAAAGTGAGGCAAATTAAATGCAAATAGGAATGTAATTTTTGAAGGAAACGAACGCGGCCCAGTTTTGCATACAAATCTAATCTTTGATCTTTTCAGTGTCACTGAAGAGCCTGAAGAAGATGAGTTGACAGTTTTGTCTTCTGAAATCTCCAAAGAAAACTTGCAAAGGTCAACGATAAACGGGTCGATTTGCTGCAAGAATTCGTAGCTTTTATTCTTATCTTTTGGCCTTTCGATTCCTATTTACTATTTCTTGCACGATGTCGTTTTTTTTAGAAAAAAATACTCTGAATTCTCGCGTGTTTAGATCAAATGCTCAACTTTGTTTGTTTCTTGGTTCATCGTTCTCTTGTAAATATCTTCAAATCCAATATGTAATAAATTCTGGAAACATTGGAAAACAAACTGACGGAAAACAACTTTCTGACACTAGGATTTACAGGAGATTCGACACTTGATACAATGAAATTCTGAGCATGCAAGGCTAAACAATTTACTGCTATATCTTCTCCTGTTTTCATAGTTAAACGTTGGAAAGAGAAGTATAAAGTAGACAATCATCTCTCGGATACACTAGTCTAAATGGAGTCTGGAGTCTGGAGTCTGAAATGGAGTCTGGAGTTTGGCTGGAGTCTAAATGAAGTCTGGAGTCTGGCTGGAGTCTAAATGAAGTCTGGAGTCTGGCTGGAGTCTGAAATGGAGTCTGGAGTCTGGCTGGAGTCTAAATGAAGTCTGGAGTCTGGCTGGAGTCTGAAATGGAGTCTGGAGTCTGGCTGAGTCTAAATGAAGTCTGGGTCTGGCTGAGTCTGAAATGGAGTCTGGAGTCTGGCTGGAGTCTAAATGAAGTCTGGAGTCTGGCTGGAGTCTGAAATGGAGTCTGGAGTCTGGCTGGAGTCTAAATGAAGTCTGGAGTCTGGCTGGAGTCTGAAATGGAGTCTGGAGTCTAAATGGAGTCTGGAGTTTCTTCACTTCAAACTGAATACAGCAAGATTCTGAGCTTGAAATCTATATAAGTTCGAGCTCGTGATTTTTTCCCGTCAATTTTTGCAATAATTTTCGCCAAAAGTACGGGATTTTTTCTCAAGTATGCGTTTTAAAAAAATGCATTACTCGCGAGGAACACACTTTAGTAGTGATCTCTCTAACAGACATAGGAATTCCGAGTTCTCATGCTTCTACAGTCGATACAATAGAATTCTGAGCATTCTGTGCAGTTCAAACAAGATTTAAACTTTAGAGTTCAAACAAATCACTATAATATCATTCAAACAATGCCCCAATTATGTTTTCACATTTCGAAATGATTGGTAAAAGAAATAGAGAGGTTTAAGCGACCATCTCCCCAGAAATCAGATGATTATCATTACCGTTTTATACCAGATCTTTGGTTTTTATGGTCATGAGAAATATTGCCTCAAGTTAAGTGCCTGACGAGCTCAGCATGCCACTGGGTTGGTTCAATTACCCAGAATGATGCCTAAGCGGTGCTTGTCTGCAAAGAACAAAGAACGCTTGAGAACAAAGAACAAAGAATTCATCATAACTACAATCGACTACGATATAGCGGCTCTTGATACAACGATTTGCTTGATATAACGACTCATCCTTACGATTTCGGCCAAGTCCTTAACAAGATACCTTAAGTAAAGCTTTTTTTAGCCACTTTTGCACTAACTTTTGATTTGATACAACGATTTTGTAACTAAAACGCGAATAATTTTCTAAAATGGGATGTTGTTCATAGCACGAATGCATTTGATTATATTCTTGCCAACAATGGCCAACAACTTCTTGCCAACAACTTCAACTATAAGTGTTCGAACATTGTCCGCAATCGTTGATGCCATAAAATAACCAAGAAAGTTAAAAAGGAGAAGTTGGTGAAACCAGAGCAAACGATTTCACGGCACTAAGCTTATCAATGTTTTCAAAAGTTCCCAAAGCTATACAAGAAAAAAGGCTATTCAAAAGTTTTATTCAAAAGCTTTGTTCAAAAGTTTAAAATCTGCCTTAACCGTTCTTTTTTATGGGAAATTTTTGGTTAAAAATAAGCAGTCTTACGTTAGAGATTTTCGCTAAATTTTGAGGGAATTCGACGTTTTGTTATGTTCGTTTTTTTTGATAAACGATTTATTGTAACTTGATATAACGATTTGGGCGAAAAGCCTTGATGTTTTTACTTCTATATAACAATTTTTCATCTAACGATTTTCGATATAGCTATTGGGTTGGTGAATTGCAAACTGCCGGACTTTGAACTAAAATTTATTCAACATAAAGCCATCAGTTCATTCCAAATAATTTCCATTATTATTGACGACTTCTGCCCATTTTACAGGCAATTTGCGGATTCCTCTTTCGTAGTAGGATTTTGGTTTGTGTGTGAGACAAGTGTGAGACTCAAAAATGGAGGGCTGGAGATGCCAGCTGTCAGCCCAGTTTGAGCACTTTCTTCAAAAGAAACCCATTTTGGTGTCAATGGAAAAGTTGTAGAGAATCAAAAATTAGGCTTATAGCCAAATTTCCAAAAAGATACACTTAGTAGTTTCGCTTAAAATGCAAGTTTTGTGAAAATTCGTAAATTTGGCATTTCTTGAAAACCAGTTTTTGAATCGTTCTGAAAATTTGGATATAAGCTTGATTTTTGATTCTCTACAACTTTTCCATTGACACTAAAATGGGTTTCTTTTGAAGAAAGTGCTCAAACTGCGACATATGACAATGGCCCGCAGTTTTCAATTCACCAACCCAATATTTTTCGACATAATAATTTCGTTTCGCGATCCCGACACAATCGTTATATCGAGAGTTGACTGTATAAGAGGATTGATTCGTACATTATCAAAAGCTAAAAATGATTAAAACACTTCTACCAAAGTTTCACTTTTTATAGAGATCATAGAGATTCGGCACTATCCAGTTAAGAAGCGATCTCCGTGTCTATGGATAACACATCTGTGCTAAATATTTAGCACAATATTTAGCATTTATATTTACGTTCAAGCCTGCAAATTTACATCCAAACGTAGTTCCACTTATTTACATCCAAACGTAGTAAGAAAACGTGAAACGACTACGGAAAAGTACGAATTTCGCTCAATAATTGTCTCGCCTGAATACCTTTTTCTTCCCTTTTTCTCTGAATACCTTTCTTCTGAATCCTCTTATATCATTTTTGAAATTTGTTCATTTCCTCGCTGCTAAGTCAGTGTTAAATTCAAGTTAAATCAGTTAAATTGTTGCTTACATCGTGTTTTGGACCAAATCTTAGTCGATTTTGCTCGAATCCTTCCGCATTTTAGATGCATTATTGAATTCGTGCAAGTAACCCGTTGCAGTTTGAAGTATAAGTACCAATAACTGTCGTAAATTGTGGCTGGTTAACCGAAGTTTTTACGATAAAGGTGCAAAAGATGGAAAGGCTTGTTTCAAACACACATAAACTAGTGTAAAGACAAGAATTTGTTGGTAGAAACACCCATGTTTTAGCACTTCTTTTTCTTCTTCCTTTTCTTCTTCGTCCTCTTCTTCTTCTTCTTCTTCTTCTTCTTCATCTTCTTCTTCTTCTTCTTCATCTTCTTCTTCATCTTCTTCTTCTTCTTCTTCTTCTTCTTCTTCTTCTTCTTCTTCTTCTTCTTCTTCTTCTTCCTTTTCTTCTTCTTCTTCATCTTCTTCTTCTTCTTCTTCATCTTCATCTTCTTCCTTTTCTTCTTCTTCTTCATCTTCATCTTCATCTTCTTCCTTTTCTTCTTCTTCTTCTTCATCTTCTTCATCTTCATTTTGTTCTTCGTTTTCTTCTTCGCCCTCTTCGTCCTCTTCTTCTTCATCTTCATCTTCTTCCTTTTCTTCTTCTTCCTTTTCTTCTTCTTCCTTTTCTTCTTCGTCCTCTTCTTCTTCGTCCTCTTCTTCTTCTTCATCTTCTTCTTCATCTTCATCTTCTTCTTCATCTTCATCTTCTTCCTTTTCTTCTTCTTCCTTTTCTTCATCTTCTTCTTCGCTCAATGTCTTTAAACTTTGTCTTGATTGGCCGTCAGAGATCAGTGGACTCTTTAAAGATATTCACGTGAACAACACATGAATCAACAAGGAGGATTCCCCCATCCCACTTGCTCTTCTTCTCTCCATTTCCCCATCCCATTCGCTCTTCTTCTCTCCATTCCTATCCCCTCTGTGTCTCAATATTTTTCTCTCCACTTTAACATAAAAGTCTATTCCTTTGTTGTCTTTTGTCTGATATCTCTTAAAAGCTCAAATCCTAATCTCTCCTTTCGAAACACAGTCTTTTCAAGTGTAATTTTTAAAGAGCCGCCTCTATCTTTTTTTCTGTCTGTTGATTGATTTTTAAAGAGAGATTCCTCGGCAAAGAGCCGTTTTTTGGAAGAATTTCTCGAAAGATTGATCATTTATCATTTAGATTTGGTCTATATTTTAGTTTATTTAGTTTATTTAGTTTATTTAGTTTATAATCATTTAATAATTTATTACGGATTTAGTAGGTTATTGCCAAATTGGATTAGTTTCAAAAAACAAGAAATTTTGCCGAAAAAGCCGTACATTTTGGCTAAAAGTTCAATTCTTCTAGAACCTTCTAGTCCACTTTCCCGTTTTTACAAAAACAAATGAGAAAAGAGAGTGTGGGATGGGATTTGCACGATAAGAACACCTTGCTAACGGCGAAAACAAGTCCTTCGAGAATCGTTGATCACCTATCATTGACGCCCCTTTTCCACATTTTCTTTCCTTTCAAAAACCCAAAAACAACGGAAACCTTTTGCTTTTCTTTTTCAGACTTATCAATTGGCTTTCTGCTTTCAAGAAAAAGTGGTTGTTATCCAAGTTTTGAGCAGCTATTTGAAGCTTTTTTTGCAACGGTAGACAAACTCTCTCAGTGATCTCTCTAGTAAATTGATCAGAACTGAAAGAAATCAGAAAGAACTGAAAATGACTTAAGATTTGATCTTTTTGATGACTTAAGAGTTGATCTTTTGATTTGATTTGATATAGATTTGATATTTTGAGTTTTTGAACATTACTGTTGATGTTAAATGAGATTTTAAATGCTTTAAATGTAGTAAAGCTTTGATCATCAGATTTAGATCGAAAAATGGCTTCTTTCTTTTTTTCGCTTTCTCAAATTGAATCTTTTCTTTCAATCTTTTACAAACATTCTCTATAATAGAGTTTTTTTTTCTTTGCCATTCTTTTCCAGAACATTCACCTGTACAGTTGTTGTGCTAAGAAAAGATTTGGTATTACCTACCGTGAAAACTGTAATAGTACCCCATCCCCATAATGACGGTGCGGAGTGTTGCGTAGTCTAGCTTTGAACGAGTTTTTCTCGACACTGGTTTATGTTACAATGCGCGTTTAGGTATCAAAAAATAGCCCTGAATTTCAGCTATTTTTTGATACCAAAGACGCATTTTTTGAAAGTACGGGTGCTTTGAAAAAAATGAAATACTAAAAAACTTTTGCGACTACGCGGCTGTACGAGGGGGATAATAATAATACTTTATTCAAACGATAAAGTGAAAGGAATCATAGAGAAATGCACAGTGATACTTAATCATACAATACATACTGAAATCAATAAGCCAATTACTTACGGCAAAGAGCCACTAGATCTAAAGCATCGATACGTTTCTTGAATATGAAAAGCGACTGAATTTCTCGTATGTCGTTTGGGAGCAAGTTCCATAATCTAGCGGCTCTAACGGGAAATGAATTTGATAAAGAGGCATTGGAAGCAAAGGGAATTTACAAAAGGAATGAGCCACTTCTGGGCCCTGACCGCGGTTTAAATTTGAAAAAGTCTATAAACAAAGGGCTAATCTGTTTACAACGGAGGATTTTGAAAGTTTCGACTAAATCAATGACTAAGCGACGATGCTGTAAAGTTTTTAGTTCAAAAAAAGCAAGTCTCTCCTCATAAGTAAAGCTAGAATATTTAGAATAGTCAATTTTCCATAAAGCGACTTTTGTGAACCTCCTCTGAATTTTCTCCAAGCGTTCAATAAAGACTTGTGCGCGGGGAGACCAAAAAATAGAAGCATATTCTAAGATGGGCCGGATATAAGTCGTCAAGCATTTGCGGTAAGAGTCTAGGTTAGGATGAACAATTGATTTGAGAAGACGGCTAGAAACAAAAGAAGCTTTTCGACAAATGATTTCAATATGTTTAGTGAAATTAAAAGGGGGAGAGATGTGGGCACCTAAATCTCTAACAAAATCTAATTTACTAATGTAATTGATAGGAATATTGTTAATTACCAAAGAGAAACTAAATTTACCAGTGGAAAAATGTTGAGATTTTGAAGGGGATAGGGAAAGCTTCCACGTTTTGGCCCACAAATTAATAAGTTCTAAGTCATGGTTTGCATCTTTTACAGCCGCAAGCGAAGCTACTTGAGTTCCGATGGGAATTTTGAACGTAAGCTTAGCATCATCGGCATAGAGCCAGATGGAGGAATTTTTTGATTTGAAAGGACAGTTAGGCAGGTCATTAATATAGATAGTAAACAAAAGAGGACCAAGAATACTACCCTGAGGAACCCCGCTAGGACAATGAGATACTATTACAGTATTTACGGTAGATATTGATTATTGGGTATTGATTATTAGTTATTAAGTTATTGATTATTACCGTAAATACTGTAATAGTACCCCACCCCCATAATGACGGTGCGGAGTGTTTCGTAGTCTAGCTTTGAACGAGTTTTTCTCGACACTGGTTTATGCTACAATGCGCGTTTAGGTATCAAAAAATAGCTGAAATTCAGGGCTATTTTTTGGTACTAAAGACGCATTTTTTGAAAGTACGGGTGCTTTGAAAAAAATGAAATAATGAAATACTTGCGACTACGCGATTGTACGAGGGGGGTGGGGTACTATTACAGTATTTACGGTAGGTATTGATTTGTGCTAAGAATAGATCTGCTTTGACTGTTTTTTAAGCAGTATTCATCAATTTCTACTCTCATTAATCCGCCTTTTTCAATTCTTACCAAAATCACGCATATTCTTGTCTTGCAAAACATTGTCTTGCAAAACATTGTCTTGCAAACAAAACTTTCTCTCTTTTATTTCATCTTTTACCATCTTTTCATCAATTGTCACCAAAGTGCAGAGCTGAACTTTGATGCCTAAAATATTTACTCTTTTCAAAAAGGAAAAGAGCATTCAGCAAAACAAATTCGATGAGAAAATCCATGCAATTCATTGAGTCAATAGAAAGATAAAGTCAAATTTGTCAGGTAGCCAGATAAATTGATCTGACTGATCTGACTGATCTGAGCTGACTTTTCATTTGATCATTATATTCGCTTTGGTTTTGATTACTCTTTGTCAAATCTTTTACCAAAAACCTTGCCTTCTTCTCCCGTTAAAATCCAAAACTCTGAAATATCCAGTTTACTCAAATCTTAGAAAATCTTGACCAAAGAAGAGAGCTGTTATTCCTACAAAAATCACAGCTCAATCAGGCCAATCCCCAAAAATAGAAGTCATCAATCATTTCCTTTTTAATGATCACAATCATTTAATGGTCCTTTTATCTGTGATCCATTTCTTGGTGACTTTTAGAGATCTCATGGTATGAAATTTCTCATCCAGCACGTCTTTAGTTCAAAACATTTAGTCAAGTCTGATTTTCACGTGAATTTCCCAGTATTTTTTTGTCTAAGTGTAAAGTTTTTGACACAAAAAGAAGCTATTTATGTGATTGCATTTTCCGGTAATTGAGAGGGATCGGTGTTTTTCTGATTCACTCTCTTTCTCTTTCTCTTTGTCTTTCTCTTTCTCTTTCTCTCTCTTTCTCTCTCTCTTTCTCTCTCTTTCTCTTTCTCTTTCTCTTTCCCTTTTCCCTAATCTGTCCCTTGTTGCTTACTTGACCACAGAGAGAACGCCTTTTACATCTTTCATTCAAAACATGCTTTTCATTATTGGAAAATTTTGAGATCATCTTCCAGTATCTATAAACCCTCTGAATGCTCAATTAAATCTATTTTATCTGTTTTAAAACAATTTCTTTTTATCCTTTCACTGGTTTGTTGACAACATCGGAGTGTTCCCTTTTCCCCATTGATCTCTCTCTTCTTTTCAACATTTCTCATGTTGCCCTTTTTTCAGAAATCCCCAAAACTCTATCGTTTCCGAATTTCAACGATTTTTCCATGGTTACCGAGGTTTTTTTACAAAAATTAATGATTTCCCCAAACTTTTTCTTTCAGAAAACTGCAGTCGACACGAGAATTTTCTCGGAAAAAATGGTCGAACAAGTGGAAATCCTCGTGCCGTTTCATGGAAAAAGTGAGAATGATCCGTTGACAAAATGTGTTGAGGTATGGAATAGAAAAGATTGATAAAGTTAATGATTGATTGATTGATAAAATTCAATTTCAGATCCTCGTACAAGTGTTGGATCGACTTGGAAAGAGTGCAAGCATTGATCCGAAATTTGACGGCGGTGTTTTCGTCCAAGCGACTTGTGTTCAAGTGGTGAATCTCTGGAAGCAACGAGGGAAAGAATCGGAAATCGCTTTCAAAGTAGTGAAAAGTAAAACTAGTTACTATAAATACTTTCTCAGGGAGTTCTATCAATCTTGGAGCTTTGTCTCACCCAATGGTCTCAACAATCGGCGCTCTTCGAATCTCTCATCAATATTCTCGGCTTTGGATCGGTCGCGTTTTGGAGAGTTGCCGTTCCATTCGTAAGAACTTTTACACATTCAAGAAAAACTCATTTTTGGCTTGGCTGCCATTTCTGGCCACAGCTATGTTAGCTGTAGACCTGAAAATTTGTAACTGGAGGCATTCTGGGATGGAGATCTCATCTGGTAAAATTTGGACCTAAAAACGGCCCCTCCCGCCCCCCCCCCCCCCCCCTCCCCCCCCCCCCCCCAGGGGGCCCCCCCCCCCCCCCCCCCCCCCCCCCCCCAAACCCCGGCCCCCCCCCCCCCCCCCCTTCCCGAACAACCCCCCAAATTAAATGGGATTCCTTGGGCCTCGAAGGCCCTGATTTTGCAAAGTTTGAAGTCGTAAAGTAGGCAGACGCGAAAAAGGGTGAAATTACGTACACCCGGTGGGCCGTATCGTTTAAAAAAATCCTTATTTTATCTGGATCTAGGTCTACGATTCTGATTTGACTTATGGGACCCAGCACAGAGATGGCTTGTTGTTCAGCTTGGCTCTCTATGATGTCAACAACAGCAAGAACAAAATGAGGTTGCTTGAAAAGATCAAACAAAAGAAGCAGGCAAAAGAATCAAACAAACAAAAGATCGCCACTAGATCTTGACATCGTTCGTATTTAGAGAGCTTTACGCAGCTGTTCCGGGGGTCCGGCAAAGTATGCTGGGAGTTCATGCAAAGAGATTTGGAGAGAAGTATCAGCACATGCAGGTAAGGCTTAATGATTAAAGCTATGATTAGAGCTATGAAGAGAATTATGAAGAGAGCTATGAAGAGAGCTAAGATTAGAGCTATGACTAGGGCTAAAACCTGTCTTGATGCATTACAAATCCTAGGTGACAAGAAGTCGAACAAATTCCCGTGTGAACTCAACTCATGGATCGACTGAAGATCTTTTCAGCCTTGACTCATCCGAAAAACTTGATTCGTTGAACAATGATTTGCTAGACGACGCGGTTGTTTCGGCTTTTGTTGAAACACCAGCTCAGAAGGTTGCTTTCATGCTTTGCTGTACTTCCAGGAGCAAATTCTCACAATCAGATCTTAAAACTGGTTTAGCAAAGAGTGATCAACGTCTCAAACGCTCCTCCAGTCTCGATCAATAGACGGAGCAGCGGTTGCTGGGAGATCAAGCAAGGATCTGGTGGCTTGGTGGCCTGCGTGGATCCGGTGATGTCTGTGGATAAAGAAAATATTTGGCTCGCGAATCTTGGAATCAATCCACAAGCTGATGACTCTTCTGACGAGGTGAGAGGCTTTGAAAATCATCAATTGAGAATGTCGCTAGTTTTTGGTTTATCTCTATTTGAGGATCCTCCACCAAGCACCAATTCACTGGGTCTTCCGTTGATCAAACAAGCTCGAGCTGGTGAAATCTTTCACGTTCTCGAGGAGAACTCAGCGAACAAGGCTGAAACGGAACAACAAGCTCAAGTCGAGTATGAATTCAGCCAGCGTTTTAGTCAATTCAGCTAGCATTTTAGAAAACCTACCCAACTTTTATTTACTGATCTCAAATTTCAGAAGAGATATGTCTTTGCTTTCCGTCCTTCATGACTACAACAAGACAAACTATCAGCTAAATCCCGTATTCGTAAATCAAGATGATTATAATGCTTATTATGGAGGGATTTCAAATGGAATCCTCTGGCCAGCTTTGCACAATCTTCCTCAATACATTGCACAAGATTACGATGATTTAAGGGTTTGTAAAGGGTTGTTTACGATGATTTAAGGGTTTTCCGAAAAACACGACGACTAAATCCCTTTCAGATTCTTGATGAGCATTGGTGTTCGTATGTTCGTGTCAACCTTCAATTTGCTATCAACGCAGCAAGAAATAGTCGACCTCAGGACTTCATTTGGATTCATGATTATCATTTGATGCTTGTTGGGCAATTGATGAGATCACTGGATTCGGATTTGGAGGTTTAAAGAATAGATTTATTCAAACGAATAATATCGTGCAAACAATACAAAGCACAATCCTTAAGCCATAAATTTAGGGAAAAACCCATACATCTAAATACTCTAAAAGACGTACAGTCTCGTAGTCCTTCTCGTGGTCTTTTTCGAAAAATAGTCTCGTAGTCTTACGCCACCTGCTCGTACAGTCGCGTAGTCCTTCTTTTTAGAAAAATAGTCTCGTAGTCTTACGCCACCTGCTCGTACAGTCGCGTAGTCCTTCTTTTTAGAAAATCCTTTTTCTCAACTACTTTTCTCAACTACACTTTTGGTATTTAAAAATACTAGATTTCAAGAGCTATCATTTGACACCAAAGCCCACACTGTAGCATAAAGCAGCACGGAGAATGAGACGCTCAAAGTTAGACTACGCAATTGTACGCCGATCATTATGGGGAAGCCGTTCTATTAGAGCATTTACAATATTTCACAGTGGCTTTTTGCTGATTCATTGGAATCAACAAAAATGTGAGTTTGTTGAAGTTTCACGTGCAAAACTCGTCACATTAGTTTTGCTTAAAACTTTTCAAAGCTCTTTTCATTTCTTTTGCACTAAGGCCATCATGGCCGGCTGGCTAAGAGCCTTGTTTCTAAGACCATGGTTAGTCTAGAGGCCAAGGGTTCAATCGCGCCGCTCGATTATTGATTCTTTTTTTCCATAAATATGATGTGAGTTTGTTGAAGTTTCATGTGCAAAACAACATCTCTTTTGCTTTTGCTTGGCACATTTCTTTTGCTTAAAACTTTTACCTTGTTGATTCCAATGAATCAGCAAAAAGCCAGTGTAAAATATTGTAAATACTCTAATAGAACGGCTTCCCCATAATGATGGGCGTACAATTGCGTAGTCTAACTTTACGGAAAAAACGGAAAAAGGAAACAATAATCGAGCCGCCGGGATTGAACCCTTAGCCTCTCGAACTGACCATCGTCTTAGAAACAAGGCTCTTAGCCAGTCTGTGATGATGGCCTTAGTGGAAAAGAAATGAAAAGAACTTTTTCAGGTCGCCTTCTTTCTACATATCCCATTTCAACCACCAGATGACTTTATGACAAAATATCGAGCCGTCGCTGAACCAATTCTTCGAGCGATTTTGAGATTTAAAAAGGTTTAGAAAGATTAAAAAAGGATTTGCATTTTCCATCATTTGCCTACTATAGAAATCTTTATTTAGGTGGGATTTCAAACGGATCGTGATCGTCGTAAATACATCAGCCTTGTCGAGAAGCATATCCCAAGAGCTCGGATTCAATATGAAGAGACGGTTGACATTTTCACCGTCAACTATGAGGTTTTGAATTTGATTGAAGTTAACTAGCTTTAAAATATCGGTATTGAGTTGGACTAGACTGAGTTGGACGAGACTGAGTTGGACGAGACTGAGTTGGACTTTTTTATTACCAATGTTTCTCTTTCAGGCAAACGCTGCCTGTTCCCTCGGAGTTTTCCCCGTTTCAATCAAAAATGAGGATTTTCTTGGCATTGCCACTCAAGATCAAACAAAAATCCTTTCAATGGATATTCGGAAAGAAGTGATAAACACTTTAAAACCGATTTTGTCAAGAAAAACTTTAGATTCTTTCAAATTCTTTCGATGGCGGTCGATTCTTTTTCTCCGTTGAGCGCTTTGATTACACAAAAGGAATCAAAGAAAAGCTGACTGCTTGGAGGAGGTTTTTTAATTATCAAAGTTATTAATTATCAAAGTTATTAATTATCAAAATTATTAATCATTAATTATCAAATCTTCATTTCTCTTTTAGATATTTTGAAAAATATCCGGATCGAATCGGTAAAGATGTTCTTTTGCAAATTGCTGTTACGAATCGAAGATCGGTCGACTCGTATCGGTAAAAAAAAAAAAAAAAAGAGTGCACTTTGAAAGAAGATTCTAGAAAATATCAAGATGCTTGTTTGGACATAGCAAATGCAGTAAATGCGGAAATCAAGGATGAGAAAAATCCAAAATGGAAGCCATTGATCTTTAATACGGATGGTAAGTGAAGAAAGAGAGAACATTCGATATTCGATCCAATCCAATCCAATCTATCCAATCTAATATCTAATATAGTTTGGGGTGCGACCCGCTTTAACCTTATCATCGGGGATGACTTTGCTTCAGAATAGCCGAGTAGCACAAAAAGGTTAAAAGGCTTTCCCCAAAACGCTTACAACATAACAAGAACACGCAGCATCCAAAATAAGGTTAATACTCGTGATAAGAGTACAGAACGGATTGATACTTCGTCGATGGCGACAAGCGAGGACGTTGGGAGGCTTTGGTAGAAAACCCTTTTACATCCGCCGTATAAACCAGATATTTGTCTACCTAACTATCGCTTATTTAAATCTATACAAATTTCTCTAGATCTTTTTATATTGGGTTGGCGCCCATGAACGGTCGGACTTTTCAAAAAGTTCAGTTTCTTGAATTTCATGTTTTTGCTGCCCCTGCGGACCGAAATCCTTGGGATGAATCCAAAAATTCACAGCGGCGCCCTTCAGCACCCTTTTACAGGCACTTGGGATCCCATTTCAACCGACAGAGAACCTGCCATAGTGGTCAAAATGAGCTGGACTTGGGTTTGCCAATTCTACAGCCGAAGTTAGTTTGGGAAGCGGTGACCATATGGGGCAGACAACGGATTGGTTACCGGATGACCCAAAATGGACGCTTCCGATTTGGGAGGTGAAAAAGCAACGATATGAGCAGATGAAGTATGCCAGTTCGAGTGCGATTGTGCTCGCGCACAGGGAACACTCGGGTTTTTTTTACATTTTGAAGTTCAAACACATCAAATTTTTGAAATCTAGTTATAATGTTTTTCTTATAACACTGTCAATCGATTCCCCAACCCAGAAAACCCCGGGTGCAATTTCTGTGTTCAAAAATTTGATGTCTTTGAACTTTAAAGTGCAAAAAAGGATCGCTGAGTGTTCCCTGTGCGCGAGCACAATCGCACTCGATCTGGCATACTTCATCTGCTGATATCGGCGTTTTTTCGCTGGTCCAATCGGAAGCGTCCATTTTGGGTCATCCGGTAACCAACCCGCCCCATGTGGTCATCGCTTCCCAAAACTAACCCCGGCTGTAGAATTGGCAAACTCAATTCCGGCTCATTTTGACCACTATGGCGAGTTCTTCGTCGGTCGAAATGGGATCCCAAGTGCCTGTAAAAGCCTGCTGAAGGAACCCGCTGTGAATTTTTGGATTCATCCCAAGGATTTCGGGCCGCAGGGGCAGCAAAAAAACTCAAGCAACGACAGTACAGGATGTCCCAAAGAAAAAATCCACTTCGGGTCAAAAAAGTGTTTCTTTTTTTTTAAAAATATTTCTGATGGCTCAAGGTGGTAGGTATGGTGCGAAAATGATTTTGTTTGGGGTCGGGAAATTTGGATGTTTTTCATGATTTTGACCATATCACGACCCTCTCTATGCAAGAAATTCCTGAGCCACCACCACCATCAGATTTTTGCCATAAAATTAAAACTTTGTACTGGCGTCGTGGTGTCATGTTAGAGTTAATATATAAACTAAGATTTTTAGCCAAACATTTTATTCATCTACATTATATGAAAACCTGTCGTACATAAGAGATTTTCAACTTACTTTTTTTTAAAGAAGTTTCCCGTTTTTCCAAGCAAACACTGATCAATAAAATGTATGGTTTAAATTTGTAGTTATCCTAATAGTGTTTATTATGCATCACAATGCCAGTACAAAGTTTTAACTTTATGGAAAACCTCATGGGAAAAACCAAACCCACACTGGCAAGCATTTTTCGAGAAAACATTTTGGAGTCGCGCACTAAAATGCATTTTGAATTTAAATTCCTAAAATGAATTCAAATTCCTCTCTTAAATTTTAGCAAATCACTCTCTTAGTGGATGCCCCGCGTAGTTGGTTGTTTGATAAGGAGCTTGAAAGATAAAATATTAGGTTGAAAGTCTTTTCGTTCCTTTTCGGAACTTCCCCTTAAAACCAACAAAGCCAATTGAAGCCAATTATTTCATTAGAAAGGCCAATGATTTCTCTGAAAAATTAACAAAATTAACAAAATTGTTTGTTTGAAAATTTGACTATATTCTCTAGATTTAAACTGTATTTAGGACTTCCAAGAGCCAAACTAATTGCGCATTACTTGGCTATGGACATCGGTGTTGTCACTCCGTCTAAAGATGGAATGAATCTCGTGGCAAAGGAAATGTTGATCTGTAATCCGGAAGCTGGACTGATTCTCTCATCAGGTAACAGGACTGATTCTCTCATCATCATTTGCTCCAAAGTGTTAAGTGATTTTGGGATCTACTGGAGTACTCTACTGGTGGATATGTTTATTTTACAGGTGCTGGCACTGATGTCCAACTCGGTAGCGCTGGTTTCTATACAGAAGAAGAGCGGTGCTATCATCGAGTTGCTGACATTGGAAATGTTGAAGAGTTTGCTGATGCTTTCTATTCGGCGGCAATGGAAGAACAAGATGAGAAAGTGGCAAATGGAAGTAAAGGGAAAGCAAGGAGAATTCAAACAGATAAAATTCAGGTCGATTGAGCAATTTCTTGAAAAGCCATGATATCGATGAGTGGAGCACAGCCTTTTTGGATCCGTCATGGACACATGAAGTGATCAGAATGACTACGGTAAATCAGGAAACTGGCTCACTGCAAGAACACAGGTTTTCTAGGTGTCTCAACTCTCTGATTTCTTTGTTCTCATGGAGAAAACAGCACAAGTTCGACGCCAGATCGTTGAAAGTGTCATGAAGGGACTTCCCATTCGACAACATGCTCAACTTTCGCTAGAAAATGCAAAGGTTGTTTTGTGGCTTCTGCAATTCACTCCCACTTTTAGAACTCGCTCGAAAACTCTTGCAAATATGGAACCACTCAAATGACACTGAAGACAGATGATGGTAACCAGTAGACATGTATTCGATTGAAATTCTGTCGGTTCGGATCGGATCGGTTTGGATCGGATCGGATCGGTTCGGATCGGTTGGATTGGATCGGTTCGGTTGGATCGAATCGGATCGGATCGGTTCGGATTGGTTGGGTTCGGATCAGATCGAATCAGATCGAATCGGATCGGATCGGTCCGGATTGGTTCGGATCGGATCGGTTCAGACCGAGTCGAATCGAATCGGATCGGATCCAATTGGATCAGTTCGGATCGGATTCAATCCGATCTACTAGGTTGGTGCAAATGAAATTTCGTTTTTTTACAAACATTAAAGTCATCCAAAATTTTTTTAGATAACAATTTATTTAAAACAATAAGCACCATTATTATCTATGACATCCCTCCAACGTTGCTTCAGATTGCGGATCCCCTTCTCAAAGAACGCTTGATTCTGTGATGCAAAGTAGTTGGTCACCCAATTTTGGACTTCTTTTGCATTCTTAAACTGGCAATTCTCAAGGGAATGTTGCATCGATCCGAAAAGGTGAAAATCGGAGGGTGCTAAGTCTGGACTATACGGCGCATGTGGTAAGACCTTCCATCCTAGCTTCTCTAGTTCCTTACAAGAGGTTTTTGCCGTGTGAGCTGGAGCATTATCACGGAGAAAGTTGATAGTTGAGGGATTTAGGCCTTTTTCACGCAAAATTTCGTCAACCTTCTTGGGTTGTTGAATAAAATAAGATGAATCGACTGTTTTTCCGGGCTCTAATAATTCAAAATGAACAAGTCCATTGATATTCCACCAGCAAGACAACATCACTTTGCGCCCATGATAATCCGGCTTTGGAGTTGGAATTGGCGCTTGACCTTTGCTCAGCCATTGTCTTTTTCGAGAAGTATTATCAAAGTGAATCCACTTCTCATCCATCGTCAAGATATTCTCAAAAAAAATGGCTTCTTTTCGACTTAGGGAGCAAGATATGGCTGATCGAAACGCGTGCTCCCAGATTCTCAACACTCAATTGATGTGGAACCCATTGTCCATTACGATTTGTCTTTCCAATTATTTCCAAATGGCGTACAATTGTTGAATGATCACATTGGAGATGTTTGGCAAGTTCTCGTGTTGTTTGCATTGGATCAGCTTCAATTAATTGTTCCAATTCATTGTTGTCGATGGCTGTGGCACGATGTCCATGCGATTCGTCTTCAAGGGATTCATTACCATCTCGGAATTGGGCAAACCAGAGCTGGCATGATCTTTCGGTGATAACCTGTTCTCCAAAGGCGGAACAGAGATCACGATGTGAATCAGCAGCGTTTTTGCCCATTTTGAAGTCATAGAGAAGACACGTGCGCAGAACATACTTTTGATCCACCATGATCTAAAGCAAAAATCAATTAAAAAGTGAAAGCTCTGACTTTGAAAAAATGCGAAAATAAAGTAAATATCCAAGAGTACAAATTCACAAAAGAACATCAAATAAGCTCTTCAGATTAAAAAAATAAGAACATTTTATATCGACCGAAATTTCTTTTGCACCAACCTAATAAAAACTGATTTTAACTTGAATCTTCACTAAATTAACTGAATCGGATAATTTGCATTTTAAATAATACAAAATTTGCATTTAAAACCAAAAAAGAAACTAGGGAACTGCTCCCACTCTAGCATCGATTTGGGATATTGGATCTAGCGCCACCTTGAATATGGGACCTAGCGCAGAAACGCATCGTGAAATTCTAAAGGATACGTGTTTTTCAGTTTTACTCCATAGCATCCAGTTTTCGAGAAAAATGCTTTTGAAGTTTGGGCACTTTTCTGAGAAAACGGCGCCGCCACGCTATCAGACCGAATTACTTTTGCCAAACACTGACTGAATGGGGTAGCGGATAGTGTGCTCGCCCTTCGCGCTATTCCCTGTTTGCTACTAGCTCTGGTTCAAATCCCGTCGCTGTCAAAGCCTGTTTGGTTTTTGTTAAGGCACTAAATCAAATTTTTAGGTATTTTAAAGTGTCTATAAATGGTAAAAAGCTAAATAGGGCTGGAGCAGTTCGCTAGTAAGTGCAAAAAGTATGATCTTGAGTTAATCCGATCCGAAGCTAATCCTATCCTTTCTGTCAGATGGATCGGATCCGATTCAACCCATCAGATGGCAATTCTAATAGCTAGTAGACAGTAGACAATGAATATCTTTACTGAATAGCTTTTTTAGATGATGGCCAACAACTCGACATAACTTTTGCAATTCACGATGAACTTTCTGAGCTGCACAAGGATATCGCATTTTTGCAGTTTGTGCAAAGCGATGACATGCATAATGTCGAGAATTTTGTTGAGGTGAGGGATAAATCCCAGTACAAGTGTTCAACGTTGGCAATGAACTTACTTTTCTCAGACTTTGAGCGGTTTCCATCCCGATGGGCCAGCGATTTTCCAAGAAGAGGTGGCTCAGGCTTGCGCTCTTTTAAATGAAGGTAAGTTGTGAGCAGCTTTTGATGAGCTGAAGATTTCTAAGCTAACGTAAAGCTTTCAGGAGATCATTTCCAACATTTCTTTACCGATCGAGACGGTACTCTCAAGAGTTATTCTTGTACTTATCCAACAAGTGTCCAACCTGCCTACTCGGCTGTCATTCAGGCTCAATTCGCGAGAAAATGTGCTCAAGTTTGTGCAATTGTGACAACAAGTCCGCTTGTTCACATCGGAATCTTGAACATGATCACATTACCTGAAGGTTTGTGTGAGAGAATTGGTTTCGAAGTTCAGAATTTGAGGTTATTATGCTTATGGAGCGTCGGCTGGCCGGGAATGGTATATCAATCCGGCTTTGCAATTTAAAGATGACAGCTTAAGCGATGAGGATTTGAATTTGTTGAATCAAGCTTTTGAAAAGGTGGCAAAAAGCAATTGTCTACATATTTTTAAGCAAAAATCTAGGTGGAAGATCTTTTGGCAAAGCCACAATTCCGAAATTTCACTTGGATTGGTTCGGGTCTTCAAAAACATTATGGGCATATTACAATCGCTCGGCAAAACCAAGAGAAGAGCATGCAAAAAGCGCTTGGAAATATGTTGTAAGTTTGGGATTTTATTCTTTAAAGAAACTTTATATTTAAATATTGGGCTGGTAAATTGAAAACTGCCGGAGTTTGAACCAAAATTTATTCAACATAAAACCATAAATTCATTCCAAATAATTTCCATTATTATTGACGACTTCTGCGCATTTTACAGGCAATTTGCGGGTTCCTCTTTCGTACTAGGATTTTGGTTTGTGTGTGAGACAAGTGTGAGACTCACAAATGGAGGACTGGAGACTGGAGACTGGAGATCCCAGTTTGAGCACTTTCTTCAAAAGAAACCCATTTTGGTCTCAACAGAAAAGTTGTAGAGAATCAAAAATTAGGCTTATAGCCAAATTTCCAAAAGGATACACTTAGTAGTTTCGCTTAAGATGCAAGTTTTGTGAAAATTCGTAAATTTTTCTTGAAATCTTTCATTTCTTGAAAACAAGTTTTTAAATCGTTCTGAAAATTTCGATATAAGTTTGATTTTTGATTCTCTACAACTTTTCTATTCCTATAGATTGAGACAGCTTGATTTGCGGAGAAGTGAATGTCCACGGAACCGAGAGATTAGTTTAGCAAGGCGAAGGCGTTATGTAAAGAAGGCACGGAAAGAAGAGGGAAGGGGCTTATGTAAAGGCCCTGCGCCAGACGACGAGCGATTACGCGGCCGCACAAAGAACACACAGTACACGCAAATTTTAAGCGGAACTACTGAGTGTATCTTTTTGGAAATTTGGATATAAGCTTAATTTTTTGATTCTCTACAACTTTTCCATTGACACCAAAATGGGTTTCTTTTGAAGAAAGGGCTCAAACTGTCACATATGACAATAGCCGGCAGTTTTTAATTCACCAACCCAATACTTTTCAAGTTCCACGAAAAGTTGAGTATTTCAGGTTTAACGAAGTGTCAGAAATTGTAAACGACGTGGATCCTGCTGGGAAAAATTTAGTGCTAAAAGACGGAGAATTTGAGATGAAAATCTACGCAAAAACATTTGATAGCGAGGTAGGAAACTTTTAAAAGTCTCAATTACAGTAAAACGATAACAAAAAAGCTCCAGGGATTTCGAGAAACTCTTTTTCTTCTCGAGCTTTAGTCTCAAAATGCTAAGAAACGCTCTAAAAACAGTAAAAAAAATGTAGAAAAATGCTCTTTGGCTCTACCAATGTTTCCATTTACATAAAGAAGATTAATTTTACGCAAAAAATTTCACTCAAATTTTACTTAATTTTACTCCGTTTCAAATACTTTGAACTATTAGGTTGATGCAAAAGTCTTTTCGTTTTTTTCGTACTTCTGTTAAAAAGTAACAAATTCACCAATTAATCTATAGTTTGTTCTATAAAAAAAGTGTTTTTTTGTTCAATTTCCATCTTTTAAAATCAATTTCGGTTCACTTTCAAGCAAATTCGAGAGTGAAAAACGCCTTTTTCGTCAAAAATCGATAAAAAACTCTACGGAAAAATTGGCTGAATGAATTTCTCTGAAATTTTGGCGAAATATCAAACGTTTTTTTCTCTATCTTTTTATCTATTGACACGAAGTTAGGTTTTCTTTAGCTAAGGTGTCTAAACCGCATCATCGAGTTAGCCCTTTGAATACCAGACAGGTTCAATACATCAAGAAAATCCAGGCAGTAAAATATTTTTAAGCCTGTTTTAATGTTATTTTGCAGAAAAATAATTGGTTTTTCTAATGAAATCAACCGTAGTTTAATTGGTGCATTTGTTGGCTTGAAACGGCAGACGAAAAGGAACGAAAGGACTTATGCATCAACCTAATATTAACATCAAACAGCTATCATTAAAATCCAAAAGAAAAAAGTATGAGAAGGAGTTTAAACTAAACTTGTCTTTGAAAAGGAGAACAATTAACTTTGCAAATCCAAAAAAGCAAAAGAAAAAAGTAGAACAGCAGACTCGATCTAGAGATGCTTTGCTTTGTATTCTAACCCACGGCCACCCCTGCTTCTTAAAGCTTTGGGAAGTCTGCTTATAAACTCGGGGTTTGATTTTGAAAACCCATACAAAACTTGGCACGCTTATGACTTTTGACAGAGTGCTCCTTAACAAAAACGGAAAGCAGATTAGGAGTCAGCGTGAAATTGGCTTTAGCCGGCACACCCAGTTGACCTTCCTTTGTTAGTGAAGTGTGGAAAGTCGTAATGTTTGTTATCGAGGTTAAAATTACACTAATTTTACTCGTCGAGATCCGGAAAAGTCTGCTTGTAAACTTTTAGTTTTTGTTATCGAGATTTAACTTTATTCTGTTTTAGAACATCAATGGTAAAATCTTTAACAAAGGAAATGGAGTGAGATTGCTGAAGAAAAAGCTCAATTTGAAGTTGACAATAGGTAATGAAATGATGATAATAAAGAAATAAGTATAAGAAAGTATTGAAGAAAGGATTAAAGAAAGGATTGAAGAAAGAATTGAAGAAAGGATATTCAGGCAACATTCTCGTCTGTGGAGACTCCGAGAATGACTTGCCAATGTTGGAAGTATGTCTTGAACATGCAAAAGAGAAAGTGTTCACAATTTGGGTGACACGAGACGAGAAATTGAGACAAAAGGTAATTCTTATCATTGGAATTGAATCACCGATCATTTTCAGGTCATCTCACTCTGTCTTCAATACGGAAATTCGCATGTGGCTTTCGTTTCGTGTCCGGGGGTGAGATAATAATAATTTGAAATGCAAAAAAAGATTCAGACCAATCAAAATTTAATACCGGAATCCAGCTAATCTAGACTGAATACCCAATCTAGTCTAAATACCGTAATCGAGCTAATCTAGACTAAATACCGTAATCCACCTACCGTAATGCACTAAGAATCTCTGAAGAATTGATTCTGATCCCCGGTTTCCAATGCCTTCTTTCCAATTCAGCCTTCTTTCCAGGTTCTCCTTGGCGCAATGGCTCAAGCCACAGTTCGGGTATTTAATCTTCGACCGGTCAGTGGACAAGAACAGCAAAATTATGATGAATATTAAGCTTATTGTTTCAATTATTTATTTCTAAAGTTTTCTCTTATTTTAAGGATAGATAGGTCTTCGCAGCTCACAATTTTGCTCCAACAAGAAACGCCTTTCGTGCAATCAAACCTTTTTCAACTTTGCATAATTGAGTAATACTTAGATTTCAGTCCATTTGTTGTTTTTTTCTTGATTTTAAGATCTAGCCTTATTTGATTACGGTTCTTACGATTCAAGATGATTTGTTTGTGCTTTTCTTTGTTAGTTTGAAGGATCATCAGCTACTTTGTCTATGACAAAGCTTTTGTTTTGATGGGCCTTTTTGTTAATCAACTTGAAATTTTACATATTCCTAGTATTTTCATCTACTTCTTTCCTTTCTAGATCTTTGTTTTCCAAATAAAATAGTGTTGTTAACCCTTTGCACTCGAAATATTGACTTTCTTTCTTTGCCTTGCCTTGAACATAAAGTTGCTTGTTGAAGAAAGATTTGCATTGTTCTAACATTAAGTTCTGTAGATGATACAAGTTAATATGTTGCATTTGAATCCGAACTAGTGTCCGAATCCGAACTAGTGTCCGAATCCGAACTAGTGTCCGAATCCGAACTAGTGTCCGAATCCAAGCTAGAGTCTGAATCCGAACTAGTGTCCGAATCCGAGCTAGCGTTCGAATCCAAGCTAGCGTCCGAATCCAAGCTAGCGTTCGAATCCGAGCTAGCGTTCGAATCCGAGCTAGCGTTCGAATCCGAGCTAGCGTTCGAATCCGAGCTAGTGTCCGAATCCGAGCTAGCGTCCGAATCCAAGCTAGCGTCCGAATCCAAGCTAGAGTCTGAATCCGAACTAGTGTCCGAATCCGAGCTAGCGTTCGAATCCAAGCTAGCGTCCGAATCCAAGCTAGCGTTCGAATCCGAGCTAGTGTCCGAATCCGAGCTAGCGTTCGAATCCAAGCTAGCGTCCGAATCCAAGCTAGCGTCCGAAGCCGAATTGATTTCATATTTTTTTTACTAAATTAATGAACTTTTCCCCGTATGACTTTACTTTAAGAATCTATAAGTCTTGCTCTACAAAATGACAATAAAATCATCAAAATCGGTCAACTAGTTTTGGAGATACAAGCACACAAAGTGGAGCGCTCAAGCGTTTAGTTAGGATTCGGACGTGACGAATATCCGTATTTTCTCTAATGGTAGTGCACCCTGAGCGTCGCCTAAATTCCTCGAAATCTCGAGAATCGCTTATCAGAACCTATCGATGTGGGGTCGGAAAATGTAGCTGACGATGAGATCTAGTGGGAGATTAGAGTGTTGAGCTTCTGCAAAAGCTTGGAAACCGTAAAATAGTCACCAACGCGGTTCGCCGGGGTGCACTACTATTAGAGAAAATACGGTGTACTTTTATCAACCATTAGGCACATCTCATACAGTGACCCTTTAATTAGAGAGGCATTTGCATCAAGTATCAAGCAGAGATTTGCATCGTGTAATGCTCGTCTGATCATTGAATCGTAATCTAGACATATGCGTACTTTTTTTCAGAGTACCTTTTCCAGTAAACAGCTTCCATTTCGTGTAGCTTTGTTTTTGTTATCAAATATCAAATAAATCAGTAGCCAGAAGTAACCAGAAGAGTGAGAAATGCAAGCTGAACAAGAACAAGAACAAGAACAAGAACAAGAACAAGAACAAGAACAAGAACAAGAACAAGAACAAGAATACAGTGAGTGATCAAAGTGTCGATCGGTGACCACAAAATCATTCAAAGTGTTGATCGGTCAAAATCATCACTAAATCTGGCAAATTCTCATCAAACATTTACTTATATTAGGTGTGTGAAAAAGTAATCGACGTTTTTTATTTTTATTTTGTTTAAATAAATATATCTAAACAATTTTTAATTTTTTGTTAACGATATATATATATCGTTTAAAAGCTTATTTTTTCCTCTTTCGAATGATATATTTATTTTGTTAAAAGGACGACAATAAACTACTTTCATTTTAGTTTGAAAATGGTATACACAAGTATCGTTATTCGGTCAAATTTGCTTTATGAGTTCAAAAATAGGTTGAAAGCTGCGGAGGCTGCACGTCGAATTCGGAATGCGTTTGGCGAAGACGCCGTTATTGATGGTACCGCTAGGTTTTGGTTCCGACGATTCAAAGGTGGTGATGAAAGCCTAGAAGATGAACCACGTGGCGGTCGCCCTGAGACCTGTTAGGATGACCAAATAAGACGCTGTCTTCTCGAAAACCCTCGTTCAACCTCTTCAGAAATAGGCCTTACATTAAATTGTGATGGGTCAACCGTAAGGAAACGCTTGAATGCTATGAATTTTATCAAAAAGTTGGACAAATGGATAACCGCATGAATTGAGCTCCATGATAACGCGCGACCACATGTCTCTTTACAGACTCGACAAAAAATCCAGAGTGTTGGTTGGGAGGTTTTACCACATCCACCTTATAGTTCAGACCTTTCTCCATCTGATTATTATTTATTTTTGTCTCTGTCTTACTTTTTGGCCAATAAACGGTTCAATTCCGAAGAAGATGTCAAAACTGAGGTTGCTCTTTTCTTCGCCTCTAAGGACCAAGATTTTTATTATCGTGTAATGTCTTTATTTGTAGAACGTTGGCAAAAAGTTGTTCTTTCGAATGGTGATTACTTCGTTGAATAAAAATTATTTTAACGAAACTTATGGTCCTTTATATTTAAACGTTAAAAACTTCGATTACTTTTTCACACACCTAATATCAACAGCCAACCTTTCTAACGGTCTCCAGAATGTCAGTTTTCGTTTCATTTTACAAATGATCATTTTTCAGAAGAGAAAAACAGAAGAGAGTCATTGATTTGCATGCGAGACATCGATTGGCGGGAGAGAGGAATTCTCTCAAATAGAAAGCTCTTTTTGAGAGAAGGGGCCTTTGAAGGGGCCTCGTCGGGCCTTGCCCCTTTCCCCATCCCTTTCACCTATTTATTCCCCTTTCCACAGATCTTTTGCTGGCCATTTCTAAAAAGCTGCCATTTTTGGTAAGCCTTGAATTTGAGTGACATCATCTCGATGTCACAACTTCCGCGATCCGCCTCGTATGGAGCTGCAGATGCTGTGGAAGAAGGTTAGTGTTAAAGCAATTGATTCAAGAAACAGTCAAGAATCAATATTAGACTTTTAAAAGTTATCCTAGCTGTCTGGATATCCATACCCTGTCTAAAACTGAATCCTGTCTTAAAATGTAGTATTGCGAAGTCTTTAGCAGTCTTTAGCTTCATCAAATCTAAACGTTCTGGCTAAAAGTGTTTTAAAATCTATATTCTGATCCAGATTCAAATCCAGATTCAAATCCAGATCAAATCCAGATTCAAATGCAGCTTCAAATCCAGATTCAAATCCAGATCCAATCCAGCTTCAAATCCAGTTCAAATCCAGATCCAATCCAGCTTCAAATCCAGCTCCAAATCCAGATTCAAACCCAGATTCAAATCCAGATCCAATGCAGATCCAATCCAGCTTCAAATCCAGATCCAATCCAGATCCAATCCAGCTTCAAATCCATATTCAGCTCCAGCTTCAAATCCAGATTCAAATCCAGATTCAAACTCTTTCCTTTTTTAAGAATCATGGTAAAAACACATCAATTCCTTTTGCGCCTTGTTTATTTTCTTTTCCCAAACCCTCTCACAGTTCTCCTTTTGACCGTTCCCGTAGTTTGTAGTGAATATCCATTTTTGACATCTTTTCCCAAAAATACGTCAATGTTAAATTGTTTGCATGTATAAAAGAGTTCCCCTAGATGAAAATCAGATTATTCAAGGTTGGTTAAACATTGTTAAACAGCTTTGTAGTATTCTTGAAATAGTATTCTTTCAATATTTTAGAGAAAGGATGGCGATTGGAAAGGAGACATGCTGTGGCGATTCTCGCTTTCTTCGGATTTGCCAATATTTATGCGATGAGAGCGAATCTATCGGTGGCAATCGTTGAAATGACGAGTGGGACGGATAACGAAAGAAATGGAACGATAACGCATGTAAGTGAAAGTAAAATTGATAACAAATCAGTCGTAGCAAAGCTGTTTTGAAATATTTGAAAAAAAGACGGGATAACTTTTAGAAACAGTGTTTTAGTGTTTTAGATTTTAGTTCTGCTAGCAATGTTTGAACGTCTTTAAGGTACCACAAGGCTAACTATAAGCCTCTAAACCGTTAGAGGTAAAAGGTTAGAGGTTTTAGAAATAAAGGACTTTTAGAAAGAAAGGGGACTTTTAGAAATAAAGAAGAGTTTTGGAGTTAAAGGGATTGAATGAGTAGCCATACTTTGAAGGTCTATAACTTTGCTTAGAGATATTATTATTGTTAACCTTTTTAATAGTTTTAAAGTGTACAATCTAAGCTTTCAAATGATATAAAATAGAAGTTGATTGAACCAACCAATTCTGAGAAAACTTGGATAAAAAGCTAACGTGGCCAAAAAGCCAACTTGTCAAAGACCGGCTTCTTGTCTCTTGATTTTCATAAAAATGAATAATCCAATTGAATCAAGCTTTGTGTTATTTGAAAGCTTGGATTGTACTCTTGGAAACTATTAAAAAAGTTAACAATGATATGATTTCTAAGCAAGATTATAGATCTTCAAAGCGTGGCTACTCATTCAATCCCGTTCTCCAAAAATCCTCCCCTTTAGAGCCGAATCTTTTTATCTTTAAAGCAAATCAACTATTTGCCCATTTCAGATAGACGGAGAGTTCTCTGAATGGACTCCAATGATTCAAGGAGTTGTTCTCGGTTCATTCTTCTATGGCTACATCATTACCCAAATCCCTGGAGGTTTTCTCGCTCATCGTTATGGGGGAAAACTCGTGTTCGTTGGTGGAGTGGCTGGTTAGTTTAGGAAATGAAATTAACAATACAATCAAATTAGAAATAGCAATGAAAGCAATGAAAGCAATGAAAGCAAAGAAGTTAACAATTCAATCAAATTTAGGAACTGCTTTCTTCACTCTATTGACACCACCATTTGCTAAAATGGGCTACATGATGATCATCTTTGCGAGATTTATGGAAGGATTGCTTGAGGTGAAAGCTTACAATAAAGATAAACCGCAAATACTTACCGTAAATACTGTAATAGTACCCCATCCCCATAATGACGTGCGGAGTGTTGCGTAGTCTAGCTTTGGAGCTTTGGAGCTTTGGTCTAGTCTAGTCTAATCCAGTCTAGCATTTTTCTCGACACTGGTTTATGCTACAATGCCCGCTTAGGTATCAAAAAATAGCCCTGAATTTCAGCTATTTTTTGATACCTTAGCGCGCATTGTAGCATAAACCAGTGTCGAGAAAAACCTGTTCAAAGCTAGACGACGCAACACTCCGCATCGTCATTATGGGGGTGCGGTACTATTACAGTATTTACGGTAAGTAACTTGATTACAATGAAGATAAATAGCTTAAAACGTAAATGAATCTAAATCTAAAACTCCAGGGTGTCACCTATCCAGCCATGCATGTTGTATGGTCTCATTGGGCTCCCATTCTCGAAAAGACAAAACTCGCAACATTTGCCTTCTCGGGATCATATTTTGGAACAGTTGTAGCCATGCCTTTATCCGCTTTTTTTGGACAACATTTTGGATGGCCAATGATCTTTTATTTCTTTGGTACGTTTAGTGGTTTTTGAAATTCAAATCAAGCTTTTTAAAGAGCTAAACTTGTGACAGAAAAACTGAAAACTAGCTAAACTTTACTGTAGCTTTACTTCACACAAAAAAAGCTTTACTATAGCATTTGCTAGTGTTTGCTAGTGTTGATTGAAAATTCAAAAAACCCAATTCTTTCAGGACTTGCTGGTTTGCTTTGGTGCTATATCTGGTGGAAACAAGTAGCTGAAACGCCATCAAATGATTTAAAGATCACAACTGACGAATTAACTCTATTGCAGAGAGATGCTGTCAATACAAATACATATGTAAAGTGTTTAAAGTGTTTCTTTCTCAGCCTCATCATTTCTAGATCGTTCCTTGGCGTCTGATTCTTCGAAGTAAACCAGTTTGGGCAATTGTGATTGCTCACACCTGTCAGAATTGGGGCTTCTACACAATGCTCACAAATCTTCCTCGAGTGTTGAAAGATTTAGCTGAATATCAGCTGGAAAAGGTTTATTTTCAAATCGTGAAGAAATAAAGATGTTTTAGGCTGGATTTGTTGCCGGATTGCCATATCTTGTGATGGGATTCTTATTGATTTGGGCAGGGCAATTCTCGGATCATTTGAGGAAAGAAAGAGGGATGACAACTGTGAGAGTTCGCAAATTTTTCGGTGTTGTAGGTAAGGAGAGGATTTGATTACTTGAATAACTATGCGCAGTACTCCCAGTGGGCCGTTTCAAATGATTTATAGTCAGTTTGGCTTAGAATTTCATGTAGTTTTGCAACTTGTTTCCAAATTTTTAAAAAACTAAAACTGCTGCCGCGGGCGGGAGTCGAACCCGGACCATCTGGGCGAGGGATAAGCAATCTCGCACTGCGCCATCTGCTAGATGGATGGCGGGTCCCGCGGGCTAAAGACAAGCGAGCTAGCACTGCCCAATCTTGAGCGGTTAATGGCCAAGTGGTTAACGCTCAAACAGTCTCAAACAAACGGAAGAGAGAGGTCGCGGGTTCGACTCCTCTCGCCGCCAATTCTTTTCCTTTTTACTTCACAACCGTGAAACTTCTAGTCTCCAATAAGATTTCTGATCAAATTAAAAAGTTTAAGGTTTCCTCGGTCAAGCAGTGACATTAATAGCCGCCTCGTTGGCATCATCGTCCACTTGGTTGGTTGGATGGATCACTTTATCGATGGGTTTTGGCGGTTTCACATGGGCTGCCTTTTCCGTCAATCATCTTGATTTGGCTCCACAATATGCTGGTCATTTGATGGCTTTGTCGAACACGATCGCCACTCTACCTGGGATGATCAGTCCACTCATTGTCGGAGCTGTTGTTGTTGATGCTGTAAGTGATCAGCTGAACATAAACCTATTTAATCAACAAACAACAATTAAATTATTCAAGCTTTAGCTTTGGCACCATTTCAAACCAACCGAAAACTGGGGGGTAGTTACTTTGCGCCAAATTTTTGCGTAACTCGCATAACTTTCTTTTAAATAAGTTAATCTTTATGATTTTTGTGTTATTTTGTAGAACTCAACAAGGGCAACAAAATCATTGGCCTTGGCCAAAAGATTGGCCCATTTAGAAGAAAGTTATGACGAGACATAGTTGCGCAAAGTAGCTTACGACGCAAAGTAGTTTACGGCCAAAAAAATTGGCGCAAATTGGCGCAAATTAGCCTAGACGGGTTTTTCTGGCAGGTGAAGCTTTTGTCGCCGTGGCTGGGTCGGGAGCACGCTGGTCTACGGTCTAGACGATCCGGGTTCGACCCCCATAGTCGCACTCAATTGTGATCTTTTAATTTTTAATTTAATTAATTCTAATAAATTCTAATAAATGGCATAATTTGACATTTTATGACTTTCTATATTATATTTTAAATCTTTTAAAAACCTATTAGTCTTTTTTGGCCCAAAGACGGCTGAGAAAAAGCCTGTATAGAAAGACAGACTGTTTTTTTACACATAGTAGATTCAAAATCGAATATTTAGTCTGTCGCCCAATGGAATGTGATCTTTTACATCACAACGGTGATCTATTTGATCGGAGCTTTTATGTATGCAAGATGGGCATCGGGAGAGATTGAACCGTGGGCTTCCGATCATATGCCTTTTGCTTCGGAGCTACAATAAAGTGCTTCGAAGCTACCAACAGAGATTCGCGTGACTCCGCGTGGATCGAAAATGATCAAATTTCTATATGATTTCTATATTTCCCAAAGTTTATTCGATTTGATCTATTAGAGCCACAGAAAAACAATACTTTCTGTTCAACAATACAATACTTTCCCGAATTTCTGTATATTAGTGCCATTCCAGAAGCTATCATTATTAAACTAGCAGCCATTTCCCCCGCAACTGTGATTCTTTTTTTCTATACAAAACTCACTCTGTGCTATTTATTTATGAACTCTTTACAAAACGAAACTCTTTACAAAAAGACAGCTATTTTTCCAAGTAAGCATGGTAGAATTATTGGGTTGGTGAATTGGAAACTGCGGGACTTTGAACTAAAATTTATTCAACATAAAGCCATGAATACATTCCAAATAGTTTCCATTATTATTGACGACTTCTGCCCATTTTATAGGCAATTTGCGGATTCCTCTTTCGTAGTAGGATTTTGGTTTGCGTGTGAGACAAGTGTGAGACTCAAAAATGGAGGGCCGGATATGCCAGCTGTCAGCCCAGTTTGAGCACTTTCTTCAAAAGAAACCCATTTTGGTGTCAATGGAAAAGTTGTAGAGAATCAAAAATTAGCCTTGTAGCCAAATTTCCAAAAAGATACACTTAGTAGTTTCGCTTAAAATGCAAGTTTTGTAAAAATTCGTAAATTTGGCATTTCCAGTTTTTCATTTCCAGAAAACCAGTTTTTCAATCGTTCTGAAAATTTGGATATAAGCTTGATTTTTGATTCTCTACAACTTTTCCATTGACACCAAAATGGGTTTCTTTTGAAGAAAGTGCTCAAACTGTCACAGACGACAATAGCCCGCAGTTTTCAATTCACCAACCCAATCCTTGATAACTTTACTTTACTATAAAACTACTTTCCTTTAAAAAAAGCGTACTTTGTCCTCTCACAAACACAGAATTTTTGGCAATCTCTTTTCTAAATCTAAAAGATTTAGTGCATCAAATATTGTGTGTTCAAAGGTTGATTTTGTTATGCTTTCTTTCAACAAACAATTCATATCATTCTTTGCTTGTTCATTCATTTCATACCATATTTCTTCGAATAGAAGACCAAGAGTAAAGAGTATCATCGCGTGCTCCTGCGTAGCAGCCCTTCTTTTCTGCATAAAAGCTTTCAATGAAGTGCTATAGAGCTGGAAAATGGCTCAAAAATCTGTTAGCTCATGTGGTATTTTTGAGTCATTTTCCAGCCCTATAGCACTTCATTGAAAGCTTTTATGCAGAAAAGAAATTTTAAAGGGCTGCTACGCAGGAGTACGCGATGATACTCTTTACCCGGTCTTCTATTCGAAGAAATACGGTATGTCATTTGTCAAACATTCAAATTGTCAAACATTCAAACATTCTTCAGATTCTTCTGAGATTTATACCCATTTATCTACCCTTTCTATCATTCTCTATCAATGTTAGCAATGTTTTTGCTGTTTTTTTCCAATTGTGATATTCCTTTTCATCTCTTTTCCCTGTGCATTTTCGATAAAAAGATTTCCACCAAGAATTTTATTCACAAAAATGCTTTCAGAGTTCCCTGAACAAATAGAAGTGAATGAAAAATGAAAGTGAATTTGATAAGTGAAACGTTTTTTTTGATTGATAAAGAACATCTTATTCCTCTTGTCCACCAGAAGTGAGCATACGAGCAAAAGCCACGTAGTCGACCTGGAATTCGATTTCTAGTAATGAAAGCTTTTCTAGTTTCTAGATTTTCTAGTTTCTAGTTTTTCTAGTTCCTAGCTTTTCTAGTTTTCTAATTTCATGAGAATAATAGACTCTATTTGAAGCGTGTAGCTCATTGATAGAATCTCATTGCTCATTGATCCCAAATTAGATCTTCCAAATCAGTCTACAGAAGTTGATTCGATGAATGGAGGGGATAAAAGTAGATCTTATCAAAGCTTCCAATACCAAAATCTTCTCGAAATTTATAGGAAAGCTTGCTCAGGATTTGTCAGGGTTACAATGGTTTTGTCAGGGTTACAATAGCTCTTTATCCTATCAATTCCTTTCACTCACCTCTCCCTTCTCAATTGGCGGCTTTCCCTTGAGCATTGCTTGATATTCATCATCATTCAATGGCTCTCCTCGCTTGTTTTGTAGAAGTCCAGCCAAGTCTTGCTCCCTGGAATCGTTTTGGCTTTCATTTTGGCTTTCATTTTGGCTTTTTGACGTTTCGGGGTTCATTTAAATCAATGGCTTTAAATCAATGCCTTAAACTTAAACACTTAAACTAATAATTAATAACTATAATCAATACCCAATAATCATCTGATTTAATCTGAATAAATTCCATCTGATCTAAATAGATCCGGTCTGGTCTGAATAAATTCAATAACTAATAATCAATAACTAATAATCAATAGCTAATAATCAATACCTACCGTAAATACTGTAATAGTACCCCACCCCCCTGGTACAGTCGCGTAGTCGCAAGTATTTCATTATTTCATTTTTTTCAAAGCACCCGTACTTTCAAAAAATGCGTCTTCGGTATCAAAAAATAGCCCTGAATTTCAGCTATTTTTTGATACCTTAGCGCGCATTGTAGGATAAACCAGTGTCGAGAAAAACTCATTCAAAGCTAGACTACGCAACACTCCGCACCGTCGTTGTGGGAGTGGGGGTACTATTACAGTATTTACGGTAATAATCAATAACTTAATAACTAATAATCAATAACTAATCTACTATATGTAAAGCAGAAGAGACGTCTGTCCGGTCTGTCCGTCCGTCTGTCGGTACGCAGTCATTGGCAAAAAGAGGCGGGGCTTAGGTTGCGTGGAAAACGCTAACTAACGTTTACCGCTGGTAATCAATAGCTTAATAGCTCTCAACTTCTTGACAAAACTGTTCTTTGGAGCTCTTCATCTCCCAAAAACTCTTAAAAAACTGTTTACTCAATCTCATTTGATGAAAGAGATTGCGATTTTTTCTAAAAAAACCTTTTACTATTCAAAGAGCTGGAAAAGTTACAGTAATTACAGTAAAGTTACAGTAAAGTTACAGTAATTCTACAGTAAAAAGAAACAGCTGAAAAGAGTTAGAGTAATTCTTCTTTAAACGTTTCTCACTTCATCTTTCCAGTTCCCTTTGGGTCAAACATTTTGAATGCCTCAACGAGCGCATCATACGAGTCACTTCCATGCATTTTCTCTCCAAACATCGACAAGAATGTCGTGAAATTCAATGGACCAGCAGCCTAAACGGTTTTAGTTTTGATTTTGATTCAAAGTTTCGAATCTAAGTTTTGAATCTAAGCTTTGAATCTAAACTTTGATTCAAGAGCTTTCTTGATTAAAGAGCTATATCAAATACCTCTTTTAGCATGCCATCAATCTTTTCAGCTGGAGCAATTTGGCCCAATGTGGCATACAAGTCCATGAGATCGTTCTAGAAAGAGTTTTGGATTGATTGTGAGATTGTAAGTATTGTGAGATTGTAAACCTTAGATATTGTAAGCCTAAGACATTGTAGCCTTGTAAACCTTGTAGCCTTGTAAACCTTGTAGCCTTGTAAACCTTGTAGCCTTGTAAACCTTGTAGCCTTGTAAACCTTGTAGCCTTGTAAACCTTGTAGCCTTGTAAACCTTGTGGCCTTGTAAACCTTGTGGCCTTTTACTTATCAACCTCAGATTAGATTGTTTGACTTTTTTTAGATGTTTTTGGTGTTTAGATTACTTGTTTAGATCGTTTAGCTCGTTAAACTTAAAAATATTAGTTAAATTTGTCGATTTGTTTTGTCGCGATGTTTGTCTACACTCGTAAAACCGATCGTACCGAACGTAAAACCGTGAAGTGCCCGAACTCACTCTATCAATGACTCCATCTTTGTTTCCATCCATAATGCCAAAAGATTCTTTGAACTCTTGAATAGTTCTTTGATCGAAAGTCTGCTGGGTGGAGGCAGATTTCGATTTTGATTTTGTCGACTTCTTCTTCGCGGCTTTTGACATTTTCTCTCAAGAATAGAGGAAATGGGAAAATTGCCTGAAAGTTGCAATTGCAATTAACAATTACAATTACCGTATTTTCTCTAATAGTAGTGCACCCTAGCGAGCCGAGTTTGTGACTACTTTACGGCTTCCAAGCTTTTGCAGAAGCTCAACACTCAAATCCCCCACAAGATCTCATCGTCAGCTACATTTTCCGATCCCACATCGATAGGTTCTGATAAGCGGTTCTCGAGATTTCGAGGAATTTAGACGACGCTCTGGGTGCACTAGTATTAGAGAAAATACGGTAACAATTACATTTAACAATTACAATTAACAATTACAATTACTCGAAATACCAATATAGTAATTTTAAGTTCCAAATTGTTTTAAAAACATAGCTTCATTTGAATCTTATCTTTTATTCTCTTATTTATTAAATTCTTGTTCCTGAATCTTTTCCTAGTCCCTTTTGATCTCAAGCATTATTGGATCGTTACTTTTCCCAGAGTTTTTGATTTAAGAAAAGAGGAAAAGGGGATTGAGAGCAGCTGTGCTTCTCCTTCAATCCTTTTTTTCTCTCTAGGAATCTCTAGGAGTCTCTAGGAGAGTCCACAGTGTACACCAGAAATGTAAGAGAGAAAAGAAAAGAGAAAAGTCATTGAAAGAAATGAAAAGAACAATTCGATCACTAATTTTTGTGCTCAAGTAAGCAAAAAAAGAAAGATTTTGATCAGAAAAATGGGTTTTCATGGAATCAAAGTTTTCAGTGTTTTAAAAACGAATCGAATCAAAAAGATAAAGAAGATAGAAACAAATGGAGTTAAAGCTGATTGAAAGAGAATTGAAAAAGTCTGTTTTAGTCAATAGATTCAAAAAAAAAACTATATTTTAGTGTATAAAATGGAAAATTTGGGATCTTTTTGCTTTTTCATCTCTCCAATTTCAATTCTCTATTGAAATTGTTGCCTTTGAGAGCTAAAAAACTATCAAAAGCTTAGTATTGCTACAGCTTTATAATATTCTTACTTTAAATAATCTTCTAGAAGTTCTAGTTCTAGAAGATCTAGTTCTAGAAGATCTAGTTCTAGAAGATCTAATTCTAGAAGATCTGGTTCTAGAAGATCTAGTTCTAGAAGCTCTAATTCTAGAAGCTCTAGTTCTAGAAGATCTAGTTCTAGAAGATCTAGTTCTAGAAGATCTAGTTCTAAGAGCTCTAGTTCTAGAAGATCTAGTTCTAGAAGATCTAGTTCTAGAAGATCTAGTTCTAGAAGTTCTAGAAAATCGATAACATTGAAAACTGAAAAAATCTTTGAAAAGAATTGGTTTAGAATGGCGATGGCTGCAGGTTGAGAGTTCTGGATGACTGTGAAGGGGAAAAGGAGAAGGGAAACGAGATGGAGGGGACTTCTTGAAGAGCTCTGCTCAACCTGACCCCTCCCCCATTCTGATGATTGTGCCCCCGCTATTCTTTCTCTTTAATCTTTCTCTTTAATCTCTCTTCAACTTCTCGCCGTACTTTCCACTCTTTACAGTTTTCTCAAATTTATTTTCTCTTCTCTTTAGTCCCGATTTTTGTAGGTGTCCGTGGTTATTTGAGGTTTTTTTTGGATAGGAGATATTCGAGAGTTTGCTAGGAGAAGAGATTGAAAAGGAATAGAGAAATTAAAGATTGCAGAAGTGGAAATAAAGAGTTGTTGGGTGTTGGCAAAGGTCTAAGAAGAAGGGAAAAGAGAAGAGAAGAGAAAAATTGGTGTAGAGTTGATGAGAGAGATCAGGAGAAGTTTTCCAGGCTTTAGAGATGCAAGAATGCAAGCAAAGAGAAAGCTAATGAAAGCAAAGAAAGATTGAGAGAGTTGGGGATTCTCTAGCAAAGAAAAAGAGTGAAAGAATTGGGATTTTCGCTTAAAATCCAGGGCCAAGCTTTGGGGGAAAGATGGCATGAGAGGCTCTCATCCGTTTCTCTTTCCCTTCCTTCCTATTCTTTTCTCAAATCCGCCCTCAATCTTTTCCGTCGTCGACCCAGGCAGGCGCTTTGTAAATACAGCTTTTCCCTTTGGACCAAAAGAAGCAAAACCTTTCCATCACCGTTGTTTTTTCTTTGGTTGAAAAGAGAGATTTCCGTGATCTCTCCATAGGGCTATCACTTTGGATAGGGAGCATGACCGGGTCTCTTTTCTCTCTTTTCTTTCTTTTTGCTTCTCTCTCTTTCTTCTCTCTCTTTCTTCTCTCTCTTCCTTCTCTCTTTCTTCTTCTCTCTCTTTTTTCTTCTCAACTCTTTTCTGATCCAATCCATAGTTTTCTTGGGGATCTCCTCGGTCTGTTACACAGGGAATCACGCCTGAACGTGAATGTGAAAAATGTAACAGGGAACTCTGTAAAAAACCTTTTTGATATCCTTTTTGATATCAATTCAAAATTGTAGACAAAAGGATGCAGGAAAGTCGCGAAATTAAAAAGCTCAGTTCTAGGTTGAATTTTCAAATGCTTCAAACCTGATGAGAGTTTTACTTCGTTACACGTTTCTTTTTCAGTTTAATGATCATAACGTTTGAAATAACGATCATAACAATCATAACAATCATAAAGATCATAACGTTTGAGCTACAGTCTTCAAACGGGGAAACACGGTAGCTGAAGAGGCTTCTCTGCACCAACCTAAAGACCTAGAGAACCTAGAGAGCGAAATCACTCTTTGCACCAACCTAAACCGCAAATTTCTCCTTTCTGCTAATGTTTCATTCGTAATCTATACAAAAGCTGATTGTCATATAAAGATTTTTGTAATTTGGTAAGTTCTCTGTCTCAACACCTGAATTTTTGTCATAGTGTAGAAGCAAAGTGTTAAAAAGCACATTTATTCATACGAATAATGTGGTGTAAACAATATACAAGTACAGCTCCTAAACCTTAAATCTAAGGAAGAAACAAATCCGGGAAAAACCGATAAACCGATAATCTAACGGGATTGAACCCCCTTGGCCTGGCCTTGACTCCCGACTAGGATACAAGGCTATTAGCCAGTCAGTCAAGAGGCACTTGAAAAGCTCACAAAGTTTAATGATACAACGATAGCTGGCTTTGCTTTGCTATTACCGAACTTTGCTTTGCTATTACCGAGCTTTGCTATATCTACTATATAAAGGGACTAAGATGTCTGTCTGTGCGCACTCCTCCTCCTCCGCGCACTCCTCCGCGCTCAGTGCGCCGTTTCAAATAACTTATAGTTAGTTTGGCTTGGAATTTCATGTAGTTGTGCAACGTGTTTTTAAATTTGAAAAAAACAGAAGTGCCGACGCAGGCGGGAGTCGAACCCGGGTCATCTGGGCAAGGGATAAGCAAGCTTTTACTTACTTTTTTAGCTTTTTACTATTTACTGCGCCATCTGCTAGATGAATGACGGGTCCTGCGGGCTCGCATCTACCAGAGCTCCATCAGAGACGGGACCAGCGAGCTCGCATCTACCAGAGCTCGCACTGTTCCATCTACCAGAGCATGACCAAGTGGTTGACTGCGCGCGTCTCTCAAACGAATGGAAAAAGAGGTTGCAGAGCTTCGACTCCTCTCGCCGTCAATTCTTTTGCTTTTTCCTCAAGTTTTTGTGTACCAGTTTTTATTTTCTTGAACGTATTTTTGTTTCGCCAAAGCGTAGGTAATTTATTCGTATCGACACGAGAAAAAAAATGTGAGATAAAACCACGTAAATTTGACAATGTACACCAAAGAATAGATGGGGGCAGCATTTAGAATCTAATCTTTTTTTTGAAGAGAAAAGAACAGAATCTAACGATTCGAACAATCCGGAAAGGCTATAAAGAAGCTAAAAGAAGCTAAAGAAGCTAAGAATTTGAATAGCTAAGACTAGAAATTTTCAGCTAAACGGTAAAAAATTTTACAAAAAAGAGAACAAAGAACGTTGGGCGCACGGCAGCCGGATCGTGGAACGGGAATTTCATTTTGTTATTTCTCAAAGATGAAGTTGAACTAATGTTTCGATTTCTACATAAACATTGATCAAATTTCATCTTACGCTGCACACTACCTATGCTTGGGCACAAATTTTTGACCTTTCAATAGAAAATGGGTGGGAGGGGGGCGCGGAATGGCTGGAGCACGCACGATCCGACCGCCCGGGCGCCCTCATCGAGGGATTGATGAGAAAAAGAAAAGAATTTAAAAGATGAAGAAATGGAAAAGATGAGGAGGAAAGGGCACTACGGGAACGATCACAATAGGCGCACTCGGAAGCCATCTTTTTGGAGAAATTGTGGTGATGGTGATGACGACGCTCCCACAATGTATGCAACTGCCGATGCGCTGTAGACGTTCAGGCTTTGGACAGCTCGTCTTGAGCTCCGGTGGTGATCAATCGAGCGAAAGCCTTGTAGTCGCACTGGAAAAAAATCATTAGACTGTTCACTTGACTGCAGACATATTGCCTACCCCTCAATTTCCCCCTCACCTCTCCATTCTCAATTGGTGGCTTTCCCTTGTACATCGCTTGAATCTCATCATCATCCAAAGGCTCTCCTCGCTTGTTTTGCAAGATCTTCAACAGCTCATCCTCTTTCAGTTTTCCGCAATCCTTCTTGTCGAACATCTGAAAGAGAGTAAGAGAGTCATTTCCTTGTTAGGGTTGCATTAGATTAGGATTTGTGATTGCATTGTATTGTATTGTATTGCACTTGTTAGGATTTGATACTTATTTGTTATGCTTACCTGGAATGCTCCAATAATAGTGGCCTCTGGATCAGTTCCAGTGAGTCTTTCACCGAAAAGTGTGAGGAAAGTGGTGAAGTTGAGGGGTCCAGGGGCTTCCTTCAACATCGCATCCAATTGTGAATCGGGGGCAACTTGTCCCAAAGAGGCATACAAATCCTTGAGATCGCTCTGAAAGAAACGATTGAATAAACAACGGTTGTCATTTAATGATTGTCATTTCATGATTGTCATTTAATGAATGTCCTTTCATGAATGTTATTTCATGATTGTCATTCCATAATGTCTCTTGTTCTCAAGATAAATACCTTGTCAATGATGCCATCTTTGTTCTGATCCATGATACCGAAAGCCTCTTTGAACTCTTGAATGGTCTTCTGATCAAAGCTGGCTCCCTGAGATCCCGATCTCGCCTTCTTCGAGGACTTCTTCTTTGCCTTCTTCTCAGCCTAGAAATTAGTTACCGTATTTCCTAATAGTAGCGCACCCCGCCGAGCTGAGTTGATGACTATTTTACGGTTTCCAAGTTCTCACATAAGCTCAACACTCTAATCTCCCAACAAGATCTCATCGTCAGCGAGATCACTGATAAGCGGTTTTCGAGATTTCGAACAGTTTAGGCAAAGCTTGCACTACTATTAGGGAAATACAATAATTTGATAAGACGATACGGTTCGATACGGTTTGATACGGTTTCCTAAAACTCTTAGTCGATAAGCTGACCTATTCAAAGTCTTTCTATCGCTCTACATCTTTACCAATCAACAATCGAGTAACTTAGTCAATCACAAGTCAATTTCCATAAAAGGTCATCAAGAACTTACCATTTTCAGGAGTCGATCGACAAGGGATGAGCCGGGGTGGCGGAAAAATGAGAGAAGTGTCGGTTGGAGGGAGTGTTTGAGGTGGAAAGGGGGGATGAGTGAGGGGAAAGCCTATGCCCGATCTGCTATGGCCCTGACTTTCCCTTCTTTTTCTCTTTCCTTGAATATCGTCTTCTCTCCATTTCCCGATCTCTTGGGGTATCTCTGCTCCGGGAATTCTCAACAACTTTACACCGAGGAGACAGCCCCAACGGTAGGGCGGCTGCTCGGGGGCGGCGCCCTTCCCATCGCTCCCCGTCATTCCTCTTTGCCCTTTCTCTCCTGCATCCAACCCTCCCCTCAACACTCAAACAGAAAGATCCGACCCACAGTCTCCACTCAAACTTTCCCTCCGATCTTAACGGCACTTATCGACTCGAATTCGAGTTGATTTTTGCATTTCATTATCGATTCAGCTTTCTGTATCAGCTTCAACATTGACTTCAAATTTCTCGTCTTCTTTCTCTTCTTCTTTCTCTTTCCGTTTTGGTAGAAGAAGATTGGAAGACTAGAAGATTGATCTAAACTTCTCTTTACTGCCATTTGCTAAGGTTTAAGCGGTTTCCTGAAGCTGTTTTCCTAGACTATTGAGGCGAGTTCAGTTATCTTCCAAATCTTACCTTTTACAAGGAACTTTTAATCCTTAATTTCATTCATAAATGCCTTTCGTTGACTTTCACGCCGACATTCTTCAAGTGCTTTGCTTTTTCGCTTTTTCTCTTCTTTTTCATGACTCCCACATCTCTGTAAACATTAGGGAAATCCCACTTTTTACTCAAAGCTTTTTATCTTCCTGTCTTACCAAACTTTCTTTCATTTTCTTTCATTTTCTTTCATTTTCTTTCATTTTCTTTCATTTTCTTTCATGTCTTTCATGTCTTTCCAGTCAAATTTTCCTGTCAAAGCTTATTTTTGATCTCAGGTAATTTTAACTGCCAGCAGCGCATAGAAATGGCTGAGAAGAAGGCAAAGAAGAAGTCCTCGAAGAAGGCGAGATCGGGATCTCAGGGAGCCAGCTTTGATCAGAAGACCATTCAAGAGTTCAAAGAGGCTTTCGGTATCATGGATCAGAACAAAGATGGCATCATTGACAAGGTATTTTTCTTGAGAACAAGACAGAGACATTATGGAATGGTAATCATGAAAGGACATTCATGAAATGACAATCGTTGTTTATTCAATCGTTTCTTTCAGAGCGATCTCAAGGATTTGTATGCCTCTTTGGGACAAGTTGCCCCCGATTCACAATTGGATGCGATGTTGAAGGAAGCCCCTGGACCCCTCAACTTCACCACTTTCCTCACACTTTTCGGTGAAAGACTTACTGGAACTGATCCAGAGGCCACTATTATTGGAGCATTCCAGGTAAGCATAACAAATAAGTATCAAATCCTAACAAGTACAATAGAATACAATACAATACAATACAATACAATCCAATCACAAATCCTAATCTAATGCAACCCTAACAAGGAAATGACTCTCTTACTCTCTTTCAGATGTTCGACAAGAAGGATTGCGGAAAACTGAAAGAGGATGAGCTGTTGAAGATCTTGCAAAACAAGCGAGGAGAGCCTTTGGATGATGATGAGATTCAAGCAATGTACAAGGGAAAGCCACCAATTGAGAATGGAGAGGTGAGGGGGAAATTGAGGGGGAAAGTAGGCAATAAGTCTGCAGTCAAGTGAACAGTCTAATGTTTCTTTTTCAGTGCGACTACAAGGCTTTTGCTCGATTGATCACCACCGGAGCTCAAGACGAGCTGTCCAAGGCTTAAGCTGATTGTGTTGATATCCCTTTTTTCAATTCCCTATTTTCATTTTTTCAATCTCTCATTGCCTTTCTTTCTTCGCCCCGATGCGGTCTGCGTGGCCGAGTGAAGGATTGAGGACAGGGTTTGGGTCCTCTTCACGGGTTCGACCCCCATGCCCTCCCCTCTTCCTCACTCATTCCACTGTAGTCATTTCTCATCACTCCTCGCTCAGTCAAAAAATAACAATTTCCTCAATCACTAGTCTTCCCCCCACTTTTTCCTAGTCTCGATTTCCCCCAACTTTCTATTTCCCCACAAATTTCTATTCAATGTTGTTACCTTTCTAATAAAATCATGAATAATGCTTCAAAATCTCAAATACTTTTTTAATGTGAATCGATAAAAATGAAAAATCCATACACTCAAGAGTACATTCAAGTGATCAATCGATATCTATCAGTGTAAATTCTTGGAAAATCTCAAAGAGCTTGCTGGAAGAATCTTAGAGAAAAAGAAAAGAAAGAAAGAAAAGAAAAAAAAAGTAAAAGCTTTTCTCGGTATGTTCTCAGTAAACCTCTCTCATTGGCCCTCACCTTTGGGATTTCTCTTTCAATTCCCGGCTCAACAGATTCATCAAATAACAGATCAACTTTAGGAAAAAGTTGAGTGAGATGAGGGGCTAACTTTAACATTGAAAGCTTTCACTTTTTCTGACAAAGTGTTGCAATTGTGAGGCAAAGTGTGGCAAAGTGTTGCAATATTGTGGCCTTAACTCGAAAGTTACTCTCAATTTTTCTACATCATTAGAATTCTCTAGTTGACTAGTAAGCTGAGCTTATACAGTGCAAAAAAAAAAAACCATACGCCACCCCCTAAATTTCAATTTTCTGTGGCTCCCGTGCCAGTGACAAGAAAACTGAAAACGTAGTTAGATACAGGGCCAAAAATAACCCTTAGACCCCAAAAATCATCGACATAGCATGAATAGGGAAAATGTAACAGCCAAAAAACGAAAATAAACCCGGTGCACCAAATTTTGGTGTCGTTGTTGCATTTTTGTTCAATTTTTATGATAACAAGGTTTATTTATAACAATAACAGTTTAATATTTTGATGTCTGTCCCTGGCGACTGGTTTTTGCACCGCACTGTAGTTAGGCTGAGCTTATAGTTAGCCTGTGCTTAGAGTTAGGCTGAGCTTATAGTTAGGCTGAGCCTATAGTTAGCCTGTGCTTATAGTTAGGCTGAGCTTATAGTTAGCCTGTGCTTAGAGTTAAGCTGAGCTTATAGTTAGGCTGAGCTTATAGTTAGCCTGTGCTTAGAGTTAAGCTGAGCTTATAGTTAGGCTGTGCTTAGAGTTAGGCTGAGCCTATAGTTAGCCTATGCTTAGAGCTAGGCTGTGCTTATAGTTAGCCTGTGCTTATATTAAGTTGAGGAAAAAGTAATGTCGGTTTTTGCCACAAAACTGTTTATTGCTAAAAACATAAACAAACGCACATCAATCAATGAGATATTCTCAATTATGATTGATGACTTGTTCTCATGTTCGTCACAAGTCCCTGATCCCATCCTCAAAAAAATGGGTAGTTTTCGAGCCAAAATAAGTGTCGACTGCTTTTTTTGATCTGTGCATGATTCTCGAACTTTTCTCCCATAAGAAAACTCTTCAACGACCGAAACAAAAAATAATCTGATGGGGTCAGGTCCGGACTATAAGGTGCGTAGTGCAGAAGTTTCCAACCAAGCTCGTCGATTTTTTGATGAGTGATTTTTTGCAGTGTGAAGTTTTGCATTATCATGCAAAAATAGCAATTCTGATGTTTTAACGCCCAATTTCTTTAAACCCTCGTTAAATCTCATCAACTTTTTTGAATAAAGATCAGCGGTGACAGTTTCATTCGGACTTCAACAACTCATAATACTCTAAACCTTTTGTATTTCACCAACAGCAAAGCATAAGTTTCTTTCCATGGTTTTGAAGTTTGTTGTGGGGGTTGACTAAGAGAAAGCCACTGATTTTTGCGCTTCACATTCTCATATTGATCCATGTTTCATCGGATGTTAGAATTCTTCCCCAAAAATCATGAGATTTGCCTTTTTGAAGCAGAGTAGAGCTAACGATGACACGAATTGTTTTGTTGCCTTGAGTCAGTTCATGAGGAACCCATATTCCGCAGTGAATTGTTTTTCCTAATTGATATAAGTGGTTGTCGATTGTTTTTTGGTTCATCCCAAATGTGTCCGCTAACTCACAAGTGGTAATAGTTGGATTGAGTTCAATGGCATCAAGCAAATTCTCATCTGAAATCTCCTGGGATCGTCCAGACCGTTCCTCGTCTTGGAGACTTTCATTTCCATCTTTTAACCGCTGAAACCATATTTGGCATTGTCTTTCGCTAATGCTGTCTTCCCCAAAAACTTCAATGATCGTCCGATGCGATTCAGACGCGGATTTCCATTGTTTAAAATGATACCACAAAGCGGCTCGAAGTCGAAACTTTTCGTCTTGCATTTTGTACCTGAAAATATTGTTAAATTTGTAAAAATTTGTAAAAGTCAAATATAATATGAAAGTATAGAGTATCTAGCTGAAATCTATTTTAGAAAAATCGCTAACAACGGGAATTTAAAACCGATTCTTTGATCGCCTGAGCTTAAGACTTTGATATTTATGGCTTAAGCTGATTTTTTCGAGTTTAAACACTTCAAAAACATTTCAGACGTCGTATGATGGAGCAGAACTCCCTCCGCCGTCACACAATCACTGTGGCGCCGTCGCCGCTCATGCTCAAACAGTTGCTAGGAGTTCTACCATCGGTGAGTGACTTTGATTTCGTTTTTAATCAGCTGATAATGATAAGCTTATTTTTAAAGTGACTAACTAACTTGTTTGTGTAGAAACTTGTTTAAAAAGCTCTATGAACTAAAGTTTAAAATCGCTAACAACGGGAATTTAAAACCGAAATTACTTTTTCCTCAACCTAATAGTTAGGTTGAGGCAAAAGTCTTTTCGTTTTTTTCGTACTTCTGTTAAAAAGTAACAAATTCACCAATTAATCTATAGTTTGCTCTATAAAAAAAAAGTGTTTTTTTTGTTCAATTTGCATCTTTTTAAATCAATTTCGGTTCACTTTCAAGCAAATTCGAGAGTGAAAAACGCCTTTTTCGTCAAAAATCTATAAAAAACTCTACGGAAAAATTGGCTGAATGAATTTCTCTGAAATTTTGGCGAAATATCAAACTTTTTTTTCTCTATCTTTTATCTATTGACACGAAGATAGGTTTTCTTTAGCTAAGTTGTCTAAACCGCATCATCGAGTTAGCCCTTTTTGACTACCCGACTTCATACTCTCAGGAAAATCCAGGCATAAAATATTTTTAAACCCGTTTTAATGTTATTTTGCAGAAAATTAATTGGTTTTTCTAATGAAATCAACCGTAGTTTAATTGGTGCATTTGTTGGCTTGAAACGGCAGACGAAAAGGAACAAAAAGACTTATGCATCAACCTAATAGTTAGGTTGTGCTTATAGTTAGCTTTAGCATCTATAAGCACTTTTCTTTTAGCTTATTTCAAAACAGGAAGACATTGGTACTTACAATGTGGGAGTAAGCGGTCCATTCAAAGAGGCTTAATTGCAGTTTGTCAGTGTTGAAATTTCAAAATTCTTCTCAAAAGGAAAGAGAAAAGAGACTAAAAAGAGCAAAGAAAGGCCTGGATAGCGGACAGAAAGGGGGAATGGATCGATGGATGGGGCCTTGCCTTGAGGCCTTTTACGGAAGAAAGGAAAAGAGGGGATAGATGAGAGAAAGAGAAAGAGAAAGAGAAATAGAAACGCTCTCTTCCCATTCCCCATTCAGCCATTCGGCTCTTTTCCTTCAATTCCTTCTTTCAACTGACGTCTTCTCAAAAACACGTCACCCTTTTCGATTCGTTTGATTCTACACGTTTGATTTTCACAATAGAATATTTTAGTTGATTAGAAAACCTATAGAAGTTGATTCCTTGAACTTCTATAGGTTTTCTTTAAACTTTTACAATTGCAGTTGTACTTAGATTTCTTGAATGTCTTTAATTTCTTTGGAATTCAATTTAGATTCCTTGAATTCTTTGAATTCTTTGAATTTCTTTAAAATTTATCACAATTGCGCTATTCAGTGCGATGATCTTGTGGAAAAAATGATGCACGAGATTTCCGACGGCAATTTCTTTGATTTCGATGAAACGAAACAAAGAATTGAGGAAAATGGCAGTAAAAGAGAGCGGCTAGTCAGTACAGAAACGGGTAAGTAGCTGGTAAGTAGCAGAAACTGGTGAAAGGGTTTTAAAACGGAAATTTAACCTCTAAAACACAGCTTTTACATTGGTAGTCGAGGAGGAATTGATATTGAATCTTACAGACCCGTTCTCTGACGCCGAATGGAGATCGGCGAGATTGTCGAGCAATGATGACACTCCAACAAATAGGTAAACGCTTTGAAGATTAAATTAATCTATTAGGTTGGTGAATTGAAAACTGCGGGACTTTGAACTAAAATTTATTCAACATAAAACCATGAATTCATTCCAAATAATTTCCATTATTATTGACGACTTCTGCCCATTTTACAGGCAATTTGCGGATTCCTCTTTCGTAGTAGGATTTTGGTTTGTGGGTGAGACAAGTGTGAGACTCAAAAATGGAGGGCTGGAGATGCCAGCTGTCAGCCCAGTTTGAGCACTTTCTTCAAAAGAAACCCATTTTGGTGTCAATGGAAAAGTTGTAGAGAATCAAAAATTAGGCTTATAGCCAAATTTCCAAAAAGATACACTTAGTAGTTTCGCTTAAAGTGCAAGTTTTGTAAAAATTCGTAAATTTGGCATTTCTTGAAAACCAGTTTTTGAATCGTTCTGAAAATTTGGATATAAGCTTGATTTTTGATTCTCTACAACTTTTCCATTGATACCAAAATGGGTTTCTTTTGAAGAAAGTGCTCAAACTGTCACATATTACAATAGCCCGCAGTTTTCAATTCACCAACCCAATAATATTTCCATTTTAGTGTAATCGACAACATCAAATTGTTAGAAATGGAAGAAGAACAAGAGAGATTGAATAATTCTCTTTTCTCCCTGTCAAGTCAATTCGCGCAAGTACAATTTCGATTGAAGCAAATAGCTGAAGCTGGACCTGGAGATAAAGAAGTTTTTTTAAATAAAGATCTGCATAGAATTATGTAAATTTCAGAAACTTTTGAAAGATTTGCACGAATTTGCTTTCAAAGGTTGTGCTGATATCTCGGAGTTGAGAAGAATGAGAAGTGAAAGTATTGATGATGATGAGATTCGATTCAAACAGAAAGTGCGACTTTGAGACTTTGAGATTTGAGATTTTCTTATAAAATGAATAGCTTTAGACAGCTTTAGACAACTTTAGACAGCCTCTAAACCAAATTTCAAATTTCAGGAACGACAAAAAGAGCTTGTGAACCAATTGAGAGAACAAATCGAGGACCTTGAGAAGATTGCATACGAAAATGGAGATGGAGATATCCCAAGCACGATGATCATTCAGAAACAAGTGAAGCTAAAGAAAAACCCGAATATTATCATTTAGATATTATTATATTAGTATATTACATTAGATTATAGATAAATATTCTGTTTTTAGAAAGCAGTTCTCGAAAAACTTCAAGAAAAGATCAACTTGAACTTACAAGTGGACAAAATGAGTGAATCGGATTTACAAAAGCAAGTCGAAGACGCAATTAAAGAGGTACTGATGAGTTTGGTGAAAAATATAAGAAAAATTTAGCTGGTAAATCCATTTAAAGAAAAAGAGCAACTCGTCGAACAACTGCAGACACAAATTGTGGATTTGGAGAGATTTGTGAACTTTCTCCAACAAGAGAACAATTCGATTGAAGATCAACCGACTGTTAAGGTAAGTTTTGGTTTTAAAGTATTGTATCTGCAAAACATAAAGTTAAAAGCTAAAGAATTGAGAAGATTCTAGAGTGGCCTAGAGTCTTAGCTCAGGCTGCCTTAAGCTTAGGCTGGCTCAGGCTCAGGCTTAAGCTTAGGCTTAGGCTTAGGCTTAGGCTCAGGCTGGCTCAGGCTTAGGCTGGCTCAGGCTCAGGCTTAAGCTTAGGCTTAGGCTTAGGCTTAGGCTCAGGCTGGCTCAGGCTTAGGCTGGCTCAGGCTCAGGCTTAAGCTTAGGCTTAGGCTTAGGCTTAGGCTCAGGCTCAGGCTTAGGCTTAGGCTTTAGTTCAGTGTTGATCATGATTTTAGTAATATTAATGACAGACTTAAACTTGCTGTTCTGTCGACTTGCTTATCGATATTATCGATAAAAAAGGCATGCTCATGTTTGACCTTTCAGATCTCAGTTTCTAGAACAGCTACCAATTTGAAAATTGTTTTATTGGGAAGCATTCAGGATTTGCCGTCAGGCTTTCTTTAGAGTCAGAATTCGCAGTCAGGATTCTAATGAAACAATTTGCTTTCCAATGCAAATCTTGACTGTTAACAAAGGCGAATCCCGACTGCGAATCCTGACTGTTAATCATAAATCCTGAAAGTCAAGAATGTCAGCTTTTGATTGCTATTTTATACATAGCGACTTTTAATGAGTAAGCACGTCATAAACCTTATCGATACTTATCGAAATCGATTATCGACGAGCTTATCGATAAGTATTTATAAGCTTTTTAAGGCACTCACCTATGAGAATTTGCTATGTGTGAGATAGCAAGCAAAAGCTAACATTCTTGGCTTTCCAATGAAACAATTTGCAGATTGATAGTTGTTCTAGAAACCGAGATCTGAACGGGCAAACATGAGCTTACCGTTTGTATCGATAGTATGGATAATATCGATAAGCATCGATAAGCATCGATAAGCACCGTTCAGGCCTTGACTTCAACAAATCTTGCATCTTTGAAAAAGAAAACGAACGGGAATGCGCTCACTGGATTGATTGGATGTTCAAGTCGGAGATTTCAGAAGAATCAGCTCAAGACGACGAATAAAGGAAATCATTACGGGTAGGAATTAAAAGGTGTTAGTAGATGAATGACAGGCGAACGCTGACCTAGATCTTACGCAGATCTAAATCAGCGTAAGTATAGCTTTACCACTCTCAAACCTATTTAGTGATGAACGTGCTCGACTGCAGTTAGCTGTCGATGAAACTCTTCAAATCCTCAGCAAGTACACTCTCCTTTATGTTGATTATGATAGTGGTGTTTCATCAAATGGAAGAACGAGCACAGATACGCTGAATGATGTGAGGGAGTGATTTCTTGATTAAAACAAACTTTATTAGGATGTGTTTGAAAAAAGCGAAGAAGAAATAACAACAATTGTCCGGAAACAACTTTGCCCTTCATTGAAAGCTCTATTAGAGCATGGTTTGCTCGATGAAGTCGTCACTCTAAATTCGTTCACTGGATTTGGATGCTTCAGTGCAAGAGCACAAAAGAGTAAGTAATCTTTAAGATACATAGGTCGCTTGGCTGCCATGGCCAACTGGCTAAGAGCCCTGTATCTTAGTCTGGAGGTGGTCGAGAGATCAAGGGATCAACTGGCTAAGAACCCTGTATCTTAGTCGGGAGATAGTCGAGAGATCAAGGGTTCAATCCCGCCGGCTAGATTATCGGGTTTTTATCCCGGATTTTTTTCTTCTCTACATTTAGGGTTTAGGAATTGTGTATTGTTTATACCAAATTATTCGTGTGAATAAATGTATTTTCTAAAAACGATTTAGGTTCAACAACTGCGAAAACAAAACCTTTACATCATATTTGGGATGTGATTATATATTTCTATGAGTCGAGAAGTGGGAGAGATACAACCGATGCCCCAGTGAGACATCTCAGTCAATCGTTCGCTCTCGAGAATGTAGCTGGAAGGACGATTACTTCGAAACAAGTAAGTTCTATTGAAAAATAAGGAATTATCACTATCCAAGTCTTTTCTTGTAATTTAATAAAGAAGTGAAGGGGATTTGACAAGTTGGTGATTTAGCGATTTGGCAAGTAAAAGTAGATTTCCGAGGGGATTGAAGCCTAGACCTTGACCTGCTCAGTTCTAGGGTTCAATCCCCATTGCTTTGCTCGCAATTGCTCTAAACCACTGAGCTATCCAGTACCAAAACTTGCCAAGAGAAAAAGGGAAAATAAGGTGGAAGAAGAAAGGAAGAAAGAAAGAAAGAAAGAAAGACAGAAAGAAAGAAGGAAAGAAAAAAGGAAATATCGGGATTTTCAGAACCGTGAGCTCCCGATCTACTTGAAAATCTGAAATTGAAATAAAATAGTGGTAGCCGTGGTTCTACGTCTATTAGTAATAAAGAAGTGAAGGATTTGGCAAGAAAAAGTAGATTTCCGGAGTCGATTTAATGCTTTTTGTCCAACATTTCAACTTTTAGGCTCTTCTGACAACCATCGAAAACATTGTCTCTTCTCATGCTCGTTTAAGAAGATCTCGTGATGCTCAATGGAAAGCTTTTGTTTCCGCGGCACTCAATGAAAAGAGATTGCCGGCATGGTTGAGAATCATCTTCAGAACAAGAAATGTTGTTGATAATTGCTTCTATTCTTGGTCATACGTGGCGAGAACTGGTGAGTGATAGTTAAAATCGAGTTTCATTGTGAGAGAAGCAGTAAATAGGCAGCGAAAGTTATTAATTAGCATATTAGATTTACTGTCAAGGCACCTAACTTCATTTGGAATGCAAAATGGAAAAGAATTTTCAGGTTGTGAAGAATTGTACACTTTACTCGAGAGTCTTCATCAATACAATGTGACTCTTCCCGTTGATTTGGCTGTCCGTCCATTTAATCAAATCAAAGAGGCCTTTTAATTCGTTCTATACAAAAGAAAAACTACTCTGTCAAATGTCATCATTTTAATTTCTGTGATTAAAATTTCTCTCAAAATTTTCTTAACACTTTCCTGTGATCATTCTCTTCATATTCTTGCATGAAAATATGGGTTGTTTTGATGATTTTTTTTGCTTTTCACTTGACCAGTCATAAATCCTTTACTTACTTTACTCAATGTATTCATAAATCTATTAATTAAATCAATCAATCAACCAATAAACAAAGAACTTTTAAATAAATCTATTAAATCAATGAAAACACAATTAGGGAATGTAAAACAATGGCGAAAATCGAATAGACTCACAAAATTTGCACTCGTCTCCTTTCAAACCAGTTCGTTAAAACCAAAAAATATCAAAAAAACTGGAGTAATATGATTGAATATCACAAGAAAATGGCTAAAATGCACATGGTAAAGCCACGACAAACCCATCATTTGAAAACCTAATAATATAGAGCAAAAAAGAAAATCTTAAAGAGTGAAAGAATTAATAAAATCTAACGCAAATCAAGTAGAAAAATCAAGAAAAAAAGTTAGAAATGACCATTCTTTGATAGCAATTGTTCGGTGACAGGAGAATCGACCACAGAGGATTTCTTTGAAGCCTTTTTTCTGAAATTATTAACCAGTTTAATCGGCTATGAATAATCGTAAGTTTTAAACTATATTGCTTTACCAAGCTTTTTACCATCTCTTTTAGCTTTTCTTTATCGTTAAATCGTTTCCACTTACGTGGTAGCTGAGTTCCCTTCACTGCTACTTTCGTCATCATCTTCCAACGTGAAATGAATGGCCGCCACAATCACTCCTGATAGAATCATGCCCACTGCACCGACAAGGAACATATATTGGTAGCTTTGTGAGATATCTCGAACCCATCCTAAAATAGCTTGAAATAACAGAGCTGTAAGACTATAAAACTATTATTACAAAAAGATGTCTTTTCTCTTCCACTTACCAACTAGCGCTGGACCAATCAAGTTTCCAAGTCCTTGCGCCATCGACAAAAATCCGTAACCATTTTGAAAATCGGAGACATGAAGAAGTTCGCAGAGGAGAACAGAAGCCAAGACGTAATTGGCGGCAATAAAGAAACCATAGAGCAATGAAGTTACCTGAATGAGTAAATATGATCAGCGAGAAAGTTCTTCTTGACTAACCAGCATTCCCATATAGGTTGTGACAAGTGTTGAAGCCACAAGACATCCACCACATAGACTGATCATCACACCATACATCATGAAGAGGTTCTAAAGTTTGATTGTATAGTTGAATATCTGTAAGTTTATGTTCCCAATGTTTTCGCAAACCTTTCTAGCCCATGGTGTGTCACAAACAATCCCACAAATGACCATTGAGATGAGATTGAAAAGTCCAATGCCGGAGACAAGCCAAGAAGTCTAGATTCTTCAATTTTCAAGTTTTTTACTTTTTTAAACCTCATTCAGCGGTACTCCTAGGTGTTCATTCGTGAATTCAGGCCAGTTCACATAGGGAATGTCATAGAACATGTACAACAAGAAGATCGAGATGTTGTAGGCAGTGAAACGGAGATCGGTGGCCAGTCTCCAGTACTCCAAAGATGTATCCTTTACCGTTGAAATGAGCTTAAATTTGTTGTTTTTACGGAAATGTTAAAACTTCAGACCTGTTTCAAATGTAGCACTTCTCTCAACGTTCTCTTCTTCTTTTTCTTCACGAAAAGAGTCGGCGCTGATGGGACTTTGGTTTGAAGAGTTCGGAACATTGGCTCACGAAGGGCCACATATCTGAAAAATGCAATTAGCGGTTTAACTACAAAAGTTTCAAGCTTATTGTTAGTATTTCGGCTCTTCTACCTCAATCCAGTTGCATTGCTAGCTGGGACTCGACTGTGCGTGAATCCTCCCATTGAAGTCCTCATTCCTCTCGCTGATTGCGTGATTGTTTGTGGGAGATCTGTAAATACACTTGTTAAATTTTGAGTTCAACTTTTAGCAATCTCACTTTTCTTCAAAATTGGCTTTGGTGGAGGAGGTCCGCTCTCGATTGTCAAAAGGGTGGCCGGTCCATTTGTGGCTGGTGCAATGATTGAGACCTCTTTTGGCTGATTTGACTAAACAGTTTCAATTGATTGCTGAGTTTAAAGTAAAATGCCCAGCTACACATGATTCTTTAAAGTCCAGACTTACTCTTTTCGTCAAAATCTTGTCGGAGAGTTCAGAGCTGGAAGAATCACCATCATTGGATAGCTCGGAGTCACTAGATGAAGACTCTTCATCGGCCAATGCTCTGAAGTTATTGATAAATATTGAAGCAAGTGACTGATTACGATAAAACGAATCATTGAAAACTGAAAACGATAAAATGAATCATTATAAAATTTACTGTCGTTGCTCGATTTGATCGAGAGCATCCATTGACATGCTGCAATTCGAATACATTCTCACTCGGCTCTTTGAAGTCACCGTTGCATTGGGAGAGTGAGAGGTCTTAAATTTAGCTTAGGTTACTCTAGCCAAAATATCCAGCTTTTAAAATACCGTTGGTTAAAGATACCTGAAGATCCAAATGCTCCAATTTCGTATTCAACATGCTGTACTCGGGAACTGTGGGCAGAACTCTCGGCGCAGGGCTTCGAAACATTCCAAAGGACTTCGATCGAGCGACGCTGTCTTGCAATGAGAGCACCGCTTGTCGAATTGACTAAAATGATATTTTTAGAGAAATTATAACTGTTTTCGATTAGAAGAATCTCTTTAGCTCTCGTTAAGTTTAGGGTTGCATGCTCAAAAATACCTGAATTGAGGTAACACCCTGAATGTTTATTTTAGGAAATTTTGGGAAGCGCTTTTACCAGAATTGAAGATGATTGTTCGATTTTTCGGAGATAGTCATCGGCAAAACTTGGAATGACCGGCAGGCTGAGAGCTCTTCTCGGTTCAGCATAGGCGGATTCACGAATCTAAACACTTTGGGGATTTTTATAATGTCTTAAAGATAGGTTGAAGTTGCTTTATTCAAATCATATCATACCAGCTACGCGGCGGCTTTGCTAACATTTGCATTGCCTTTGAAATTACGGTTTGGAAATTTACTTACGAAAGCTCTCCTTTCCCGAATTCTTTCCAAAATTCCGGTCGGTTCCCCCATTTCCAGAAATGATTTTTATCTCAAAGAGTAAGAATTTTTAAATTCTGACCACTCCCCCGTCTTTCTGATCCCCGATTACCCCTAGTTCGATGCTTTGTTCTCTGCAAAACGCAATTGGTGAATCTAAATCGTGGTAGCAGACAGACAAACAGACACACAAACCACTTCTCAAAATTATAATATAGTATTAGGTTGTCCAATAAGTAATGCGTGTTACTTATTTCGATGTTACTCATCGAAACCAGCTTCATTCTATTATGATGGACTTCACTCTTTGCTCGGACGATGGAGAAATGTTGTTGATTGTTGTGGAGAATATATCGATTAATAAAGTTCTCTTTTGTTAATTTTGTGATATTTTGAAAATCGTGTCAAAACACGCATTACTTATTGGACAACCTAATAGATCAAAGTTTTGGCTTGAAAGAAAGCCTACCGGCAACAGTGCATTGAATCCAACTAGATCAGCATTCCTGACACTTTCTCGATCCTCTTTCATTTTGTCCAGTTTTCTCAGAAATTTCTTTTTCTTGTATTCCTGGGTTTCATTTGGCCATTCCACATCTTTCATCACGATTCCCAAAATGATCAATAGCATAAAGAAAAAGCCATAACAAACGATAGTCGACCAGAAACCGCCCTTTGTCAAAACCTGGAACATGAATGATTAATGGAGATAGTGTTGACTAACGAATGCACAAAAGTCTGATCTGTTCACATTTCAAAACTCACCAGTTCGATTAATGGTGGAAAGATGAAAGTCCCAGCTCCAGATCCACAAACAGCCAACGCTGTAGCGAGCGCTCGTTTCTTTTCGAAGTAATAAGTGACAATAACAATGCCCGAATTGTAGCAGAAACACAATCCGAAACCTGTAAAAACTAAGTATTTATAAGATATTTAGCTTACCTGTAACAATTCCAAAAAATATCGCGAAATTCCAAATATTTGTCGGTCCGATGTAGGCCATTGTTACTCCGAATGTTGCGATCGCGCCTCCGAGAATCGTTGTGGCTCTGAATTTGGTTTTATTGTTTAGAAATATCTTTATTTTTACTTTAAGATAATTTGAAGTTGATTTACTGCCTCACTTTCTTACCTGCAATCATAAATATCAGTCAGAGTCCCAGCGATCGGCCCGGCCAATAGAGGAATCGCCAAATAGAAAGACGCAACAATTGAGGCTCCAAATTTAGAACTATCAAAAGTCTAAACTTTCTGTTTAAAGGAAAAAACGTTTAGCTTCACCTTTTGAATATCGGGGAAAATGATTCCAAAGCTGAACGAAAGCCCGTCACAAATGAGATGAATGCAAAAGCTGAGGAGAACAATCACTGAAATTTGGGGTTGTTTAAATTTTGAGATAACAGCCTAGCTGTGCTGCTAAGAATTTCAAAAACTTTATACAGGGTGACCAGAAATAACCCGTCCTAATAGTCTTTTAAGGTAGTAAAATTTGAGTTGCGGCTCGTTATTTTTTTGAGCAGCCATTTTTGAGCGTTCATGAAAAATTATCTATCAATGCTCTGGTCACGAAATCTTGAACATATACAGAAAATAATGTGAATCCTCATTTTAAAAAAGAAATTACTCGTTTTGGTCTACAAATAACAGAAATATGAGACTGGAAAAAAAAAGGACGGGTTGTTTCTGGTCACCCTGTAGTTAGTAATTTTATGTCTTACCCCATCCATATCCGCCATCCAAAGCAATCGGCTGTACTTCATCGGAATCCTCCGATGAAGTGGTTTCCGATGTTGATACTAAAAAAACTTGGTTGTTTTCTAAGTATTAAGAGACACTTATTAATTTGTAAAGATACAAGTTTATAGAACAAGCCTTACATGTATCCTCAGCTTTTCGGTCCACAAAATGTACGTGAAGTTCCTCTTCCTCTTCGGTGGCGAGTGGGAGTGCGTAGAGAGGAGTCTGAAAAAGGAAGGTTTCACAAAAAGTCTAACATAACGATTAGTGCATTATTTAAGCACCCTATGAGTTTATTTTATTTAAAAATAAGCTTAACAGATTGTTTAGTAGCTTCACTTACCCTATTTGATGCGACCCATTCATTGATATCGTTTTGAGTCCTCAACCGGGTCTTTCTCATACTTGGTCTTCTGGTCTCCATCTAAACTTAAAAAATTAGACTATTTATTGAATATACATTACTTAATCGATTAAATTTCAGCTTATTTTCTTTTCCTTTCCTTACTCTTTTAGAACACTCATCTTCAACTCGTCATTTCCTACTTCGTGACATTCTCTTGGTAACATGACACCACTTTTTCTCACCGAGAATAAAAATAAATGAATTTTTGTGTTTTCTCGGTTTACTAGAATTAATTTAGAGAATCCATATAACTATTTTCGTTTTTCTTTCAAAATCGGGTCTTCTTGGAAGCACTTTAGAGTGGATCAAAGGGATTTCAAAGGAAGTAAAAGTGATTTCCGGTTCCACACTTAGAAATTGTGTTGAAGGTTAGATTCTCTAAAGCTAGTACAGGGAATGAACTTTTTTTTTAATATTTTCGAACTGTTAAAACTATAAATCACCTATGCTTTGGGGGCCGCTGTCGAGCTGGCGGCGTTTTCTCATAACCAAAGTGATTGGCGAGAGAATGCGTTGAGTTCCCCAACTTCTGCAAAAGATATTTCGAAAGTGACGGTAAAATGGACAACAAGCTGAATCAACTAACAAAAATTGTAAAGTAGGAATCAAATAAATTTGAAAATTATTGGAAAGGACAAGAATACAGAAGGAAATTTATCATCAAAAGGGTGTAAAAATTTCTGTTTAGCACACCGATTGTGCATTGAACTAAAAATCATGTGAGCAATTGAATGAAACAATGAAACAATGAACACGTGAGCAACAATCAACAATGAACACGTTTTTTGCTTTAGTGACATCATTTCCTTTCATGACTCAATCATAAAAACCATTCTTGTTTGCCATTTTCTCAAAAAAGAAGACTTTCCTTGTTTATCTTGTGAAATTTCCAAGGACAGACACAACGTGGAGCAAAATTGAGCAATCGATCCATTTTTCAAAAGGGTTTGAAAGTTCTCTATCAAAATTTTCTAATATAAAATCAATGATTCCATCAAAAAGCAACAGGAAACTCTCTCGGCACCGATTTCAAAGGCGGAACCGAAGGATGTGGTGCATTTTTGATCAAACGAAATATAAATAAAAATAAAATTGAAAAGATCGACGACAAAATAAACTTTCAACAGCAAGAGGCAAGGTAAAAGCTTCATGAAAAAGAGAATTCTTCGAAAGTCTTCGTTGAAGTTGCGCTTTTCGGGCAAAAAATGAAACATTCTATAAATTTGTGGCTCAAAGTTTCGTTCTAGTTCAATTTTTGGGCACCGGAAACGTTTTTCTCCGCCTAGAACAGGAGCTATTTTTTTTTTCATGTTTAAAGAATAGGAGGAAGTGCGCTTGATTGAAAGTTTTATAAAAAATTCTGATGAATTAGATCAGGGTTTTCGCAAATGAGGAGAAAATCAATAAGGTAAAAGAACGGGTTCAAAGAAAAGCGAAACAAATTTACAAGAATCAAAACCAAGAGGCGTGATTCATTTGACGCGTACGACAAAATTGCAAGCAAGATTTCTAGAGTGTTCTTCGGGTTTAACATCCTTAAAATCTATTCTCCAATCCCAAATCCCGACTAAAAGTAGTGCCGTTATTGCTCGGTAGGGGCTCGGGTCGGGTTGGGATGAAATTGAGGATAGAAATTGCGCGATGAGAGAAAAGAAAAGGGAAAAAAGGAAAAGGCGAATGAGATAGACATCGCCCAGCACATAGACAAGAAAAGTGGGAGAAGAGAGCTTTTGAATGAGAGGAAAAGGGAAGATGAGGGGAAAGCTATGGGGGAGGCCCAACTCTTTCCTTCCCTCTTTTCCCCTTTCATATCCCCTCTCTGGTTGCGGAACACCATGTGCGTCATTGATTGAACGAGGGACCTTTGGATGAAAGGAGAGACGAGAAAAAGCTTCAAATGCAAAAAGAGAATAGACTTTCACCACGTCGCTTATAACAAAGCCTTTGTTGCAAAGCTGAGAGCGCATTTTGGAAAATGAATGTCTGATTAAAGTGACAACGAATGACAATGAAACGAATTTGTTTTACAATTTCGGAAAAAACCCACCAAGCAGACTCCATCATTGTTCTTTGGTTTTCTTTTCTTTTTCCGTGGCTGGTAGCACGCGGGCCAATGTTATTCCTGAAATTAAAAACATTAGTTAATAGTGAAAGAAAAGAAAAGACTAAAAAAAATCGACGCTAGTCGGCACCGGGGAAGTTCGGGGAAATGAAATTTTGGGAGTGGGACAAATGCGACCTTTTTTGCGCACCCGGACATTTGCGCACCTTGCCCATTAGCGCACCTTTTTTCGCATTTTAAAAAAGCTCTAAAAAGCTAATATTAACCAATTTCTATTCCAAAAGTTGTTTTTCTAGGTAATTTTAGGGCGTAGAATCGAAATTTTGACATAACAGAGCGTGTGGAAACAAACGGACGGAGTTATACAAAGAGAAAAATCCCCAATTTTCTGTAATTTGATCTAGCCGTTTTGTCTTTCAAATTGGTTCCACACGCTCTGTTATGTCAAAATTTCGATTCTACGCCCTAAAATTACCTAGAAAAACAACATTTGGAATAGAAATTGGTTAATATTAGCTTCTTAGAGCTTTTTTAAAACGCGAAAAAAGGTGCGCTAATGGGCAAGGTGCGCAAATGTCCGGGTGCGCAAAAAAAAGGTAGCATTTGTCCCACTCCCGAAATTTTCACCAAAAGTCGCGGCTTTATACGTGTTTTCCAAGAACAACAAGGTATTCAGTCAATAAACTGTATATCCTGCATAGACAGGAAAAATTTTGAGGGGCTGGGAATTATTTGCGCCGCGTACCATTTGCGCCAAATTTTTTTGGGCCGTGTATCATTTGCGCCTTTCAACCCACTTTCCTATTCTTTTTTTGACGACTTTTTCTCGTCGACGATGATCGCTACTTTGACACATTCGCCAGATCTGAGCATAAAATCGATATAAAGAGCAAAAAGCCCAATCGATGACACAAAAATGACTGTTTTTGGGGCTGTATATGTATTTAAAATTGTTTTCTAACTGAAAACAATGTGAATTAAAATTTTACTATCAATTGGAAGCTTTTATTTTTTCTCGAATTTCAATTGAGGATCAATTGCCAATCAAATTGGCCCGAAAACTCATTCAGGTTGGGTCGGGTTGACCTAAAAGTCAAATTTTGTTGCGGTCGAAACGGGTCGGGTCGGGTTAGGTCAACCCGACCCCCACATGTTTACTGTCTACTGCTAAACTGACTAGCTCTACAACCAAAAGCCTGAGCTAAGAACTCCTCCCCGACCCAACATATTCCTCAGATCTAGCTCCATAAAGCAAGTAAAATAGAGCTACATAGAGCAAGTAAAAAGTTTAAACAAGCAGTACTACCTGTCTTTTGTAGACCTAACTCAAAGTAGATAAGACTAGATTGATAAAAAATGGACTATTGGACTAAAATGGACCACAATTCCAATAAACCACAGATCCATTGTCCAACTCTGCCAAGTGAGCCTCATAAAAAGCACATGACCCTCATCAATTGCCAGCTGTTTATCTTTTTTTGAATGATGTGAATGTTCAAAAATGTTCATTTTTTGTTAAGGTTCAAGTGTAAGTGGTCACTTTTCCGGAGCGCACTTCTTTTTTGTCTTAAAAGAATTGATTAACAAATAAATGGTTTTCCAAGTCCCCTGAGAGTCTTGAGGAAGAAAAAAATAGAGGCAAATGATTATTGAATCGCAATGTTTAGGCTTTGCCAAGAAGAAGAAAATTGAAAGGAATGTGGATAAATATTGTGTGTTTTTCATTTGATTATGAGGTGAATCACGGCACTTTACGGGCTTAAAGACCGCTCTGATGACATTGCATAATTTGATTCCATTTCGCGAGAAATGTCACCAAATCTTCATTCTCTTCATTTCGGATTTTTCTAGAAAAAAGAAATGAAATGATTGGTAGAGTATTTGAGATTTGATACTATTGGTACTACGATATAAACGAGAAAAACGAAGGAAAATCGCGAAAAGCGACGGAAAGGCCATTGACCTGAGGGTCGCTGGTTCGACTTCCACCGGTGACAATATTTTTCAAAATTTTTTGCTAAGATTCTGAAAATGCGTGTCTAGGGGTTATTTTTGACGCTGATCACGAAACATATGTTTTTAGCCTAGGTTTCTGCACGGAAAACTAGCGAAACGTGAAAACATCCATTTTTTGGCTCTGCCGCCCTTTATTAAAATAGCTGTAAAAACTTTTAGAAAAGAGATATCTCAAAACGGTTTTTACCAATCGATCCGTCTTGAATTCAGCTTTAGGATGAGCTATAAAACGTCAAAATTGGACAAATTTAAAGTACTCTCCCAAAAAATCCGAAAGGGCTTTTCCATCAACCCAATACATGGACTGGTTCACTTATTATCCACATTGTCCACAAAAATTGTTAATTCTAACAAGGAAATGATTCGACGATCTTTTATCATTCAAACATTTCGATCTTTTATTCTCTTTTTTTTCATGAACTTTAAAAATATCTTCATAAAATTCTTCTCCATAAAATTTATCTAAAAATAAGTCCTCCAAATTTGAAATGATCCATTCAAATCGTCCAATTGTGAGTCAAATGTTGCCACCAATTGTCACCAATTGTCACCAAAAGGTTGCTTTCAATCGAATTGTTTTGTCGGAACAATTGTGAATCAGTGCTTGAGTCTTCCCCCATAGAAAGTCACATTTCAACAACTTCTGAAACAACATGATCATTGTTTGATTTTTTTGCCCTATCAAAAATACTTTTTCAATTGTTGTCCAAAAAGACGATGCCGCAGCTTTTGAATAACGTATTGGTGATTTTGGTTACCACTTGATCAATTTTGGTTACCACTTGATCATTTTTGTTCCACGCGATCAATTTTGTTTCTACATTCAATGAGATTTACAATGATTTCGAAGGAATACAAACGGTAAAACGATAGCTTTCTAGTTCTGCTTAACAAGTCGCATCATTCTTGACAAAAAAAGCAAAAGCGCGTAGATCACTTCAAGCAAAAATGGTATCAATTTTGGGGTTCTCTATCGTTACTTTATGAGTTTTATGCTAGAAACAATTCCCTAGTTGAAAAACAATTCCCTAACAACTCCCTAGAAACAATTCCCTAGCTGTGAGCCTGAATGAGTTTATCAAAGTCATCGTTGACTACTCGCAGAATGGCTCATTTGCAGGATTTTGTCTTCTCTGGCTTCCATATGCGAATGTCAAGTAAACATTTATCGTATAAAGTCTTATGCAAGCCTTTCAAAGACGAGTTCATCAGATGCCTATACACAGTGGGTGACTTGGCTTCCGTTCATTTCGGCCGCATTCTCAAGGAACTGGTTGATGTCTTCGCCATTTACTACAGAAGTTCTCCTGAATAAATTCTAGCCGAGTTCCCGGTTCCTTCAATTTCTAAGAGCTCACAGTAATTCAACTTTTACAGTGTAATTTTTTACGAGACAACTTCAAATATTTGAGCTTTAAGAGTGTTACACAATGACTTATAACTATTGGAGAAACGAAAAGTGCAAGCAATGGGGTACCGAAAGTCGTTGGAGTTGCTACAATACTTTAATTGCAGTACTACAATACTACAATACAATACTTTAATTACAATACTCCAATACTATTGTGGGTGTCTTTCTTTGCCAAATACCTAAATATATTTTGGTATAATCTGGTTAGATCTCCCAAAAATTTGCATTTTATCATTGTCTTGTAAGTCTTGTATTTTCTCAAGCAACGTTTCCGCCGTCCGTCGTCACTCCGTCAAAAGTGGAGTGTCGTTTGGGTGTCTTTCTGGAATATAACCGGATTGATGCATGGGTCTTTGGTTTAGTTTTTAAAATGCAAATTTTTGAAGGATATAACTGGATAGTGCCTATCTTTCTTACTATGAGCTAGCCTATAACCATCAGCATTTAGAATCTTTGGTAAACCGATCCCTGGTGATGGATCTTATTGCAAGCTCGACGCCGAAGAATATGATCTTCCTTTTGTTGCTCAACTTCTCTGTTCGAGCAGAAAACTTATTAATAAAGACTAATGCTAAGGCTATAATAACAAACTGATTGAACTGATTGAATGCTTTTTAACCTTTCACTTCACGCTTTGTGTGGCAACTATGCCACCAAAGCATACATAAATGGGCGCTTTAGCTCAAAACATCCATAAAGACTGAACCTCATAGTATGGATAGCTAGCGCATGTCATTCTGTTGTTCTGTTCAAAATTCTGTTCTTATAGAAGCCCACTCAAACTCAAACTCTCATTCTCTAGTAGTTTCTCATTGTTGTCTCCAATGATAGCTCGTTGTTGTCTCCAATGATAGCTCATTGTTGTCTCCAATGGTAACTTATTGTTTTAGAGTCAAGAGTGTACCAAATATTGGCACCAAAATTTCTATAAGGAAGCCCTTTGTAGATCGCCTTTCGAATTGTAAGACTTTCGCATTGTTGACTGAATATCTTGTATCCGTATTTCCTATCGAACCGTCAGTTGCGGAACTTTTGTTGCTCTTTTTCATTTATTAAAAGGAAATACACTTCTTGTGAATTGAATAAAATCATTGTTTTCAAGTTGATTGGTCAGATTACACATCAATTTGGGAAGAAGGTTTGTCGATCAGATAGATGACAGATGATGTCGATCAGATCAGATGTCGATGTTGATCAGATGTCGATGTCGATCAGATGTCGATGCAGATCAGATGTCAATCAGATCAGATGTCGATCAGATCAGATGTGATCAGATATCACTGTCAATTAAGGAGGAAGCATCTCCACCCGGATAAAAGATTGGAAAGGAAACAGTCCTCGTATAGACTAATTTTTATTCAGTATAAAGAGATAGTTCTCTCAAGCGTTCCATTCTTCTTCTCATTGTGTTCTTGTTGTAAGGGCCACATCAGCCCGTAAGCATTTTGTTTCCAAGCATAAGCACAGGGTTTTATATTGTGCATAAATAGTTGACTTGCACATTTGGGTCGATCACAGTTTAAGACATACAAGCCTACTCTTTCGCTATACTTTATTACTCTTTTTCTAGTAAGATGGGAATTCTGTGGTCACATCTTTTGCCATCTCTTTTGTTTTTTGGTTATGCTTTTTGATCCGTTTGAAATGAAGCCATTGAAACTTTGAAACTAAAAGCTTTTGAGAACATAAAATGACAATGGATGAGTAGAAAATTTGGTGTGCTATGTTTAGCTAGCTGGCTTTTGTACAGGGTGCGTCATAATTATTGCAACAAGATACTCAAGGCATTGCACACCAAGACACCAAGTTTCACCGGAAGAAGATTTTTAAACAGAAATAGCTTTATTTAACAGTAACAAATAAGGAAACAAGAGATCATTCGATATGACCGCCTTTTGCCTTGATAACAGCCCTTAATCGGTTCGGATATGCCTCCACTGCGGCCCGAATGTCATCTTGAGGAGTCGCCTTCCATCCTTTGGTCAAAGACTTCTTCAAGGTCAAAGACTTCTTCAAGGCCAAAGAGCAGACATTAGCCTCTAAGATTGCCCAAATGGAAAAGTCAATCACATTGAGATCCGGTGAGTTTGGAGGCCATTCATCCTTGGTGATCACTGAGGGAAAGTTGGCCACACACCAGTCCTGAGCCGTCTTCTTCGTGTGAGCGGGAGGCAATTAGGCAAGAATAAAGAAGATAGAACGCAACACAACAAAAAAGGGGGCAAAAAAAATAAGAAAGCTGTTTGGAAAACGGTCTTTGAACTCTTGTTGCAATAATTATGACGCACCCTGTAAACCTAACTCAAAGTAGATAAGACCAGATTGATAAGAATGGACTCTGGACATGGACAATTCCAATAAACCACAGTTCCATCTTTTTATTCAACTCTGCATCGCCTGAAATGCATGTGATTAACAGATGAATGCTTTTCTGGGTCTCCTAAGAGTCTTGAATAAGAAAAAAATGAAAAAGAAATGAAAGAAAATAATTTATTGAATCGCAATGTTTAGCCTTTGCCAAGAAAAAGGAGAAAAATGAGAAGAATGTAGATAAATATTGTGTTTGATTATGAGGTGGGTCGAGGCACTTTGCGAGCTCGGAGACCGCTCTGGTGACATTGCAAAACTTGATCCCATTTCGCGAGACATGTCACCAAATCTTTCCGTAAACTCTTCATTCCCCAAAGGGCACGCGGATTTTTCTGGAAAAGAATAAAATGATCAGTAGAGTTTTTTGTGATTTGATCCTAACAGAACTGTTTTTTTTAGATATCAATCTTTTAGTTTTTTGAAATTGAATAGTTTGTTTATAGTGTTTATAATGTATCAAGCTTTATAGTGTTGAGAATTGAGCATAAGCTTTGCTTGAAAGATTCACACTTTACTAGTACTAGAATTGTTTTAGAGAATCTTGCACTTGCCTGAATCTTTTAGAGAATCTTGTACTTGCTTGATTCTTTCAGAGAATCTTGCACTTACAAGTTGTCTTAAGTTACCAAGTCTGCCAAGATCATTAGGAAGTTTTCAAATCAATCATTTCTCCTTCTTCTTCTTCTCCTTCTTCTCCTTCTCCTTCTCCTTCTTCTCCTTCTCCTTCTCCTTCTTCTCCTTCTCCTTCTCCTTCTTCTCCTTCTCCTTCTCCTTCTTCTCCTTCTCCTTCTTCTCCTTCTCCTTCTCCTTCTTCTCCTTCTCCTTCTCCTTCTTCTCCTTCTTCTTCTCCTTCTTCTCCTTCTCCTTCTTCTCCTTCTCCTTCTCCTTCTTCTCCTTCTCCTTCTCCTTCTTCTCCTCCTCCTTCTTCTTCTCCTTCTCCTTCTTCTCCTTCTTCTTCTCCTTCTTCTCCTTCTCCTTCTTCTCCTTCTCCTTCTCCTTCTTCTCCTTCTTCTTCTCCTTCTTCTCCTTCTCCTTCTTCTCCTTCTCCTTCTCCTTCTTCTCCTTCTTCTTCTCCTTCTTCTCCTTCTTCTTCTCCTTCTTCTCCTTCTCCTTCTCCTTCTTCTCCTTCTTCTTCTCCTTCTTCTCCTTCTCCTTCTTCTCCTTCTCCTTCTCCTTCTTCTCCTTCTCCTTCTCCTTCTTCTCCTTCTCCTTCTCCTTCTTCTCCTTCTTCTTCTCCTTCTTCTCCTTCTTCTCCTTCTCCTTCTCCTTCTTCTCCTTCTCCTTCTTCTCCTTCTCCTTCTCCTTCTTCTCCTTCTCCTTCTTCTCCTTCTCCTTCTTCTCCTTCTCCTTCTCCTTCTTCTCCTTCTTCTTCTCCTTCTTCTCCTTCTCCTTCTCCTTCTTCTCCTTCTCCTTCTTCAACCTATCTCTTCTCACCTGCGGAACGCAAAGTTGCATGCATTGCTCTCCAAGTGTGTGAATTCCCTTCGCTCGACAGCATTCAGAGTTATCATGTGTCTAAAGAAGAGATTTTGATAAATAGACAAATAAATAAACAATTAAATAGACAAATAGACAAATAAATAAACAAGTAAATAGACAAATAGACAGATATTTTGATAGATAGACAAAGAAGCGGTAAAACTGTTTGCATCAGTTTGTTTACCACAACTATTTAAAACTTACTTGAGCCGCACAATGCACAATGGATGGGAGATACTTGTAGAGTCGGCATCTTGATGGTTGAATCGTGTGCATCAACTGAATCAAATTTTTCAATTCAACTTTTGCTGATAGTCAACAATTGTTTTAGTTACTAATGGCTTCAACTATAAATATACTCATCACTATACTTTTAACCAGTTTACTCATCACTATACTTTTCAATTATCGCTCTATATAAGCAGCCATGTTAACTCCGCCCCTGTTCAATCCATTTGCCGTTGGCAATCTACGAATTTTGCTCGTATCTTAGTCGGGTTTGTTTGAAAAACGTTGAATTTGCTTTCATTCGATAGAAAATTTGATTTCGAGTCGAATGAAAGCAAGTTCAACGTTTTTCAAAAAAACCCGGCTAAGATACGAGCAAAATTCGTAGATTGCCAACGGCAAATGGACTGAAAAAAGGGGCGGAGTTAACATGTATATAAAGAGCGCGTTAACGTTTTTTCACAAGTTTTTCTCAATGTTTCTTACTATTAATTTGTTTTCTCTATACTTCTTTCTTTTGCGCTTTCTTTTCAATTGAATAACTTTAATTTTAGATTAACTTCTGGTCTAAAAACATCCTTTTGAAACATCTTTTGAAGCGCATGCTTTAGAAAGCGGATTAATCACAAGGAACTAATTAAAGTTCCTCTAATTAAGATTAATTATTGCTCGTATTGCAAGTTTGTCTAGATCTTTTCGGATAGAAAAATTGAACAAAACAACACGAAGTTTTTCTCCAAACTGAGCATTGAACAAGTTTCGGTTTGTCCCGATTTTGATTAGGCCAATGAGTTGAGTCAGCAACTATTTTATATGTGCCTTTCTACCATACTCTAGTACTTCTATTGTAGAGGAGTACTGTAGTCTGTAGAGAGGCTACAGTATTCCTTTGTTTGGCTCAGGCTTTCATCAGGCTTTCATCAGGAGACGTCAGCGAGATCAAGAAATTTAAAACTTTTCCTAGAATTTCCTTTTTTCTACATATTTTCTTACATGTTTCCTTACATGTTTCCTTACATATTTCCTTGCATTTTCTTCCTGTTCAATCTCCACTTCCTTTCTACTTTGTACTTCCTTTCTACTTCCTTTTTCGTCTTTGTTTCCCATTAGCATTAATCAACACACTCTACTCACCACAACACGCGCTTCAATAGCATTTGTCTCATAGACACACGCTCCTCTGCACTCTGGGGGCACAAATCGTTCACAGCAAGTCGCAAAAACCTGGAAAATGTTTTCTTTTCTCCAATCCGAACTGCACAAACTTGATCGGCCAATTTACGTTCTATGCAAGGCTTCCAATTGTTTCCAGATGAGCCACAATCCTGTAACTTGTGATATCGAAGACGAATTTGTTAGAATTGCATGCTGTATGCATTTTCTTAGAGCATTTCCTTTGCATGTATTTTCTTAGAGCTTATAAATATTCAACAAATCGATTTACAAACAATTCTTTGAGTTTTACATTGTGCAAAACTCAAAGCTGTAGCTCAAAACTGAAGTTTTCCAATCACTTACTGCAGGTTGATCAAATTCGAATTGCTCATTGTCGGCCAGCGCAACGATTGATAATAGAGATATGAAAAGTACTCGTCTCATCTAAATTGATTAAGAATCGTTTTAATAAATGATAAATCAAAAATGTAGAACAATAGGGTGCAAAAAAAAGTGAGATGACCTCGTAAAAAGATGAAACGATTTATCGGGAACAATGGAAAGTGAAAAGAGGTGAAAAGATGCTCAGGATGAGATGGATTGTGAAAAAGTCATGAAAAACTGACGCTTTTTTTAAGCTAATGTGCTTGAAATTTTGATTGAAAAGTTAGTTTGTATCGGGAGTCGTTTTTTTGAAAGTAATTCATTTGAAGTTCTATTTGTAAAGGGTCCTAAAAACTTAAGAACTAAAGATTTTCAAGATGCTTTCAAAAATCGTCATTAATAAAGTTTGAGAAAGGAATTTATTGTGTTACAAAACCAGTTCTGTCGATTATTAGCTAAAATTTTGAACGAAAACATTCTAAATTTAATAAGATGAGTTGGAAAAGTGATAATCGATGGATCGCTTGGGGGAAACAGGCTTGTATCCCGTAAAGGGAAATGAACCGAATACAGGAAAGAGAAAAAAAGACAAGTGATTGAAGAGATCCGAGAAAAGAAAGGATTTGGTAAAGGAAAAGAAGGGAAATGTAAGAGAGGTAAAGGAAAAGAAGGGAAATTCAAGTGATTGCTCGGTCTCAGTCTCAGGATTGAAGGAGGACGATGTGGAGAAAGAGAAATCCACAAAAAGGAGAAAAAATCGAGAAAAGGAGATCGAAGCTGGTTTTGCTCTCTTTCAAATTTGTCCTCTAGACACTTTTCACTCTTGGTGAGTTGAGAAAGCAACCTGATTGAAATAACATTTCTCCTACAGGTAGACGGACAATTTTAGCTCGATCGCTCAAAGTGGGCGATCGTAGATCTTTAGATTCTTTAATACATTCACGACAAAGCCATTGACTGGCCATTCAGACGACAGAGTTCTATGTTAGCTGTAGCTTGCCTAAGCCTTACAAAGAAAAATTAATATTACCACTACCACTAACAACAATTAGTGAAGGGAACACACCTTTCTTTGCTAAAAATGAGTGAATAGATTAAATAAAAGAGAAACTGTTTACTTCTTCGTGTTAGCTGGGAGTTCTTCAAGGAGAGCTTCTCGATGGTTGGAGATTTGTCGACGAGTGAGTGCTTCTTCTTCAGGCATTTCGACGAGGAAAGTGACACGGAGTGGAGATTTCTTTCCATTGACAGCTTCCTCTTAAACGATCAACTCATCCACCAGCTTTTCTCCGGTGAGTGCGGAAAGAGTTTGATGAGTTGAGGACTGAAAGCTGGTTGTCAATTCGCGATTCTTCTTCTCTAGTTGTTCTATTCGAATCAAGTATAAAACTCACTGGGAACTTGATGATTGAGATGTGTTGATGAGAATCAAAGTTTGCCATCGCATGAACAAGTGACGAGGCATCGACAGAGAAATCATTGCCCCACAATCATTGAGAAATCATTCCCCCCACCGAAGTTTATTGGCAGAAGCTCCAGCTTCAGATGATGAACTCCAGCTGCTTCTCCATCTCCTCCTTCTCCTTCTACTCTTTTCTTCTGCATCTTCTGCATCTCCTCCTCCTCCTTCACCTCCTTCCCACTCACCGCATCCCTCATCCACCGCAAGAAGTAGTCGTGAAGAACCTGGTAACACACGATCAATACATTCAAAGTCATTTTGGCTTGGCTGCCGTTTCGGACTAGCTATGTTAGCTGTAAAACTGACAATTTGTAACCGGAGGCATTCTGGGATGGAGAATCTGAATCCGTTATTAGTTTTTGAGCAACTTTAATCCCCGAGCCAAACGGCCATCACAAAATTTATCATATCAGAGTTCTATCATTTATGCGATCATTCTTAAAAGTGATTGTTTCTCAGTTATTTAATGATTTACAATTACTTATTCTACAGAAAAAGTCAGGGTTGCTGATAAAGGCGAAGAGTTGTTATTAGTCGCCACCAAGAATTCTAAAGAAACCAAAATTTAATTGAAACGCCTAGTGAAGCCATAATAACTACAAGGAAAAAGAAATGCACGAAGCATTAAAAAAGAAAAGATTCTTATTGCAAAAAGACACAAAGCACTTGAAGTGGTTGATGGACTTTTGCAGCTTATTCTTTTTGTCTCAATATTATCTCTTTCGAGCTAACAATATTATAGTCTATGCACTCGTCAATCTCTCGCAAGAATGATAGAACAAACGACAACATTGAAACCCGTGCGATCACTTCTTTCTCTTCTCTTTTCTCTCTTTTCTCTTTTTTTGACTCTGAAAAGGTCTATCTGAGTTGAAGTTTTTCCCTTGTCGATTGTGTAATCCGCTCAAAATCACTCACAATGTCGTGTCTTTTTGTCCTTTATCGGAGCTTTTCCTAAAGTTTACCTTTTTCCTCGTATTGACGAAGGTCGAATTTCAAATCTAAGTCTTGTTTCGATTTGCCCAAATGATTCGAATGACTTATTCAGAGTTAAAATCCTTTAACTTTCTTCAGTATCCTTAAAGGTTTCACTGCTTTATATTGCTAATTCATTGCCGATCTAAAATTGTCCGATTAAAGATCTGCTGTTGGATTGTGCTACCCAAATGATGCTTATAATTGGATTGGTTACCAGATTGACTCATAAGGACAAAACTCGATACGAAACCGACTTTCCCGGCTTATATAGAGCGGCTATGTGTCAGATCGCGAGTGATTAGCCACCCAAAGAACACTCAACAGTCATTTGCACAGTGAATTTTCTTTTGTTCTCAAAATAGCTCCCAGAAGAGATTTAAAGCTAGAAATTTGTATCCAAGGGTTTTCTGGGTCGAGGAATCGATTGGCGGGGTTCATTTATTGAATAATAATATAATACTATTGAATGAATATTGAATGAATAATAATTGAAAGAATTGACCCAGAGCCCCAAGCTAGAACCAGAGCCAGAACCAGAGCCAGAACCAGAGCCAGAACCAGAGCCAGAGCCAGAGCCAGAGCCCCAAGCCAGAGCCAGAGCTAGAGCCAGAGTCAGAACCCCAAGCCAGAGCCAGAGCTAAAGCCAGAGCCAGAGCCAGAGCCAGAGCCAGAGCCAGAGCCAGAGCCAGAGCCAGAGCCAGAGCCAGAGCCAGAGCCAGAGCCAGAGCCAGAGCCAGAGCCAGAGCCAGAGCCAGAACCCCAAGCCAGAGCCAGAGCCAGAGCCAGAGCCAGAGCCAGAGCCAGAGCCAGAGCCAGAGCCAGAGCCAGAGCTAAAGCCAGAACCATAGCCAGAGCCAGAGCTAGAGCCAGAGCCAGAGCCCCAAGCCAGAGCCAGAGCTAAAGCCAGAACCATAGCCAGAGCCAGAGCCAGAGCCAGAGCCCTTTCTAAATCAATAGTCAGACTTTTTATATAATAATAACAAAGATTCTTGTTAAATCAACCAAATTTGTTCAACAATTTACTTGTCATTTCAAAATTTCTAAAGTTCTAGTTTATGATTTGTATTTGAAGGGCCTAAACGGGGGCCTACAATGGCCTCAGCAAATATATTTAGACGAGCATCGACACTTTTCCAAAGCAAAGTGAGCATGATTCATTGTACATACAATTACCTTTTTCTTTTCCTTTTAAAAAGTCAATTTCTTCTGCTAATCATGTAATTGATCCGGTTTAATCATGAAATTGAAGAATTTCTCAAGAATTTCTTCTCTTTTCGCTTTCTCTTCGCTTTCTCTTCGCTTTGTTTCCCTTTCTGTTCCCCATTCATTACCGTTTTCATTGTTCGTTTCAAGACCGCAATCCATTTATTCAAATGGTCATAAAGGTCATAAATTTTGCATACTAATCGAATGTTAGTTGTTTATTTGGTTTCTCGAAGTGATTAATCGTTTTTTTCTTCATTATATGGTAAACAACTTTTTCAATCGCAATTCACAATTCGAAATCGCGAATTCTTTAAAAAAAAACTTTGTTTATTGATATTTTGTGACAATCATTCAAAAAGCTATGATTCATGTTGATTGCTTAACATTCCTGAAAGAATTTCTTTGAAAACATGACACCTAAATTGTCATGAATATTAGTTTTTGAAACAAAAATCCTCTAGCTAATTTTAAAGTAAACCAAAACCTGTTTTTTTTACTTTGAAAAGAGTTTTACTAGGCTTTTCAAAAAGTTTTTGTTCCTTTTAGTTAAAAAATAACAAATTCATCAATTGCTTTCTAAATAAAAAGTGTTTATTGTTTAATTTCCATCTTTTCAAGTCAATTTTGGTTCACTTACAAACAAATTCGAGAGTGATAAACGTGTTTTTCGTTACAGTAAAATAATTGGCTTATAAATTAATGGATTAGAAATCCGGGTTCTTTACCGATAATGGGGAAGGAGAGCGATTATCGGTGGGCTGGAGGGGGAGGAGGTGGAGGTAAGTTTTTTGGCCAACTTGCAGGTTATTTTTAGGCACCTTAAACTTGTCAGATCAGAAAGTTTTGATAATATTTAGATAGCTTAGAACGTTAGCTTTCAGGAACTATTTGTTTTATTAAAAGTTATTAACAAAAACTTATCTAAAATCGGGCTGCAAGTTGGCCAAACTTACTCCCCCTCCCCCGATAACCGTAAAGCCGTAAAGCATACTATAAAGCAATACAGCCGTATAGCATAGCCGTAAAGCATACAGCCGTATAGCATAGCATAATCCAGACTGTTTAGCTGTTTTTAGCTTTAAGCTTTGATTTCTTTTAGTCTGGAGTCAAAACCTGCCTTGTTCTGTAGCAATCAGCACACTTTTACATTCAATTACATTACATTTTACATTACATTCACTTTTACATTACTTTTACATTACTTTTACTTGAGTCTTCAACTTTTTTCCTTTCCTTTTCAATAAAGAAAACTTTAGAACTCACAGAAACCGATCGAATCATCGTCTTAAAACGCGTATCGGTGACACATCAACCCATCCATTTCTTTGATTCCCTTTCCATTCAGATTGTCTTTTTTTTCTTTTCCTTTATCCACTTCTTCACTATTTGCTTTCCCCCTTTCCTCCTCACCCAAAACCATCTTCGTCCACAAATAATCTGATCGACAAAATTCGACGAGTCGACATTTCAAAGCTGAACTGATTTCTCTATTTTAATCCAAAATGCGATCACTAAAGCCACTGCAATTAGTGGCTTTTTTATTGATTCTCTTCTTGTTATTAGTTGAGGTGGGTTTTAAAACAGAGAATGAACTTATGAAGTTATTGGGTTGTCCAGTTACGAATGCGCGTTTTTTACTATTTTGTAAATTTCTCAAGGGACCGAAATCAAGAAAAAGATACATATATGAGTATTATTCGAAAGCTGAAGATCTCCTCTACATTTTGATATAAAAAGCTTTTGAATTTGTTCAGCTTTTGGGCAAATTGATGGCACAGAAGAAGAGGTGACCAAAAAGTGGAAGGGTGCCTTTGGATCAAGTTTTGACTCCGCTCAAATTGAGTTAACCGTTTGATGTTTGGCCAATAGATATATCAATACAACGTTTTTTAAAATATAACAATTTCAGAGCATCTTTACTTTTCTTTTCTTTTCTGGGCGGTTATTTTACACCATAAAACTTGAGGACTAGCTAAGCTGGAATGGGTTTTTTTGAAAACGACCTCTCCCTTTGTGCCATCAATTTGCCCAAAAGCTGAACAAATTCCAAAGCTTTTTATATCAAAATGTAGAGGAGATCTTCAGCTTTCGAATGATATATAACACTCATATAAATCTGTTCGAGAAGATTGAGAAATTGAGATTGAGTATTGAGAAATTTACAAAATAGTAAAAACGCGCATTCATAACTGGACAACCGAATAAATCAATTTCGATTGTACACAACAAAACGATGTTGTCCTTTCAGATAGGCTTGTCGATCTACGATCACTCAATTCTTTGCTCAACGTTGTTAGCAAATTCGGTGCTATTGATCATTTTGATGTACCGACCATTGGACAGCAAATCGGAAGCGCTATTCTTTAGGTGATTTGGGAAACGATTAGGCAAACGATTAGGCTCGATTAAAGAATCGATTAAACGACTAAAGCTAAAGATTGGGATGTTCTTTCAACAACAAAACAAAAAAAAACAAGTTCAGAATATGCGCCTGTGTGGCTTTTGTGGCGATTCTTTTCGTTTCGATCACTCACGCGTTCGAGGCGTTGACGATAAGTCATGGAGAAGATGGAGGAGGAGGACATGAACATCATGAACAAAATGGTTACTTTTTGGAATTGGAAAATAGGCTTTAGGATACTTTTTTTAATGTAAAGCCTTTCTTAGCCCTGTTGGCCATTTTTGGTGCCAATTTTTAAAGTCTTGTTGGCTTTTCTTGCAAGAACTCGTAAGCCAATTGCAGCCAATTACAGCAATCAAGCTCTGATTGCTTTCCCATATCTATTTCAAAGGAAATCTAGACTTACCATTCAACTTTCAGAGCTTTGGAGATATGTGGCCATTGTAGACACTGTTGTGAAATCTGTGCTCGTTCTTTCATCACTCGCTCCATCTCTGGGTCTCTGGCGTCCATCACAGCTACTTTTGCACACCCTGGCACCACTTTTGGTAAGTTTTTCAGCTAATTACCGTATTTACTCTAATAGAAGCGCATCTATTTTTCAATCAGTCCACAAAAATTTCCTCGGAAAGTTCCTTGGAATTTTACCGGTAAAGTACGAAAAAGTAAAGTAAAACTATGGACGTTTGACCGAAAAGATCAATGGTGACGCCGTAAAGATCAAAGACACCGCCGGAACTTTTCCTGGTGCATAGCATACGGGCTCAGGTTTCAACAGGATGTAGAAGTAGAAGTAGAACATAACGACATTGAGCAACTTGACCGACATAACGATCTTGGAAAAAGGTGTAGAGGGCTAAATTAAATTTATAACGGTAAAGTATCATTATCTTAAGCTTGACGGAATTTAATTACTAGTCTAAGTTTTAAATTCGATTCAAATAAGCTGAATTGCAAAAAAAAGATCAAAATTGATACTGCTTATGCAAAACAAATAACAAATGAAAGAAACAAATTAAATTTTTCTCAAGGAAATCCGTTATATATGCTTAAAAGCTCAAAACTAAGGGTATTCAGTCTACGAAGCTGAATATCCATAATTATTGCATCTATTGGAGACTGCGCTTCGATTTTTCAACCACCACCACCAAATTCAACCACGAAATTTCTTCTATTAGAGGCTATTAGAATCAATCAAGTAGTTAGATTTGATGAAATACAAACGCTTTACTTATTTCTTTCAGGTGATCGCTGTCTCAATCGATTCTTTCGAAACGCTCCCCGTCATTCATTGGTTTGGCGAGAAATTGGATGCTGTTCTCTCGCTGGCTGTCGTTGCAATCTCCATCGTTCTCATCATTCCAGCTTGTAAGTTCCAGATAAAGCTTTTACCTGTACGTCAAACTTTTAACTTAATGTTTCAGTTAGTGAACTAAAGCCGTATATTTTCGTCGATTCGCCTCCATTTTTCAACGCAAAAAGCTTCCAAAGTGAAATCAATTCCACGGTTTGTGATAGTCTAAAAGTCTGATAGTCTAAAATAAACTAATTCTAATTCTAAATGTCAATTTCTAAATGTCAATTTCTAAATGTCAATAAAAAGTCAATTCCAGTTTGCGGGAATCAACTGCTCACATATTCATGTCTACAGATTGTGGCCAGACAGCTTTGAAGCAATTATTCATTTAGAAGTGACTGTGGGTTTATGAATGAAACAAAGCGATTAGAAAAGACTTCCAGTTTTAGAAAAATTTTAAATAACGCTTAGATTTCTAGATAGATTTCTTTGTCTAGAATTCTAGATCCAATGAATGCGATGATTATTTTTTAATTGAATTGTTGACAATTCTTGTTGAAATTCTTGTTGAAATTCTTGTTGAAATTCTTGTTGAAATTCTTGTTTAGGTGGATCGCCGAATGAAGAATTGGGGTACAAATGCGAGACATCGATATGAAGAGGTTTCGAAATATGTGAGAAGTGCGCTGTGTAAAGGAGGAGCTAAAAAGGTCAGTATCATCTTTGAAATATCATCTTTTAAATATCATATTAAATATCATCTTTGAAATATCATATTAAATATCATCTTTGAAATATCATCTTAAAACTTTAAACTACGAATTTTTAAAGTCCTTCCTTTTACTAGAAGAATAAATATTAAGTTGAGTGCTAAGTCTTGCACCGAAATTCATTTTCTAATTGAATACAACAACCAAACCAACAACCAAACCAACAGCCAAACCAACAGCCAAACCAACAGCCAAACCAACAGCCAAACCAACAGCCAAACCAACAGCCAAACCAACAACCAAATCAACAACCAAACCAACAACCAAACCAACAACCAAACCAACAACCAAACCAACAACCAAAACCAACAACCAACCAACAACCAAACCAACAACCAAACCAACAACCAAACCAACAGCCAAACCAACAACAAACCAACAACCAAACCAACAACCAAACCAACAGCCAAACCAACAACCAAACCAACAACCAAACCAACAACCAAACCAACAACCAAACCAACAACCAAACCAACAACCAAACCAACAACCAAACCAACAGCCAAACCAACAACCAAACCAACAACCAAACCAACAACCAAACCAACAACCAAACCAACAACCAAACCAACAACCAAACCAACAGCCAAACCAACAACCAAACCAACAACCAAACCAACAACCAAACCAACAACCAAACCAACAGCCAAACCAACAACCAAACCAACAACCAAACCAACAACCAAATACCTTTCAAACAATAAAATGCCTAACAATTTCTTTCATTAGCTAGTCTAATCATTTTTCTTTCAAATGACTTTTGAAACTTATGAAAGTTTGAAAGTTAAAAGCTTTGTTTTGAAGGTTTTTCATTAGAAAGAAGCTGAATGTTCAAAAACCACATGATTAAATGATGCGATTTGGATCAATTCTTTCAATGAAACCTATTTTGATGACAAAGTAAAAAAGATAGCGCATAAAAAGAGGCCTATAGCCAAAATTTTCGAATAATCCGTTTAGCGAATCTGTAAGAGGTCTTTGGAAGCTTGAAAACACCTAAATGTTCATAAAAAAGCTTTTTATGTTAAAGGAAAAAAGGAAATACGTTTGGCTGCGAGCAGAATTGAACCCGCTTGGCATAGTTTTGTGGACTAGCGCATTATCCCCTAAGCTATCGCCGCTCGTCGTTCCTCCCCGCTTGGCGCCTCCTTATAGGCGAGATTTGCTGAAATTAGCCGAAACTTTGCACGCGTTTTTCTCAAAAACTAGCCTCCAATAGGAAAAAATAAAAAATATACCGTAAATACTGTAATAGTACTCCACCCGCCTCGTACAGTCGCGTAGTCGCAAGTATTTCATTGTTTCTTTTTTTGCAAAGCACCCGTACTTTCAAAAAATGCATCTTTGGTATCAAAAAATAGCCCTGAATTTCAGCTATTTTTTGATATCTAAGCGCGCATTGTAGCATAAACCAGTGTCGAGAAAAACTCGTCCAAAGCTAGACTACGCAACGCTCCGCACCGTCATTATGGGGGTGGGGTACTATTACAGTATTTACGGTATGTTCTTTTGTTTCTGACGCCTTGTAGTTAGATCCGGTTTCGAAAATTGGCAATAAGTTGAAAGTTCCCTAACTAAACCTAATACAAATCTTTCAGGTGGTAGTCGAGCCGAAATTCGTGAGTGAAGGGACAGCTAGAGAGCCATGGAGTGGATGTGTTGTGAGTAGATGTCAAAAAGATACCGGCTGTTGTCTACCATCAACTCCAACAATCACCTCACCACCGGATAATTGTTAAATAAGAATTGTTGAAAGAATTGTTGAAGAAATTTTATGATCCAAATTCTTATCCAAATCCAAAAAAGTTAATGATTTTGATTGTGATTGTGATTTTTGTGATTTTTGTGATTTAAGACTACAAAAAGCATACTCAAAGCCGATCAAGCGCTTCACAATAAGATTGTCAAATTTGTTTATTACTTTTCTCCGCTTTTTCCAAAGAAATTCATCAAAATGTTGTCCCGATTTTTCTCAGTACCTCTAGAAATGCCTTAAAATATTTACTCAAGCATTGAAAGAATTTTCTGTAGTGCCTAGTCCGCAATTCTTTTCGGATTTATCTTGAAATCTTTCTCTTTCTTTTTCTTTCTCAATTCTTTGCTGGCATAATTTGTAGTTTTCGAATAGTTTCATGAAATGAGTCAGGCTTCGTTTAGCAATAGTGATTGTGATGTTCTTTACGTAAAGATTCTTAAATTTAACTTATAAAAGGATACAGTTTTCAAAACTAGACAAACTACTTACCGTAAATACTGTAATAGTACTCCACCTCCTCGTACAGTCGCGTAGTCGCAAGTATTTCATTTTTTTCATTTTTTTCAAAGCGCCCGTACTTTCAAAAAAATGCGTCTTTGGTATCAAAAAATAGCCCTGAATTTCAGCTATTTTTTGATACCTAAGCGAGCATTGTAGCATAAACCAGTGTCGAGAAAAACTCGTTCAAAGCTAGGCTACGCAACACTCCGCGCCGTCATTATGGGGATGGGGTACTATTACAGTATTTACGGTAAGCAGAAATCTACAATATCATTTCTTTTCATACTTAGGGACTTGAATTGCTTGAAATTGACCCAAATTGACTTTAAAAAATAAGAAATTGATCAATAAACACAGAAAACGATAGTTTAATTAAGTTTAATTAGTGAATTTGTTATTTTATGAAAGAAAGAGCGAAAGAACGAAAAGGAACTAAAAAACTTATTCAAAAACCAAATAATTGATCACTAATCAACCTTCAGCAAGACAATGTTAGTTGTAGAATTGAAGAGTTGAAGAGTTGAAGGAGAAGAGTTGAAGCAACGATGATCAACCGTTAAGCCAAGCCTTTCCCAAACTTTGTCAACTTTACAACTATTTCACTTTGTCAACTTTATTCGCCTTCCCAATTTCACTCGTCTCCTTTACATTTTTTCATAATCTTTCGATCCTTGCAATAGTAGGTCATTTTCTTTTGCAAGGGCACTCACAAAAAGATTATCCTCTTTTTCTCGCCAAGCCTTGTACTTTTTGTCTATATTTTTGTCTAAAATGGCTAAAAATTCTTAATTTCAGCCAGATGACCCTTTGAAATCCCGACATTTTCACAAAAAGTCACCAAAAGTCACCAAAAATTTTCCCTGAGCTATTTTCATTCAGATATTTTCAGTATTCCTTTTTTCTTCCTTTTTCAGTATTCTCATTCCATTTTCTCATTCCTTTTTTCTCATTATAATTTTTTTTTTGAGCTGTACTGTGATGAAAAAAACTCTTTCTAGTGATAACAGTCAAATTTTGGGACTCATTGTATGTAAATATTCACTTTCTTGACTGTACTGGTAATCAGAATAAAAAGATAGGAGAAAAAAAAAAAGAGGCAAGCAAAAGAAAAGCAAAAGGAAAGCAAAAGAAAAGCAAAGCAGAAAGGAAAAAGACACGCAGAGAATTTTGTGTCCATGTATACTGCCGAGTTAATTGTGATAAGGGTTTGTGGAGTAGTTTCTTTTTTTTTCTCTTTTCAATTTCTTTGCCTTATCGTTTTTTCCATTGAGCTTTCCCCTGCCCTAAACGGTCCCGAAGCGGACACCGAACAAAATTCAAAAATTTCTGAAAGAGGGAAGGTAGACGGCTTGGCACTGTTTTCGACGCCATCTCGCCTCGCCCTTTTTGTCAATTCAAAAAAGAAGACATTTCGATACTCAGCTAAAGATTACGGTATCCCTTCACCATCAAGTCTCCTATCTGCTTGTTACTCATTCTTTGTCTTTTTCTTTCACCGTTCCACTCCCATTGTCGCAAATTTCCCAGAGATGACCTGTCCCAACCAGAAATTGGCTAATCTGTAGAATATTCTGCAATATTCTGCAATATTCACAATATTCTACAATTATTTCGAAAATGTTTAAACAGGTTAGCAATTTTGAGTACTTAAGATCGAAAAATGAATGATTTACAAGAAATTTGCTTCTGCTTCAAGAATGCTTCTGCTTCAAGAATGCTTCTGCTTCAAGAATGCTTCTGCTTCAGGAATGCTTTTGCTTCAGGCATGCTTCTGCTTCAGGAATGCTTCTGCTTCAGGAATGCTTCTGCTTCAAGTAATGCTTCTGCTTCAAGAATGCTTCTGCTTCAGGCATGCTTCTGCTTCAGGAATGCTTCTGCTTCAGGAATGCTTCTGCTTTATATCACAGTATCTAGAGCTTGACTTCACAGTCAGACAGCTCAACCAGATTTTGTTGATGAAATTTGCATTGGACTTGACATTCTATTTGTTTATTGATATTCTATTTATTTATTAACATTCTATTTCTATTATCTATTCGATTTATCCCCCGATTTATCCTTTTTGATATTCCTTTTTGACCGTTAAACATTTGGGATATCACCGAAAAGCGTGAAAAGTGCTCAGAAACACGCTTTCGAAATATCCCGAATGTTGATTGTCTGCCAAGTTTCCCCATTATTTTGAAGTTTGCGCCAAATGGAATTATCAGGGCCTTCGCTAGTCTGGCATCCAAATGTAGCCCTTCAATTGGGCTACACGATGCTATAAAAAACTTTTAGAAAAACTGTTGTTTAATACAAGGAAATACAAGGAAAATGACCGCTCTCACTGCTCTCACTTTGCCGCCATTTTTCTTGTACTAAACAACAGTTTTACTAAAAGTTTTTTATACCATCGTGTAGCCCAATTGAAGGCCTACATTTTGATATTAGACTCGCACTGGTAAGACCCTAGTAAATGGTAATTCCATTCGGCGCAATCTTTATGGTCTCTTATTTTATTTTGCAAAAGTTTAGCTTCTCTTTTGTAAAATCAAAGCTTCACTGAAATCCTTAATTTGATGATTTAAAGGAATAAAATCAGCAAGAAAGGCATAAAATCAGCAAGAAAACAGAATCCTATCGGGTTAAAAGGTTACGTCTGAAGGGATCCGAAGAGATGAAGAGATGAAGAGATCCCCTTTCCACTTCAGAGGCAAGATCTCTTTTGAGGTTTTTGAAGAGGAAACGAAGAGACTAAAAAAGATGGAGAGCCAATTTGAAAGAAAAGAGAGATTCTTCTTCTCCTTCATCCTCCGTCAGCTCTCCTCCCCATTTCCCTTCTTCGAGGCGCCCCTGGGAATCCCCCGAGGTGACAATCACTGCTCACTCTCATCCTCCATGCTTTCCTTTACTAGTATTTTACAATTAATTTGTTATTTTGCTTATTTTCATGCTGTTTTTACAGCTAGACCTTCAAAGAGAAGGTAAGTGGAATAAAAAATAGCATAAAATAGTGATTATGGTACATTTGCTCTGCTCTGCCATCAGCAATCTAACTTTCAGCTCAAATTTCTTGGTGTCAGGCTGTCCAAATTAAATAGTTTTCGTACCAATCGACAGATAAAGACTTGGCGCATCTAATGATACAAAGAATATTTAAATTGTATAGCCCAACACCAAGATATTTGAGCTCAAAGTTAGATTGCTAATGGGAAAGGGGCGGGGTGAGTCCGATAACCTAAAATATCATTGTGAGTTCCGAAATTTCGAGTTAGATTCCTAGATTTGAGTGATTTTTAGATGCGCTAACGATACTGAAGTGATTGACTATATTTTGGATATTATTGATGACAAGAAACACACTTACAATAAGTACAAATTGCCGAATGTTCCCGTGGATGTTCGGGTTGAGATGTGGGTCCAAGAGGTGACCTCTGTCTCTGAAATGTCTCAAGATTTCGAAATCGGTAAAGATATTGCTTCAATGCTTCATTTTTCCATGTTTCCAGATGTTTATATGAATGAGTTTTGGCAAGATCCGGGTCTTGTCTATGAACATCTCAATCCTTGCCACATGAATATTTCCTTTGATCATACGATGTTGAAAAAGATTTGGACGCCGAATACATGCTTTGTCAACTCAAAAAAGGCAAACATTCACAGCTCGCCATTCATCAATATCTTTCTGATGATTTTCCCAAATGGTTTGTTGGATTCTTTTTCAAGTTTTAACTTTAGCATAGCTTTAGCTTTATCTGCTGAAAGTATGAACTTTGAAAGCTCACTTAGAACACTTTTATTCTCGTTTTACATTTGATAACTTGCGAAATTTCATTTTTCTTCAAATTCTGTCGAAAATTCTTCAAATTCTGTTCAAAATTCTCTTCAAAATGCCCTTCTGATTTCCCCTATTCCAAAATTCTCTTCTGATTTCCCCAAAATTCTCTATGGATGGCTGACTTTTCCCTGAATGTGTTCATTTGCATGAAGCCGCCGAAAATTTGATTTGCGTATTATTGATTGCCACGTCAACAAGACCCCAAAGAAGCGAGTGGCTTTTAGAAAGAAAAGAAAGCTCAGCAAAATCGAAAATAAAAATCTGAAATAAAAATCTGAAATAAGAATCTGAAATAAAAGCTATTTAAAGCTGTTTAGAAAGGAAAGAAAGCTGAGGAGAATATCAAATTAAAAGCTAAAGTCTAAAGCTAAAGTTTATAGCTAAAAGCTTAAAGCTTAAATAAAGCAAAGCATATGTTTAGCAAAGCATTTAAATCTTTATTTATTTCAGGTTCAATTTGGTCGAATTGGAGAATCAAAAGCACGGGCCCTTGTGCAATCGATCTCTCGAAATTCCCGATGGATTCAATCGAATGCATACTCACATTTGAGAGCTTCAATTACAACAATAAAGAGGTTTATACTTTGGTGATTCGAATTTCGAACATTTGTAACCAAATCTGTAAATCCAAAATAAGGAAAAAAGCGGCCAACCAGCCAAAAAAAGGCGGCCAATCGGCCAACCGGCCAGCCTAAAAATAAGCAAAAAGCGGCCAACCTAAAGCCAACTAAAAGCCTTTTAGGTAGTAATGCGATGGACAGATGTGGCCATTCAGATCTTCAAAAATATCGAATTGCCCGATTTCACAATGCTCAATCATTCGCTGCATGAAACAAAACAAGTTTATGCGGCCGGCTATTGGGATGAGTTGTCGGTGAAATTTCCATTCAGACGACGATATGGATGGTATTTGTTGCAAGGTAGGATTGTCGGATTACTAAAGTCTTGTTTGCAAGGATGTTCTAAACCCAAATTTCTGAGTGAGGACAAGTTAGGGCCAGTCTCCTTTCCAGTATATGGACGAAGGACAGAGCCAGGCCCGACCAGGCCAGGGACGGCTCGGATCTAGCTGGCTTCTGGCCCGCTTTCACCAAACTGTTTAGCATTTAGTATTTAGCAATGAGCTGTTAAATTGCTAGATGCTAAATTGGTAAATGCTAAATGCTAAATGCTAAATGGTAGATGCTAGATGCTAAATGTTAGATGCTAAATGCTAAACAGTTTGGTGAAAGCGGGCCAGAAGCCAGCTAGATTCGGCCCATCCCTGGCCTGGTCGGGCTGTTTAACATTTAGCATCTAACATTTAGCATTTAGCATTTAGCACTTACCAATTTAGCATCTAGCAATTTAACAGCTTATTGCTAGATGCTAAATGCTAAATAGTTTGGTGAAAGCGGGCCAGAAGCCAGCTAGGACCGGCCCGTCCCTGGCCTGGTCGGGCTGTTTAGCATTTAGCATCTAGCATCTAACATCTAGCATCTAACATTTAGCATTTAGCATTTAGCATTTACCAATTTAGCATTTACCAATTTAGCATTTACCAATTGAGCATCTAGCAATCTACCAGCTCATTGCTAAATGCTCAATTCTAAACACTAAATGAAGAAGCAATTTTGCTAAATTTAGCAAATTTGCTTGTTTTTGTGTACGATTTGTGGTTTTTTGGAGGCAACCTATTTTTCTGATGACGCCAATCGGTTTCTCGACCTCGAAATGGGTTATTGACTATCTCTGGCCTTTCAGAAAGGTCGGAGTAAAGTTTTTAAAGTAAAGAAGAAAAAAAGTTTGGAAAGTTTCATGAGAAGTATCACATGGTTTTTTTCAAAAAGTTTATTTGCTCAAAATTAGCCGAATTTTGGCTTGTTCTGTAGCCAGAGTATGTCGGAGTTCGAATATGCAATTAGTTTCTTTTGATATCTTTGTTCAGCGCTGAGATCTATGCGTTTTCAGAGCTGGCAGACACTGCAAAACATTCTCGGAGGTGTTTAGCAAACACCAAACACTAAAAGATGCTAAATTTAGCTAAATTTAGCTAAATTCGTTAGTGAAACGCTAGCTTTTTGCTTACGGTTCCAATACGGTTCTTTTTTTGATCCAATACGGTTCCAATACGGTTCCAATAATTCCGAAACGCTAGCATTTTGCAAAATTTCGCTAAATTTAGGCGCTATCCCTGCCCGTACAACTAGGGAACATCCCTAGTTGTTAACATTACCATTTCAGGTTACATTCCAACTTACATGACAACATTCATCTCATGGATTCCCTTTTATTTGGGTCCGAAGGCTATCCCTGCCCGTACAATGATTGGTGTGAATGCTCTTCTCGCAATGACTTTCCAATTCGGGAACATCATCAGAAATCTTCCTAGAGTCAACTATGTCAAAGTTTGTTTGCCTTTTTTATCGAAAATCTTTTCAAATTTAGGCGATCGATGTCTGGATGATGGGGTGAGTTTATGAAAGATGAAACGAAAGGGACAATTTTTTAGAGGAATCTTTTTCGTTTTCGCATCCTTGATCGAGCTGGCATTAATCGGATTCAGTACGAGGGGAGAAGAGGGGCAAAAGCAAACAAAACGAGTAAGCTTTATGAAAGATTGAGAAATAGGAGCTCGAAAAATTGTTCTCATTTTCCCTTTAGCCGATGAGAAGATGGAACATGAGCTCAACGAAAGAAGCGCCTCCTCCAAAGAAACTTCAGAGTCCGCTGATGAAATATTTGAGTGAAAATCTGGATCTCTATGCAAGGATATTGTTCCCATGTGAGTTTTCGGGGGTGGGACAAATGCGACCTTTTTTTGCGCACCTGGACATTTGCGCACCTTTTTTTTTGCTGGAAAAGGCCTTAGGCAAGGTCGTAGAGCTTCGAAAATGTTTTCATAGAAGGGAATCGTATGCGTAGATTCAGAATTTCGACAAATCAGACCTCGCTGACACGTCAAATTTGGGCTAAAAGGCAAAAACTGCGGAAAAGCGTTAAGTTGCGTAGTTTTTGCCTTTTAGCTCAAATTTTACGTGTCAGCGAGGTCTGATTTGTCGAAATTCGGAATCTACGCATACGATTTCCTTATATGGAAATATTTTCGAAGCTCTACGGCCTTGCCTAAGGCCTTTTCTAGCAAAAAAAAGGTGCGCAAATGTCCAGGTGCGCGAAAAAAGGTCGCATTTGTCCCACCCCCGAGTTTTCATATCTTTCGGAAAAGAAAAACAATAGCAACAATCACTTACCAAAAGCTATAACTAGTTCTATTGTGTACTGGTGTTCAAGTTATGCTTTATTTGCAATTTGCAGGTGCCTATTCGCTGTATAATTTCATCTATTGGTGTGTCTACATGAGATCGGCTCTTCAAGGAGCTGTCATGTGATTGGAGGAGAGATCAATTCCGCTTTTTGATTATCTTTCCAATTATCCACTGATCTCAGTCTTTCTCTATGTGCCTTTTCTTCGTTTTCAATATAAAATCTTTATTAAGGTTTGCTGGAAGAAAATTTCTGTTAAGGCAAAGCAAATAGAAAAAAATCACAGTTTAGCCCAAATCTGACAGTACACATAGACAAAAATCAAGACAAAAATCAAGACAAAGAAATCAGACAAGAATCTTTTCAAAGAAATTCACATCTATCTATATCACACTTTATGAAAATTGAGGCCCGTTTTCTTGCATAAAAATATTATTTCTAGAAGTTATTATCAAAGAAACTAAGCGCAGGGATTAAGTGAGAGGATTCGGGGACACCGTTTTATATTTTCGCGAAAAAAATCTTGGGCTGGCTAAGGGATGAGATGAAATGGTGAGCAAAAAAAAATGAGAAACACTCTGAGTGATCGTAATTGCGTTGGGTAAATTTCCATTCAAAGTATTTCCGTGGGCAAGTAGAGGGAACACTGGTTATGGCAAATCACAAGCAAGACACAAGCAAATCGACGAAACACAAAAAATTATGAAAATTTTGTAGCCTTGGGGATTGAGTACGGTCAATTGCTTTCCTAGAGAGAGATCCGACGAGCAGCTGCGCATTTCTCGAGTAAACGCTTCATATTGATCAACTCTTCGTCGCTCAGCGCAAGAAGTTCTCTGGAAATGAGGATTTAACTTAAGAGTTGAACTAGTTTTGACTATAAGAACAGGTTTTCCACCACTTTGCCCATCAATTTACCCATTTCATGTACTTATGGTCGTCTTTTTTGTCTGACTCACTTTTCCACGGACTCCTCTCGTACAGTTTGAAGTCCCTTTGTGGCAGCTCCACTCTCGACGAATTCTCCTAGAACTGGTAACTGTCCAGCAGGTGCCAGATCTTCAAAGTTTTCCTTGAACTTGGCCAAATTCTCCGACACCCATTCATATGCTTCTTGACGAGTCGCTGAACGAGAGGCTTTCTCGAGGTACCTGAAAATTGGTATTTTTCTTGAGACTGAAGATTTGTGAGCTAAGAAGACTATTCTGAGCTGCTTCTGTCTGAATCAATTCAATTCAACTACCAACCTATCACAAAGAGCAACTTTGGTGAGCTCGGTGCGCAAGATCTCGATGAAGAGATTTCGCGAGTCTTTCAATGGGGTGACATGTTGAACAGCTCCTTTCTTCTGCATGCGCTCAGCTCTGTTAAGTGGATTTGTATATAGGAAACTTTCTAGCAACCAACCTATCATGAAGATCAGCCAATTCAACGGCGACACTTCGATACGGCTTGAGAAGGGTTTCTGAGCGTTCATCGATGAGACGACGAAGACGGATGGCTTCGGTTGAGGCAAGAGAGCAATCTTTCTCGGTTTTCTAGAACAATTTCTAATGTTATGTTTCGAAAATATTCTTTACCTTAATAGCCTCTAAATCCTCTTGCAATTGAATGAGGATTGGGTCATTTCGGCGTTGAAGAGCCCTCATCTTATCGGCTTTGAACTTAATTCCAACAACGGCCGGTGGTTCAAGGATTCCTCCACGAGACTCTTCATCAGCAACCATTTGAATGAATCCAGGGTTGATCTTTGAGTCAAGCACCACCCAGGCTCCTCCACGCAGCTCTCCTCCACTTGGAATGTAGATGATCACCGGTTGCTTGTATTGTCTCAAAGCATCGACAATTTGAGCTCCGAATTTGAGCACCATCTGAAATTCAAAGATGCAGATAGACTTTTAGACTAATGATTTCAAAGATAAAACTAAAATATTTACCTGGTACATGTCTTGTTGACCACCAGAGAAACCACGGAGTGAGGCGATAAAGAGAAGTGGAAGTCGCTCACGATTGAAGTCATTGATAGCCTCAGCGGTCTTGAAAGCCGAATCGGGATACCAGACTTGACCGGCTTGATGAACATCGATCGATTGAGAATCGGCGCAAGCTGGATCAGCCGGGATCGTTGTCTTCACATTGCGGAGTTCCGATGAAACGACTCCGATCGGGATTCCTCCAAGACGGGCACGTCCGGCAACGATTGTCTTTGCCCAGTCTGACATGATCTCATCGAAGGAGTTCGAGTCACAGATTCCCTGGAATTACATGTTTAGTTTGTTTATTTGGCTAAGGGTAAGATATACTAGTTGTACCTTGAAAGAAGTTGATTCTTGACTGTCAATCAATCGCCGAACATCGTAAATTTTGGCGCTTTCGATTGGGAAAGTGACAGTTCTTGGGGCTGAGTCCAAACCGAATGTGCGTACATAAGGGAAGGAGGTAATCTAAAGTTTGCCCTTTGCTACATCAACAGCCTAAATAGCTACTGACCTCGTCGGGAAGATAGCTCATCCAGTGAAGCACCTTGCAAACTCCCTCAAAGTCATCTTCCACAACAGCATGCGTGACACCGTTCTTGTGCATGATCTAAAGTTTATCAATAATACTAATTAGCTCGTAATCTGTAATCAGTTTAAGTACGTACTTGAATTCCTCCCAATTGGTTGTTTGAGGTGTAGACCTCCTTTCCAAGCACGGTGTTCAAAGCTCCGGCTCCGGTGAGAATCAAATGAGAGGCACGAGCCTAAATAAGTCTTTTAGAATAGGTTCAACAACTTTTTTGGCTTTTCAGTTTTTAAGGTAATTTTATTTTTTTGTACCTGAACAATTCTGTGAGCCAAACGGGCTGTGTAGGCGCCGATTCCAACCGAGCGACCGGTGACAAGGCAATAAGTTGGAACCTGAACTTATTTGAAAATAAAATAATTGAAAGTTGCTGCTCACCTGATCATAAGCGGCCGATGTCTCTCCAGCGATCAATCCAGATCCTTGAAGATTCTCGACACCGATGTTCTCATTGTTTCTCCCGATTACAGCCTTGATACGGAGTTCATTCTGATTTGGCATCTTCTCGTAAATGATTTGTTCCTTGATTCTTTCATCGACATCAGCGTTCACGTAGAGGTAATCAAAGCCTAGAGTTGTTTGATTTAATGTTTCACTTTTTGTCTTACCTTCTTCTGGCTTCTCCGGGTTCTTGAACTTGGCTCGGAAGTACTGAGCGACCTCGTCGGCAATTCCGATTCGAGCACCCGAATTGGCGGAAAGATTCACACGTGGAAGCTGAAAACTTTATATCAGTAAATGCAAGTTTTGCAATAAATCATAGGGTTTTTGATCGATATTCTGGTTTACCTTGTGTTTGCGTGAGTATTCTGAAGCGGCTGTGTAGACAAGATCTTCTGGCATGGCAAAGGAACCCGATTGGAATGTGATGTCATTGGAAATCACCACGCAAGTGAATCTAAATTTGTTAATGAAATTTGGATAATCTTTAGTTGTGTTATCAAGGAGACTGGAAGCTTTACCCTTTGGGCTTCTCTGGAGTGAAGAGAGTGAGCTCCCAAGCAACCACACCGGTCTCATTGTTGCAGTTGTCGGCACGGCGACGGAGCTCATCACGATCAACGATTTTTTGGAGTTGTCCATCTCTCACAATCAATTCATTTTCCGAGTAGAATGGCCGATAATCTCCATTGTTGTAAGCATCTTGTTGTCCATCAGAAAGATATTGAAGTTGTTTGTTGAAGAGATTTCCCTTTGATGTGCCCGCTTCTTCTTCCAATATCTTCCAGCGTTCAAGAGCGGCTCGTCCAAACAACATTGGCAAATCGTACACATAAGTTGTTCCCATTCCTTTTGTCACAGCTCGTTTCTTCTCAATTTTCCGGATGATACTGTGAGGAGCGAGCTTTTCTCCGTAGAGTTGATGCGAGAGTTTGCGAGAAAGGATCAAGCGCTGATGTTCATCGAAGATTCCAAACTCGGCGGTGACTCCAGTCGAGTCGTGGAATTTGATTCGCCGATTGAGTGGTCGCCCATCTGATCCGACTTTTGGTAAAACAACCTCAACCTCAGTGACTGAGTGCTTGAGAAGAATGGCCTTCTGTTCGCGAATTGCCTCCTCAATAAGCTCGTCCAAATCCTTCTCGTTGTTCTGAAAAGAAAAACTTTCATCTGGCTCATTTACTCCAAATAAAGATTTTGACTTACCTTGGTAAAATCTCTCGGGAGTTTCGGGAAAGTGACATGTAGGAGAATGTGATTGCTCACATAGACGCTCTTTCTCAGTTTGTCGAATCTTCTCATTGTCACATTGATCGCTCCACAAGCTGAGTCGATTTCCGAGAGAAGAGCCGCTTGGGTCTCATCGTAGAACTGTTTTGCATCACGGACTGGGACTTCAACAACCTGAATTTTATAGTTAAAATCAATCTGAAATTAGTCGACTACCTCTCTCACAAAGAGTCTCGCATGTTTCCGATCAACATCATCATATTTGAAGACGCGAAGAGAAGAGAATCGATCAGAGACAAGTTGCGCTTCAGCAGGGAGACGCCAAAGCTCCAATCGTTCTGTGGTCATCATATCCAACTGTAAGATTTCTTATTATTAGGATGTCCAGAAAGTCTTTTCGTTCCTTTTCGTACTTCCGTTTAAAACCAACAATTACAACAATTGAACTACGGTTTGTGAAGTTTTTAACATACCTGGACAAGTGGACGATTTGGTTGACAAACGAGCACATGAGCTGATACATCGAAAGAAGCAAGACGTGTGGCGAGTGCTTTTTGAACCTCGAGAGCCACACGATCAGCGATAGCCAAAGTCTCGTCTTCTCTGAAAAATAAAATTTACAAATTAAACTTTTCAACCCTGGAGTAAGCTCCGGGAAAAGTAGAAAGTATTAATAAGGGAAAGGGTTGCAAAGCAAAATTAATATTACCACTACCACTAACAACAATTAGTGAAGGGAACACACCTTTCTTTGCTAAAAATGAGTGAATAGATTAAATAAAAGAGAAACTGTTTACTTCTTCGTGTTAGCTGGGAGTTCTTCAAGGAGAGCTTCTCGATGGTTGGAGATTTGTCGACGAGTGAGTGCTTCTTCTTCAGGCATTTCGACGAGGAAAGTGACACGGAGTGGAGATTTCTTTCCATTGACAGCTCCTCTTAAACGATTGTAGCGAATGATCAACTCATCCACCAGCTTTTCTCCGGTGAGTGCGGAAAGAGTTTGATGAGTTGAGGACTGAAAGCTGGTTGTCAATTCGCGATTCTTCTTCTCTAGTTGTTCTATTCGAATCAAGTATAAAACTCACTGGGAACTTGATGATTGAGATGTGTTGATGAGAATCAAAGTTTGCCATCGCATGAACAAGTGACGAGGCATCGACAGAGAAATCATACGCGGTTGCTCCACACTGAAGTTTATTGGCGGAAACTCCAGCAGCGGTGAAGTGAAGATTGATGTAGGCACGAACAGCCAGATCACCGCATCCCTCATCAAAGAAGTACTCGTGAAGAACCTGAAAGTATACAATTTATGACTATTTAGCATTGGTCTTTACCTTGTGCACCCATGGACTGATCTTGAGTACTCGTTGCGTGTCTTGGTCTCCATTCTCGATGGCAATTTCTCTCAAATGTCCTCGAATTCCCTCAATCGCTTCTTGCACTGGTTGCACTTCCAAAGTGTCCCTCTTGTTGAGAGGGATTCCATGAGCATCCCAGAGAACCTAAGAAAGAATTTGATTTAGAATTTGAAAAATATTTTACCTTGTTAGCGAATTTCCGGTACTTAACATAGTTGTTTTGGAGAAGCAAGTTCCGACATTTCTCAGAGACTTCCTCGGTGTGGAACATGTTGCCGATCTCGCGGAGATTCTCGGCCAATGGTGCCACCTGTAATAAAATGATATTTTGTTTATAGCTTTAGATTTGAATGTAAGATATTCTGGTTACCAAGTGCATTCCTCGCAATTCAACAGCATTGAGAAGAGCTTGCATCAAGAGATTCTTCTTCTTGATCTGCGTGTGCGAGTAAATCACAGCCACGACACGATCCTTGTCAGTCTCGAACTAAATATTTAGGTGTTATTGATTTCTAGATAATTTCAGTACCTCTTGGTTCAACATAGCCACAGCATCATCATAGGTTCTTCCCTCAAAGTAGGCCTCGATACTCTTGTAGACGTTGAGGAGATGATTAAGCTCGTGGACTGTGTGAGCAAATGAACCACCCTGGAAAATGAGGCTTACAATTACTATTAGCTTCATAATTTACCTTGAGGATATCACAAGTTGTGTAGAGATTGTTGCAGACAGCTTTTGCCGTTTCCCATTCTGATGGAGTCAATCCTTTTAAGTAATTGTTGAGCACAACGAGCATTCTTTCGAAGCGTTCCGAGCCACCGATCTAAAAAATTGATTTGAATCTAAAAAATTTTTCAACTCCTTACCTTCTCAGCTTCTCTCAATTTCTTGAGCACCTCTTCTGGAAGTCTAGTTGAGTTGAGGGCTTGCTAAATCTAAGAATTAAAACTGATTGCTTCTTTTACTCACCGAACACATGGCAGTAGCCAATTTCGGGCTTTCGAGGCACTCAAAGAGCTCATTCACAATATCGGGCATTCTTCTTTCTGTGCCAGGAGGAACTGTTCCATTCAAGATATTCACACATTGATCGACAAGCGCTTGGAACTTCTTTGTCTCAGTTAGGGTCTTCTAAATTCAAGAGTTTCTAACTAGACTATTGGATTTTTTTTTACCTGAGCAGCTCTGGCTTCTTTCCATTCCTCAAATGGTGTTGTGTAGGGTTGAGGCTTGTATTTCTCGGAATCTTTTTGATCAACCAAACGAGCAATCACCGATCCAGGATACAGGAGATCTCCTTCTTTGGCAACATGCTCAAGTCTAAAAAATCTCAGCTGTTTTTTTATGATCGCTTACTTACCTTCCCGGAGCTCTTTTCACTTCAACATTGAATACAAGCTTCATCGACTCGATCTGTGCATAAACTTGTCCAACATTCACCCATTCGCGGTTCTCTTTCTTGAACGAGAGAAGCTTTCCAGTGTAGGGACTCTTCAGCACTGATGGATCGTTATCTTTCTCGAAGACAACGAGAGAGCGACCGATGGTGACCTAAAATATAAATGATATTAGGCTGGCCAGAAAGTCGTTCCGCGATTTTTCAGAATCTCTAAACTGAACCATTAAATATCAAAAGAGTAGGAAAATTTCTCTTAACGGAAGGAAAGATTTTTGTGAGTATTTTTAATCAAAAGCTGATTCCAAAAGAAATAAAAAATCTTTAGACTTGAAATTATTTGCAAAATACCAAATATCATAAAAATTCATAAAAATAAAATTCGGAAAACATCAAATTTGACTCGATACTGAAGCTCAATCATTTTTTCCATCAAAACTTGCCAAAATAAAAAGTTGTGCTGTTTTTAGTTTAAGATATTGATCTTTAATTTTAACTATACAAAAATTTGGTAGCTGCTTTGGTCGAAAAATTTGGGTAGAGCGAAAAGCCTTTCTGGACAGCCTAATAAAACCGTTAGGCATGATTAGATTAATCTAAATCCGACAATCATCCAACCTTGAACTTATCGGTTGTCTCCTCAAGATGGCAAGTGTAGCAACGATCATTGTGAGTGATGAGAAGCGAGCCATCTCCGAGCAAACGAATCTCCACCTCGGTGTTCGCTCCATTGAGCTCGATTCGGAATGTGAGCGGGCCGGTTCGAGTGACTTGGACCTGCAACAAAAGTTGTCATTTGTATTAAAATATTATTTATTTAGTTATTTTATTATTACTTCACAAATTCACTACCTTGTAGATGCTCATATCCTTGACAAGATCAAAGAGGAAAGTCTCCGTGAGATCTTTTGTCGGCAACACTTGTCCTCTTTGCACAGCATTCTTGAAGTTGTTGAAAGCCGCCGCAATTCTTGCGTGTCCAATTACAGCCGATGAAATGGCCATCATTTCATGACGAGGAAGTGGAGCTTTCTGAAAAAGAAAAATAGATTTGTTTGCAAAGATCTCGCAGTTAGTCGACGACAATATGCACCACGGTCTACAAGTGTCACCAGATACGCCGTTTATACATGCTGACCGTTTAACTTACAACTTTTTTCTCAGGATTAGTATCGTCCCACTTAAATATGGTTTAGATTCTGTGTTTTTAAACTAACCTGCACAACTTTGTTGGCAATTCGAGCATCGAGCCATTGAGTGTTGAATTTGTTCTGTGTGAAATCGGGCTCCTTGAGTAGATCGACCAGATAGGAGACCTAAAGATTGAAGTTATTCATTGTTATAAAGTTGGATTTTACGAATAGACAATAAAATTTACGAATAAACACCAACCTGTGAAGCAAAAGAGGCACGAAGCTCGAGTTCTTGAAGAGCGCAAAGCATTGATGAAACAGCTTCATGACTGAAAAGGAAATTCATCATTTATATCAATTTTTATCACTAACCGAGTACGTCCTCGAGCAAAGAGATGTCCAAATTGAGAATCAGCAAACTCGTGAACTTTGCCAGCGCTTGACACCGAGAAGTATCCCCAAACATTTTGAGCTGATCGAAATTGGAGATGCTCAAGAGATCCAGTTGATGGACGGAAGAAGTCTTCGGGATCCTGAAAGATAAATATTTGGGTGAATATGAAAAATTGACTGTTTAAGCTACACTACTGACCACCCCATTTCAGCAACTTTTTAAGAAAATAAAATCTCATCAAAAATCATATTTTAAATAGTATTTATAATTATAATTAATGTAAGAAGATAGGAGAAAACCTAAGCATCAAGTTCAATTCTCTGAAAAAAACAATAGTTATTGAAAAATCGCTTCCGGCAAGTGGTCATAATTTTATGATCAGTTGAGAAATTAACTAAAACCGCACAGAAAATAATGATAAACACAAAAGGAAGTAAAATTTCTCAACTGGTCGTAAAATTATGTCCAACAGTGTAAATGTTAACCATTACAAACCTCGCTGGTGATTCGAGCGGCGATGACAGCGTATTGTGCATCGGTTCGTACAAGTTGCACGGGAAGTGGAGAATCTCCGTAACGATCCAAGTCTAGAAGAATTAAGGTCAATAAAAGTTTGAAGATCAAACATCTAAGCGGACTAACCGTAGAAGAGACGAATTTCCTCAATTCGGTGCAATGGGACACCCATAGCGATTTGTAGTTGAATAGCCGGGATATTGATGTTGGCAAGCATTTCGGTGCAAGGGTGTTCCACCTGAAATTGAAATAAGATTAAAAATGCTTAAGTTTTAACAAATTAACGACTAAATTTTAATTTCTTCACCTGAAGTCTGGGGTTCAACTCTAGGAAGAAGTACTTGTCCTCGTCGGGAAGGTACATGTACTCAACAGTTCCAGCTGATTCGTACCCAACAAGATTTGCAATTCGAACAGCATCCTAAAAGTCATGGAGTCATTTAGTCTAAAAGTCACTAAGACAATTAGTATTCACTTTATAGGCTAAATCGATTTATATAGGCTAAAATCCCATTTTAAATTATCACCTCTTGCATTTTCCTCAATGTTCTCTCGGGTGCAATGCAGGCTGGAGCTTCTTCAATGATCTTTTGACAACGGCGTTGGATTGAACAATCACGAGTGAACACTGGGATTGTTGTTCCATATCGATCAGCCAAGAGTTGTACTTCGATGTGTCTTGCGTTTTCCAAGCATTTCATCAAGAAGATTGGTGAATTGGGAACCTCAGCCTGAAATTTTATGGTGTGCTTGGAGCAATGAGCAATTTTATAGTGAACAATAAGCTTTAAGAGTAACTTTGTTCTACTAAATATTCAGCTTCTTATTTAAATTGATATTGCTTTGTTCACTTACCCTGACTTGATCGAAATTCTCCCGGAAGTCGGCTTCATTCTTGCAGTTACGAATTCCTTTTCCACCGCCTCCCTCGGATGCTTTGATCTAAATTCTCTCTTTTCTTCACATCCGCTTATATTTTAGTTTCCCGTTTTCCCCGATTCAAAACATCGGACCACTTTGGCAGAATGTAAAAAAAATTGAACACCTTTGCACTCTCCACAAATCAGAGCTCTCGATTTGAGATCAGCTGATAAGAGTGACTGTCTCGTTTTCTACACTAACCTTTCACCCGCAAAGAAATAAGCTTTTTTGATAAAATAACTGACCATCATTGGATATGTGATTCCACATTTTCTCATTGCTTCAAGACCTTCTTGAACCGATTTCACGCAAGCTTTGTCAAAAATGTGCTGAGCGACCTCAATGGGGCCTTTTCGGCTTTCAGAGATGTCAAGTTTAAGGCCAGAACCAGACCAGTTGATCGTCGGGATGTTGACAGTCTAAAAATTTAGTTGTTAAAACAAATCCAGATCTCAAGTACAAAATTTACCTGAGCAATGATGCTGGAAGCGATTTTGTCTCCAAGCGAGAACATAGCATTGCTGGGTGGGCCGATGAACATAATGCCATTCTCGTGAAGTTTCTTCGGTAGCTCTGGGTTCTCCGAGGCGTGACCCCAACCGGCCCAAACGGCATCAACCTGAAATCACATTCGTTGTGTAAATCTTGTCGTATCTCTTACTGTAGCACCATTTCAATAGCTCCAAAAAGCTCCAAAAACTTTGAGCTCCAAAAACCAACCTTGTGCTCAATAGCATGAGAAACAATCTCATGCACATTTGCATAGTTGTTCTTGTTGTCTCCTCCCGGTGAATGCACGAGGCTATCAGCCAATTTCAAATATTCTAAAGATAGTCTTTATTTTCTATCAACAAGATCGCTTTTTTTCATGTTCTCAATCCCTTTCTCTCCATTTTTCGTCAATATCCAGACAAGCGGAAATGATAGATCTTGCTCAATCAAAGAGAGACTGGCTGTAAGCCAGCCGGAAAAGAAAGACTAGAATTAAGGAATTTCTTTCCAAAAAATCGTGTCTCTAGAGCTAACCAGACTTTTAGCTCAACTCAAATCCTAATTATATTTAAGATCCAATTCAAAATCCTAATCACATCCTAATCCTAAGCACAACTCAAAACCCAACCAGCATTTGATCGAATCTCCTGTTCTGTTGTCATACAAATGAACGACACAATGTGATCATTGTTGAAAAGTTGTTGCAATTGTTTTCTCATCGTCGTCATGCATTTCACAGCAGCGATTCCATTAGTAGCCACAAGAATCTAGACGTTGCACTTCGTTTTTAAGACGTCTTTATCTTTAAGTTTATAACGCCAGCTTATGAATGTGAAAAGTCAAGTTTATTTTTTAAAAAACTATAACTTTCAGCTAACCTTTTTGATTGGACGACGTTTTGTTTTGTCATCAATCATTTTGCAAAGGAATTCTTCAATATTTGCATAAGTTCGATCGCCCTGGTACAATTTGTCACTCATTCCCTGAAAGTTGCAAGATTTCTATCAAGATCTGCAAGATCTTAAAGATCTTAAAGATTTCTTTAAGATATTCATTGTGTCCAAGAATGCATTACTATATATTGGCAATTTTACTTCTAACTATTCATAAGTTATTCTTTGCTAATCTACTATATCTAAAAGAGTAGTGTTTGTCTGTCTGTTTGTCTGTCTGTCTGTTTGTCTGTCTGTTTGTCTGTCTGTCTGTTTGTCTGTCTGTTTGTCTGTCTGTATGTCTGTATGTATGCTTGCCTGTCTGTTTGTCTGTCTGTCTGTTTGACTGTCTATCCAGGCCTTTTTTCAGGCTGTGTTTTGACCATGCGTCATTAGGCGGGTTTTTCTGGCTGAATGTTCGGCTGGTAGTATGTATAGAAGCAAATATTGCATCTACAATATGCCCACCTTTCCCGAGCTCATTCTCAACTTCGTGACTTCATGTCGAGCTTGTCGAGCCTCTTGTTGAAAAGTGCCTGGACCCTCAGAAAGAGCACGGCATCGGAGAGAAGTCATTGGAGGCATTGGAAGGGCTGTCACCACACCGCTATTACTCATTCCCGGGCTAAAATTGATAGATTTAATCGACAGTTATTGAATCGACAATTAGTTATTGAATTAAAGCAATGATATCAAAGCTCTTTTATAGACTAAAAGACTAGGGGACTTCCCTTGAAATAGAGAACCGAGCTCTAAAAATGTTCTACAAATATCTTTTTTGTACAAAAATGGCGGTTGCTGAACCAGATGATACAAGAAGACAAGATTAAGTGTCAATGTTTCGGGAAATACAAGAAGAAACAAGAAACAAGAAGAAAATACAAGAAGAAAAGAAATTCGCGGGTTTTTCAGTGTTCTTGTGAAAGGAGAAATGCGAAAAAAAGGCGATCTCGTGGCAAGATGATGGGGTGATTCAGTTAAAATGTCTCGTTTATAGATAAGACTTCCAGAAAGTTTTGACTTATAAAAAATCGAAAAAAGGAAACAAAATAAAGAAAGCTTGACGAAAAATCGGAGATCCTGGAAATTTTTGAAATGATGGACTTTGAGAATGGGATTTTCCATTTCAAAAAACGAGCATTCTTGATAAGAGAATTGTTCTGTGTAGTTTAGATCTTTAAAGAGAAAGAGAGAGCTCAATTACCCACCTATGGTCACATAAAAAATGTTTTTTCGAACGTAAACTAGGCGGAAGTTTGTGTAAAGTTTTCTTTTTTTTAGGATTTTCTCAAAAATGAGATGGAAAAAAAGGCATTTTTGAAATCACAGAAACCTTTTACAGCCTATAAAAAAACAAAGAAACGATTCGGAGGGACGATTTTCTTTTCCACTATCTTATTAGAATGAAAAGAAAAGAAAAGAATGTGAAAAAATCAACTAGTACAACTAGTATATGAAAAAAAATGCTTGATTGTTGAATGTTGCATGTCAATGTTGAATCGTTAGTCTAATTTTAAGAGAAGTTAACTGTATAGAAGTTAAGTTAACTGTATAGAAGTTAAGTTAACTGTATAGAAGTTAAGTTGACTGTATAGAGGTTAAATTAACTGTATAGAAGTTAAGTTAACTGTATAGAAGTTAAGTTAACTGTATAGAAGTTAAGTTAACTGTATAGAAGTTAAGTTAACTTTATAGAAGTTAAGTTAACTGTATAGAAGTTAAGTTAACTGTACAGAAGTTAAGTTAACTGTATAGAAGTTAAGTTAACTGTATAGAAGTTAAGTTAACTGTACAGAAGTTAAGTTAACTTTATAGAAGTTAAGTTAACTGTATAGAAGTTAAGTTAACTGATCCACAAAGTATAATGATCATTTTGACTTGATAGACTTAGATGAAGTTGGATTTTCAGCTGATGAATTGCAAAAATCAACAATTTAAAGCCTAATTTAAGCCTTTCAGCCTTTAAATTCTCAAATTTACCGTTTTCCAATTAATTCCAATTACAACTACAATTCCAATTAGAGTCAACGTTTGAAAAATAATATCAAGATTGTTTCCCGAGCTCGATAAGGATCAAAATGGAAAAGCCGGCTATTTTTTACGAAGATTTCCCAGAAAATCCATCTCGAGCTCGGTCAAAACCTTTTCTTTTCTCTTTTTTTACTTGATCTGATCCCTCAAAAAGGATTTCTCCCTCAAAAATTCCCTCTCTCATTTCCCTTCCATCCTCACAAAAAGCGTGCAACAAAACGCGTGACTTTACTCGCCCAAAAACGGGAGACTCAACGAAACAAGTCAAGAAATAAATGGTTGAGTGAAAAAAAGGAGTGTTTGATTGTTATCAACAGAAAAAAAAGTAAATACAACTTTACCAAACTAACTAAACTCTGGAGTGAAACAAATGACAAGAGGTCAAAGATTTTGAAGTGTTTTTCTGGAGAAAATTTTGGGATTGTAAACAACTTCAAGTTAGGGTTTTGGTCGAGAACTTTTGTCAAGAAATGGAGTTCAAGTGATTTCCATGCAAAATCTAGAAGTTAGTGCAGATCGTTAAGTCGTTAAGTTGAAAAAGTGCTGCTAAAGATCAAATATTATAAACTAAAAAGACCAAGAAGCTAAAATGCAACAAAGTCAATACCCAGATTTCCCAGAAATCTATAAGTTAGCGCAGATCGTTGCTCGAGTGACCTTGAAGGAGACAAACGAGAAGGTTCGAGCGTGAAAAAGGCCTTTATCAAAGGATCAGCGGGGTAAAAAGGTTTGAAGGTTTCGAAAAGGTGCAATGCCAAGAGGGGTTTCTGGGAGGAATGGAAAGGAAGAAAAGGAAGAAAGGGAAGAAAGGGAAGAAAGGGAAGAAAGGGAAGAAAGGAAGAAAGGGAAGGAAGGAAGAAAGGAAGAAAGGGAAGAAGGCTCTAACCCTCAAGAAGGATCACAACGAGAATGCAACGCGAAGAAAAGAGTGAAGAGGAGTGGAGGACTGACTGTCCGAGGAGAGTTCGCTTATCGGGCAACGATCAGCCAGACCGCCCTCCATCCATCCATCCATCCATCCATTCTCTTATTTCTTTTCTACATCCACCCATCATCCACTCTATTTTGTATTCTAATAGACATTTTTCTAACATCCATCTAACATTCATCGACCTGCCCGCAATGGCTAGGGGCAAACTACAAAATTTCTGGAAAAACAGCCTAGAACTAGGCTTGCTTGTTAACGATCTACCAGATTTACAGTCAAATTTACCAGTACCAGTTAAACCCCAAAACTGTTTAGCTTTGTCTTGAACTAGGATTTGTGGAGTAAATGGATCTCATAACCAGCCTACAACTTTGGAGTAAATGGATCTCATAACCAGCCTACAACTTTGGAGTAAATGGATCTCATAACCAGCCTACCAACTTTGGAGTAAGTGAATCTCATAACCAGTCTAGAAATCTCCGTACTCACGTACTAAAAATGTACTCACGCATAGTCAAGAATGTTTATAGCTTTCTTAGTTAATGAAAGGGATAAGACATCAATACTCCAATAACTTATTGGAAAATGCCAATAGGTAAATCTAAAAGAGTTTTTGGACCAAAAAGACAAGAAAATTTGCAATTTAATACATTTGAATGATCTCCAAAGTGCAAAGCCTTGAAATCAGCCACTAAATTTAGCTTCTCCGGTCAGGTGCTACGGGTTCGAAATGCAAATCAAACAGCCCACTTCTATCAGAGAACAAAATTTCTTGGTTACGGTGCTGAAATTTATGCGGTGAGGAAAAAGAAAAAGCTTCACTGATATGAAAATGGTCTCATTGAGTACCAGAAAGAAAAGGAAAAGAAAATGGGGTGACAATGAAAATGAAAATGTTTTGAGGAAGCTCGATTCACGTGAATTTCTTCGAGATGTTTGAATGTTTGGATGTTCTTTAGAAGTAGTAAAGGGAAAAGGAATTATGGTTTGATTTCCGTGAAATTTTTCGCAAATCGGTAAATAGATGAACTATTTGGGGAGGAGGGGTCTCACAAAGACCAATAAATGAATCATTGAACTGGGATCTTTGAAAGAGCAGAGTACTAGGGTTGCAAAACAGATCGAGGATCTACTGGGCGTCCAAAAATAATTGCAAATAATTGCAACAAAATTTTGTGCCTTAAAATTAAGTAAATCAAGAAGCTTATTATCTAAAAATATAAAGCAATATATTAATTTATGCTTAAAAAATGATCACAACTCGACTTCAAACATTTATTTGATCAGTCAAACGTTTCAGAAAGCTTTTTCAACAGCAACAACTTTTTTTTGTATAGTATTAGGTGTGTGAAAAAGTAATTCACGTTTTTTATTTTTATCTGATGACCAAATAAGACGCTGTCTTCTCGAAAACCCTCGTTCAACCTCTTCAGAAATAGGCCTTACATTAAATTGTGATGGGTCAACCGTAAGGAAACGCTTGAATGCCATGAATTTTATCAAAAAGTTGGACAAATGGATACCGCATGAATTGCCGCTCCATGATAACGCGCGACCACATGTCTCTTTACAGACTCGACAAAAAATCCAGAGTGTTGGATGGGAGGTTTTACCACATCCACCTTATAGTCCAGACCTTTCTCCATCTGATTATTATTTATTTTTGTCTCTGTCTAACTTTTTGGCCAATAAACGGTTCAATTCCGAAGAAGATGTCAAAACCGAGGTTGATCTTTTCTTCGCCTCTAAGGACCAAGATTTTTATTATCGTGGAATCTCTTTACTTGTAGAACGTTGGCAAAAGGTTGTTCTTTCGAATGGTGATTACTTCGTTGAATCAAAATTATTTTAACGAAACTTATGGTCTTTTATATTTAAACGTTAAAAACGTGGATTACTTTTTCACACACCTAATATTAAGTAAAATCTCGTTTGAAACCTAATCACAGCGTTTCAACCAACAAATAGTAGTGTCTTTTGGAGCAAATATTTGCCTTTAAAATCGACTAAATTGCATAATCAAAGGTGTTTAAATTAAGCGGATTTCAGTGGTATCTGACATTTGATTTCAGTCGCTTTTTGTTTCATTGACGATCTAGCTTTAAACGCAAATATCTCGATGCTCAATTGAACAATTGAAATCATTTTGGTAGCATTAGATTTGTCATGTCTTCTTCTGTCGATTGATACAAAAATCATTTCAATCGAGGCAATGAGCAAGAAACAACAAGCAATGATAGTTGTTGCAATAATTTTAGATGATCAATCTCTCTCATGTGGATGTAAATCAAGAGTAGCTCAAGCTTGTATAGCGAAAAGCTCAAGCTTGTATAGGTTACTGTAGCTATGGTATCAGATTTAACAGCTTTATTGAGCCATACAGGCTATACGTTTAGGTTATACGTCTAGGTTATACGTTTTCTTAGTCACTATTCTAAGCCAAACCTCCTTTTGTGGACAATCGGTGTCGGTTCCTCCACACAAATCGCTGGAATCGGATTTGATGGAGAACCTAAATCAGCTATTTTATGATTAGAATCCATAAATCCATAATAATTCATACTCTAAATTGATCATTCTCAAATTTTACAAACTCTTCTCCTAAATGTCCTAAATGTCCTAAATGTCGTCTCTTTCAAACCGCGACAAAATTGATCTTTTCAAATCTTTTCTTCGCTAACCCGGAGATCACTTTTGGTGAAGAAATATTGAAGAAAATGGGGAAAGAGAAAAGATACTCAGTCAGACAAACCATCCATCCCTCAAAAAAGGAAAACTCGCCAAAAACTCAATCTCTCTCACATGAATGTTTCAAGGATTTCACGTAAAATTTGAGGAACAACCCATCTAGTTTGTCAATGATCGAATGACGTAAAATTTTACTTTTTTTTTAGAAATTGAACCATCAAGTTCTACTAAGTTTTCCCTTAATTAGCATAACAATATTTTGAACTGAATTATAATTTCAATTACAATGAATTACAATTTCAATCAAAAAACTAACCATTCTGCCCATTCTGGCGTGGCTTTCTCTTCCTGCGGCCAGCCATTGGTTGTGACCCTGAACTTGCAGAAAATATTGACAAATTCAAGTTGTTTACAAAAGAGAAAACGTTAATTCTGATTTAAGGAGAAAGAAAAGTGTGAAAAGTTTGCACAAAACGTGGGGGGGAAACCTGAAAAGTGTTGTTTCTCTATAAGATTAAATCGGGAGGAAAAAGGAAACAAGTAAAGAGTAAAGTAAGTCAAGAAATTTCTCGGGAGAAATGCCATGAAAGCGATGGGAGAGAAAATGACAAGTGGGTGATGTTTGAGAAAGGTATGGAATAGGAAATGGTGCCGCTATACACAATGAATAATACTCAAAACAATCATTGAATTGTGTCGCTGTAAGAGCTGCATAAGTTACTTGTACTCTTATGCCAATAAGCAATAGTTAGCAATAGCTAATAAGCAATAGTTAGCAATAGCAATAGCTAATAAGCAATAGCAATAGCTAATAAGCAATAGCAATATCTAATAGGCAATAGTTTTGGATTCGTTTTAATGTTTTTAAAGAATCGTTTTAATTGAATGAAAAATGGGAGTACAATTGCGCGTAGTTTGTTGAGAGCTTATTGTGCGATCAACAGATTTCGTGGCGGCAGATGGAGTGCACAAAAGTTGCAATTGGTGTGCAAGTTGCTCAAATTGATAAAATTATCAATAAAGTACTAAAATAATCAATCGATTGTGTTTGTTAGCATTCCTATCTTCAATCCCTTTATCCCCATCTCTAGCTATTTTCACTCAAAATCGATCGTCACTTCCGGTTTAGAAAATTTTTCACAAAAATCTCATCGATCTTTTCTTTCGAATGCCCATGTTTTCTTCAAAAACGACATGAAAAAAGAAAACATCTTGGGCCTCGATAAAATTTCTCTCGAGAAGGGGTAGAAAGGGGGATGGTTTTCCCTGTCAATCAGATGGGAAACAGCGATAAAATGCTGGCTAATATTGGGGACTCTTTTTCTCAAAAATGCTCTCCATTTTTTTTGTAAAAATTGACAAAAATGTGGCTATTTTAATGTTATATCGTTTTACGTTTAACAAAAAGGATTAGGAATTCTAAATCAGGCAAGCAACTTCAAATGGTTAGTTTTGGGAGTTAAAAAGTCATAGAAGTCATAGAAGTCATCTTCTGATTGCTCTAAAAACTCATAAAAGAAATATTTGAAAGGTAAAGGGGTTAAATTGTTATTAAAAAGTTTGTAAAGCATAAAAAATATAAAAGTTTCGTTTTAAGATACCAAATCCAAATAGATTAGCTGGTCAATACAATCCATGAAAAGAAACTATCATTTATCGTCAAGATGGGAAGAAAAAGGGGAGAAAAGGAAAAGAATGGATTGAGATCAAGGAAAGAAAATGGACAAAGCCTTATGCTCATGTTAGAAAAGGGGAAAAATGAAAAGGAAAAAGAAAAGTAAAGAGAGAAAGAGGCACTGTCACAAGGGGAGATCCGAGCCACGCCGAGTGAGAGCCATGGCCTAGATTCTCTCGTTGAACCCATCCGACAGGCGTCCTTTTCTTTCCTTTCCTTTCCTTTTCACTTCTCTTTATCCCCTTTTTCTAAAACTTTCCCATTCACATATCCAAGGGCAAAATTTGTCTCTTTTTTTCTACCGTAATCGGGTCTTCTTTTCGAGACCCAGTTTTGGTTGCTGTGTAATGGATCACGCCATTCTCTGCCTTTCCTCTCTTTCTCTTTTTAAGAAAAGGGATTTTTGAGGAGTCGCTTTTGAAATCAGCTAATGAAAGGGAAAAGAAAAAGCCAAAAGCGTCCAATAAAGTTTTTTTTTGGTGAAAGAAGGGGAAAGTCTCGTGGGAATATACATAATGCATTTAGTAACAAGCACTGTTAGATTTTACTACTTTCTAGTGCATTTGCTTTATGTAATCTTGGAAATTTGCCAGATTTGTGTCAAATATCAAAATTTTTTGATAAAGTTTATTTACTCCCAACCATAGAGATCTAACAAACGGAAAAAAAAGCTGCCTGGGCAGTGTTTATCTGACAGAAGGACTCAGAAAACTTCAACAACGAACAACAAGAGTAAAAATCACAGTCTGGGTTTATAAGGGTAAACGTGAAGTTTTGAAATGCTTAGCTTCTTTAAGAAAAATCACATAACTGACAAGATTCAACAAAATAACAGCTGCAAGGGTTTTGATTGAAGGATTTGATAGACAATTTACAAAACAAGAAAACTTTGGTATGTTGATGACCCAAGTTGGAGAATTTATGCTGTGATCCCATTAGTTAGTGTTGGTTTTTGAGGGGATGTTGGTGGGATCGGAGGTGGAGGTTGAGGGGCACAAAGGGAGCCACGCTGGAGCTGTGATCCGCCTGGTCTCAACCAGAAGAGCTCTCCATCACTTGAACTGACACACGATGAGATACCAGCGATGTCCGTTGACTGAAATTATTAGAGTGAAATTTTGGCTCTCGCGTAGTTTCCGCATGTTTTGGAAAAACCCGGGTATTTTGAACGGGTCGTCACACTTTGAAGGCCTATAACTTTGTCCAGAGATCATATTTTTGTTAACTCTTTATATGATTGTACAGAGGACATTTTAGGCTTTCAAATGATACCAAATAGAGCTTGTTTGGATAATCCAGTCCAAGAAAATCAGAGCCAACTCCGAGCAAATGAGGCCTATCCAACTCGGCTGTCGGCTATCCAACCTGGTTGAAAATGAAAAGTCCAGTCAAGCTTTATTTAGTATCACTTGAAAGCCTAAAATGTCCTCTGTACACTGATATAAAAAGTTAACAAAAATAGTATCTCTGGACAAAGTTATAAGCCTTCAAACCGTGACGACCCGTTCAAAACACCCAGAAACTACGCAAGAACTGAAGCTTTTTTCGAAGTGTGCTTCACTTAGGCTTAAGCTTTTCTAGACTCACTTTCATCACTGAATGTTTCACTCTCTTTCGATGGTTGTGAATCGAATAAACCATCACTTCTCCTATATTTGTGAGAAGAGAAAGAAAAGGCTCCGTTGAGTTTTCGCCTGAAACTTTGTTGCATGTTCGAAAACGTTTATTTCTTACCTTTGATATGATGTAAGTTCACCAAATTCCCCTTTCGAACTCGGAACCCTTCATTCGCGGTCAACTTCAATTTATACTTTGTCGGTCTCAACAATGGTAGAGTATAGCCTCGGATTTGTTCTTCTGTGACCAATAATAGGCGAGAAATCGAGATTGACTAAAAGATATCTTAGCTAGCTGATGTAATAAAACTTTAATACCTTTATCGTTTCGTGAACAACCTCAACGCTGACGATCGGAGCTGCATGTTGGAGCCTGATCTCTCGTTCTAGTTTGCAAATCTGGAAATGATTTTGTTGTTATCAGTGTTATTCTCACTTACTTCTCCAGTCTCTTGAATCGAATAAGCATAGAGTCGTCCTCCATTTGTGCCAATCCAAAGCGAGTGTCCAGGATTTGACGACAATGATAGCGGGTTAGGTAGAAACTTCAACAATCTGACAAGACCTTTCGAGGGTTCCAGGATCAAGCCTGAATAATTTATAAATGTCATTGAAACTTTGTCAAGTTGGATCTTTACCTTGTTGTGGTGTTCCTCTTGGCTCAATCCTTCGTTCGACTGGCCGGCAAATCTCATCATCATGGTGTTCATTCTATTTTTTCTTGTTTTGCACACACTATTTCTCTATACCTGTGCCTCATTCGTTGTCTTCTTTTTCCTTCTAAACGATTGGCGGATTGATTTCTTCATACTTTTGAATCGACTCAATGACTCATCCAGAGCACCGGCATCAGCGAGGTCTAAAAAGATGAGTTTCTTCAAAAATTGAAAAACTTACCATGCTGATCTAGTAACGAAATATGAAACTCGATTTTTGTCTTCGCATAATCAACAAGAGCAAATCCAAACTCGGTTCCAACGGCGATCATCGATCGCTGATCAATTACGGCAATTGAAGTTACGGGTACGCAAGGAGAAAGTTGCACGATTAAACTAAAATTAGGAACTTGGTATTACCAAGTTAATAAGGTTACCTTGAAGAAGAGCTTGAAATTGGTCTTGGTTGATATCCAGTTGGGTAATTCAGTGCTTTGTCTCTAGGGTCAACACCTTTCATCGCTTTGATAGTTGGAGAGATTGAAGAGGATTGGTCTTTCACAAGATTGCAGTCAAGGATTGATGGCGGATCACATGTCTGAAAGTGAATGTGCAGCTTTTGATCGTGCTAATCTGGATAGACATAAATATTGAGTTTTCTTAGTTTATTAGGCTGTTCAGAACGTCTTTTCGTCCTTCCGTTGAAGAATAACAAATTGATCAATTGAACTATGGGGTTTTTCATTAGAAAAGGCCAATTATTTTTCAGCAAAATAACATTAAAACAAGTTTAAAATGCCTTATGTCTGGATTTTTTTGGGAGCGTGTAGTCGGGTAGTCAAAAAGGGTGACGACTCGATGATGCGGTTTAGACATTTTAGCTAAGGAAACCTATCTTGGTGTCAATAGATAAAAGATAAAGCACAAAAAGTTAAGTGGATAGCCAGATTTTCAGAGAAATTGATTCATCCAGTTGAGGTTTTTATAGATTTTTACAAAAAACGAGTTTCCACGCTCGAATTTACTTGAAAATGAACCCAAATTGACTTAAAAAGATGGGAAATTGAACAATAACACTTTTTATTTAGAGCAAACCATAGTTAAATTTTTTATTTTTAACGGAATTACGAAAAGGAATAAAAAGATTTTCTGGACAGCCTAATAGATAATAGATTGGGTCATGTAAATGTAAATGAAATGGCTAAATTTTTCAAGATTTTCCCAACCAATCACCAGATTCCAAAAGGTTCTTTTATGATTTATTGCAAGTGAAAAAATATGCAATAATCACCTTTTTGACCAAAGATTCCAGCTGTGGAACAAACTATTTCAAGCAATCATGATTTTCATGGGCCTCTTAAATAAAAAGCTAATTCATTAAGAAATCCCAGGCTTTATAGCTTCAAGTTATTTTCAAAGCATATTGATAAAAATTCACTGAAATCTTTGAATAGAACAATGTTGATTAAAAAAATATTGAGCTAATAGAAATTTGGCTCAAAAGAACAAGGTTGAGTTGAGTTGACTTCAATGATCGAAAAGTTTCTCCATCATTTCATGTCAAATAAAAAAGTTGCCCTGATGTTATTTGCTTAAAACTTTTCATTCTAACCAAACAGAAATTAGATAGCTGCTCTGATGGAGAAATTTACATGGATTAGCCATTTCATTGACCGTTGACGTTGCGTTGACCCAATTACTTAACCAGTTTCAAACCTGAGGTGTGTCAGCGAGTTGATAGACGAGCGCATGCCCTCCTCGACATCCCACTGCTAATGTGCCACTTTTGGGGTCAAACGCTATTCTTTGAACAGCTAATCGAAGATCGTCAGAACAAGGATCATAGTCTCCGACCTGAATTCAGTAATAAAGTTTGCTTCGGTTTTTCAAGACCTTTTTGAATGGCGGCCATTCATCGGAAACCTGACAATCGCTTTCTTCTGAATCGCTCTCAGTTGAGTTTTTGATGAAAGAGCTAGCCTAAAAAAGACTTTAGTACATTTCTAACAGCAAAATATTATCATTTTAACCCGTATTACTTGTTTAACACATTCGTGACGACCTTATTTTGGGCGTACAATCGCGTAGTCGTTACTGTTTTACTGATAATTTGGTGTAAATTTAAAAATAAACTAAACTATTATAGTCATTCGATAGCCCTTGATCTTCTCTTGAAAACTAGTAAAAGTTACCGAGAAATTTCTGCACAATAAATAATACAAGTTCTTAAAAACTAAAAAAATCGTCATTAGTAGGGCCCACTGGTGGGCCGTATCGTCACGAATGTGTGGAAACTCACTTCCTCCGAACATCCAGCCACTTCTCTCGAAGTCTCAATCGTGCACAAAAGTTGCATCGATGGCTCACCAGCAGACCAGACTTTCACATTTCCGTTTGCATGGCTAGAAAGTTAAACAATAAATTTCAATTTTAGATCTCCTTACCCAGTTAGCAGCAATTGTTTCTCATTTCCAACTTTTCTTTGTCCTTCAATTTCCGGAGAATAAGTCAACGGCCAATTGGAGTGAGAAGATTGTGATGTTGAGAACTAAAGCTTTGTGTTTTGATTTAAATTTTGATTTACAAACCTTCAAGAGTTTACTCCAAACGTTTGACTCAACATTTGATACGTGAATCATATTGGTAATCGGTGAAGAATGAAGGGGATGAAGGCAACGAAGAGAAAGAGATTTCCATTCTTTGTCTCCAACAGAGATCACCACAAGTTCTTCTTCGGTCAACACGAGCAGTAAAGTTGCCCGCCAATGAGCATTGTCTAAAAATTGTGTTTAGATTCAAAGCTTTTATCGTAAGTAAACAGTAACGTGCTACGGTTCCAAACACCCAAAGTCTGGATCGAAATCTTACCCAAACTGCGAAATCTTTTAACCCAACTAATTCTAACACTAATTCTAAATGATTTGCCAAAACGAGAGGAATAACAAGATTCCAAAACGAGAGGAATAACATTCGCGGCTGGGTTGGATTGCGTTTATAGAGCAAAGATATTTATATTTTGGTGCTTTGGTGGTTGGTTGCGACTTCATTTCTAGCCTATTAGCCGCATGAATACCCCGCCATTTCTAAACAAACGTGTATTAGAAAGTCAAAACAAAAAAAAAACTAAAGTTAGAGCCTTGAAACTATTTGCAATTTAATCGGCGTTGTCGAAAACCCAAGAAAATTAAAATGACACTGGCAAAATTGAGGCCACGCGCCTAGCACCGGAAACAATAAGAGGAGGAGGGAAATTTTAAAAATGAACAGAATTTTATAAAGGGATAGAGAAAAGGGAACATACAGGCGCAAAAGCAACGGCGACGCGCCGAACTGGGCAGCGACTCGTTAAAAGAATAAATTTTGCGCGATGGGGGAGGCCGTCTCGAGTACGGTAGCTTAGGTGTATTTTAGAATTTAGTGTTGGAAAGTTGCCAATCCGTACTCGAACTGCGGGAATTACGATTTTACTAGCCCGTTTTCATACTTACCATTTAAATCCTTTGACGAAGAAGCAAAACAGAAGTCAAGAACCGGACTTGCGAAATCCCAGCAAGCAGTTCTCCCGGCTCTCATTGTTGTCACCGTGTATCGATCCCCATATGAAGCTCTCGGCATTCCACCGGAGAACGCATGAATTTGCCCACTGAATGAAAAGTTGATTGAAAGATTAAATGCTTTGGAAACTCACTGATCAGTGTTGGCTATGAGAGCCTTTTGAACAGGCGTACAAGGAAATGGGCCGAAGACGATTCCCGGAGACTCTTGAATTTCTCCATTCTGTTTGTAGAGGGTAAAAGATCCATCACTAGAAGAGATTATAACTGTTTTTCCATCCAGTGACCAGCGAGCATCCTAAAATTTGTACTTAAAACTATCAAAAGCTAAAACTAGTTGGGTATGCTGATGTTGCTTTTGAGCTACAGTCGACTCTCGATATAGCGATATGTTTGATATAACGATGTGAAATTTGCATTCGATACAACGTTTTTCGGGGTAGGCTAATTTGCGCAACAGGATCATTTCCGCAACTCGCCATAACTTTCTTCTAAGTCGACCAATCTTTATGATTTTGGTCCACTTAGAATAAAGTTATGGCGAGTTGCGCAAACGATCCTATTGCGCAGATGACCCTGTTGCACAAAAAAAATTTGCGGAAATTAGCCTACCCCCATTTTTCGGCTCAAAATACAAAATATTTCTTTCTTCCATAGAATATCTTTAACCTAAGTAATTCTACTTTTGCAAACAAGAGTTCTTGACCATAAACTTTTATTGATATTAATTTTTTCTGATTTTTTTATCATCTTCTGATTTCTGACATGAAGATGAAGACGAAAAAGTGACCGAAATCGCGTTAATTTCTTGCGAAGAAGCATACCGTTGTTTTCAAGTGCTTCGAGCTTACGCCAAACCGAAGGCTGACTCAAAAATTGTTAAAGATGTTACGGTTATTGATGATTTTTTACGATCAGACGTAGTTTAGGCAAATCTCGTTAACAAAATTTTTCAATAAGCTTTAGTTGTTTCTTAATTGCTTGTTTCTTACTACTTTTTTGTTGACAAATACGTTATCATAACTTGATATAACGGTTTGGTTGGAAAACCTTGATTTGTTTCTTTGTTTTATTTATTTGTATTTATTTATTTGTTTATTTTATTTGTTTCGATATAAGATTCTGTTTATTTTATTTGCTTCGATATAACGATTTCAAGCGCCAGCTCAGAGCGAATCTTTATATCGAGAGTCGACTGAATTTTCAAACGGTTTTCATAGATTATCAGGAGATCACTTGTTGTATTTTGTATAAAAGTTTACACAAACCATTGGCGGAGTGTCGAGGTTCCACGTGGAGAGAACTTCTCGTACAGACACGTCGTAGACAGCGACTGATTGATCGTAGAGGAGAAGAAGACGATTTGGATCGGATCGACAGATATCAATGGCGTTGACTGATTGGGTTTCGTTTACAAGAGTGATTCTAAATAAGTTGAAGTTGAAGTTGTAGTTGACAGCAATTTAAATTTGGAATAACAATCAGACAATGAGTAATCTGATCTATTCACTAACCTTGATTCTAATTCTTCATTGAAAGGGAGAAATTCGGCAATCGTCATCTCATCAACATCCAAAGAATAGATCATTCCAGTGGTGGCTCCTAGAACAATAGAATTGTAGAATTGATGGTTTCATGTTTCAAGTCTTGGTTTGGAGTCTTATCTAGCAAAACTTGACTGCATTTCCTGAGTAACTCAAAACACTAACCAATCAGTAAGGAAAATTTCTCTCTGGAGCTGTTCGCGAACATAGCACAACTGGTTATCTTCTTTAGACGAGGATCAGGGTCGATACTCAAAGCGTTCAACGATCTTCCAGATATACTAAAGATGTTTTATTAAGTTAAAAACAGTTTTGGTATTCAAAAACAGTTTTGATCTATTCACTAACCCTTATTCTAAATAGAATAGAATATCTCTAAGCACACAATTGCTAATACTAGCTAGTAATTTAGACAGATTTAGACACTTACCTGAATTTATGAAATCCTAGATCGTGTGTGAGCGCAATAAGGACTCCGGTTCCTTCAGCAAAATATAGATGTGCTATTCTGTGATGAGAGTCCAAGGTGTTTGTCCAAATGAAGTGATCAGCTCCAAATCTGAAAGTAATTGTTGACAAAGCTTTGAGGAGAAGAAGCATTTGAACTGCTAAATGTTAATTAAGTCTTAAGAATTGTCTTAAGAATTGTCTCAAGAAATGTCTTAAGAATTGTCTAAATTCAGTTACAAGAGCTAAAGCTGCAGAATGTTGGACGAGTGTAAAAGAAATGTTGCCATTGGCTATATTGTCAATGTTGCCAAAGAATTTTCTTCTCCAATTTCAAACTCACAATGAAATCTCTCCATTTTCAGTTCCAACTGCTAGCAATCCCAATATTGGATCGTAGGCAAACGCTGTTGTTTTATTGGGAAAGCCGTGTTGGGTTGTCTGAAAAACAAAAGCAAATTTGGCTAGATTTCTAGATAAGATTAAGCAAATTTACGAACCTTTTCGAAATTGACATAATCGAGGAGCTCATTGCCGCTTCCCTTTTCAGGATGATGAAAATGTGATCGGATGAATTTGAGCATTTTGCTTAAATATAACATTTGAGCATTTGATTTAAATATTTTGCATTGGAAAATGCATTGCAAATTAAAAGTAAATATAAGCATTTGGTAAAATAAATGCAAAAATACAATGCAAAACAAAACAACAAATTGAACGGGAAGCTTGGAAATTGAATGGGAAGCTTGGAAATTGAACGGGAAGCTTGGAAATTGAACGGGTTTCTTTAAATGATGAAGAAACCTTTTGTGAATTGATGATTTTAAAGAGTTGATCTTCATAAAAAGTTAATTTTTTGATTAAAATCTTGACAAGACAAAGAAAAGAGAATTTTCCAAATATTTACTGGATGAGTGTCTTCAAAAGATCGACAAGTATTCAATGGAATCGATTTGAAAGGGTAATGGTGAACACAGGCAACAAGAAGAAGAGGAGAAGGAGAAAGGAGAAAGAGGGAAAAACGGGAAAGACTACAGGGAATCGAGGGACAAATATGGAAGAGAAGTGGTAGGAAAGAGAAAGAAAGGAAAGAGAACGGTGATGAGTCAACTAGAGAGGCTAGGGGACGGCGAGGGGCAACGAGGGAATACACACTCCGCTCACTATGACCCCTCTTCTCCATTCACTGACCCTTCCCCTTTTTAGCCTAATGATGGGTGGCTCTAGCAGACAAATATGACCCATCATTGTCAACAGTTTCTTCTTTTCTTCTGCGATTTGGTGGGCTTTGACTAAATTCAGTTACAAGAGCTAAAGCTGCAGAATGTTGGCCGAGTGTAAAAGAAATGTTGCTATTGGCTATATTGTCAATATTGCCAAAGAAATATTGTCATTTCATTGCAATGCCATTTACTAGCAGTTAACACTATGCAAATTTAAAACTTGACACAATTAGAGTCGTTTTTACATTGATCATTTCATTGTGTTTCATTTCATTAATCAGCTGAACGAAATTCCGAGAACTGTGAAGTAAAGACACGTGATTCGAATCAAGAGACTGAGTCATTCAATAGTGACAGCTGTTCAACAAAATTAATAGTCATAAAAAGAAACGATAAACAAATATACAAGTCATGGAAACAAAAAACAAAAAAGAATCTAGTTCCAAAGACAAACAAATAATGGATGATCTTTCATCACAATTCTGTGATGAAAGAAACCGATGGCAGTAATTGTAATGTAATTGGACTTTATATTTGGAATTTGGCAGTAATGACTGAGAGTAATTGGTGAGAAAAATATTCTTTTGGCACTGGAAATTTACTTTTACCTTTACTAAACAAAAAAACTACCGTAAATACTGTAATAGTACCCCACCCGCATAATGACGGTGCGGAGTGTTGCGTAGTCTAGCTTTGAACGAGTTTTTCTCGACACTGGTTTATGCTACAATGCGCGCTTAGGTATCAAAAAATAGCTGAAATTCAGGGCTATTTTTTGATACCAAAGACGCATTTTTTGAAAGTACAGGCGCTTTGCAAAAAATGAAATACTAAAAAACTTGAAGAGATTTCGAGGGCGAAATGCGAGTGACCAAAAAAGGAATCGAGTCACTTTAGGGACAAGTTTAGTGTGGTCAAAATAGAGTTAGCTTCCCAAAATTGAAGATTTAAAAAAAAAGGATAACTACCGTAAATACTGTACTAGTACCGCACCCCCATAATGACGATGCGGAGTGTTGCGTAGTCTAGCTTTGAACGAGTTTTTCTCGACACTGGTTTATGCTACAATGCGCGCTTAGGTATGAAAAAATAGCTGAAATTCAGGGCTATTTTTTGATACCAAAGACGCATTTTTTTGAAAGTACGGGCGCTTTGAAAAAAATGAAATAATGAAATACTTGCAACTACACGACTGTACGAGGGGGTGGAGTACTATTACAGTATTTACGGTAAGTAGTTTGTCTAGTTTTGAAAACTGTATCCTTTTATAAGTTAAATTTAAGAATATTTACGTAAAGAACATCACAATCACTATTACTAAACGAAGCCTGACTCATTTCATGAAACTATTCGAAAACTACAAATTATCAAAGTCAATTTGGGCCAATTTCAAGCAATTCAAGTCACGGAAGTATGAAAGAAATGATATTGTAGATTTCCGCTTACCGTAAATACTGTAATAGTACCCCACCCGCATAATGACGGTGCGGAGTGTTGCGTAGTCTAGCTTTGAACGAGTTTTTCTCGACACTGGTTTATGCTACAATGCGCGCTTAGGTATCAAAAAATAGCCCTGAATTTCAGCTATTTTTTGATACCAAAGACGCATTTTTTGAAAGTACGGGCGCTTTGAAAAAAAGAAAGAATGAAATACTTGCGACTACGCGACTGTACGAGGAGGGTGGCGTACTATTACAGTATTTACGGTAGGTAGTTAGGTAGAAAAAAACTTGAATTCAATCTTTGAATTGAATGAAAATTGAAGGCAATTGAATAGAATTGAATAGAAATTGAATAGAAATTAAATTGGTGATTTCATTGAAACACACTTTTGAAATTAGAACTGAAAGACTTGATTTTACCCTAAAGTGAATTTGCTTTGTCATCACTAAACCTGCTGTTTGTCATCACTAAACCTGCTGTTTGTCATGTTGCATTGCTGTCTTGTAAGAGTCAATTGTTTTTTTATGTTTATAGCACAACAAAATTTTGACCCGTTTGAAGAAATTTGAAGGAAAGACAATGAGAATTGAATCATTTGTGATAGAATTTTGAATTCAACATGAGCAAACAATTTTAGATTAATTTTGGATTTTAGATAATTAGAGATTTTAGATAATTAAAGATTTTAGATAGAACAGCAGCTAAGAACAGCAGCTAATTAAAGAAATTTAGATTATATGAACATTAATTTCTGAATTAAGAGCTTTTAAAGTTGTTCACAATGGGAAAACAAGGAAGGAACATAAACAAAAGTGCAAATTGTTTTTTTAAGCCATAAGAATCAGATTGAGAAATAGATTTGCACATAGAACTAAATCGAAAACTTTTTGAACATCAACAGCAAAGAACAACAGCTAAGAACAGCAGCTAAGAACAGCAGCTAAGAACAGCAGCTAAGAACAACGGCTAAGAACAGCAGCTAAGAACAGCAGCTAAGAACAGCAGCTAAGAACAACGGCTAGGAACAACGGCTAAGAACAACGGCTAAGAACAACGGCTAAGAACAACGGCTAAGAACAGCAGCTAAGAACAGCAGCTAAGAACAACAGGTAAGAACAGCAGCTAACAACAACAGCTAAGATTCAAACAATTTTGCAATGATCAAGTTTCTTAGCCTCTTTTTGTCTATCGTTGATCCAGATTCTTGGGATGTAGTTGATTGATTGAGATTGTTTGAGTTTTTCATTGTTTGCATGAAGTGAATTGTTGATCATTGAAATGACATTGATTGAGCTAATCGAGGTTGACTGGTTAAGTTTCTCGTTGATCGTAAGAATGGCTCCGATTTTGACATCACCCGGTTTCTTGGTCTGTAAGTTTATTCTTTGAAAATAATCTAGATTTATTAACTTATTACAAAGCTATGGTTCTAGAGGATTCAAATTCTTTCTAGATATTTAAATTTGTTAAATTTTACCTTGCAAAATCGATCATAGAGTCCTTTATTGATGAGAGCACAGAGACGGCGATCAGTGTGAACTTCGATCAAATGAAGGGCGAGAAGTGCTTCTGGAATCGATTTGGAAATAAACGCCTAGCTTAGAATTACAATTAGATTAGGATTAGAATTAGATTAGGATTAGAACTTAGAAAATTAGGATTAGAAAGTGGTTTTTTAGAGAGTTTTGTTTAAGAAATCCACTTACCTCTTCCCAAATTATAATAAGTGTAGTACTGGATCTCATTTACATCAAATTCCTCATTGCTTTCTTTAGTAGCCGATTCCATTAACATGCTAAAACAATAAATTTAGATACTTTATTAGATATTCCATTAAATTCCATTAGATTTCATTAGATTTCATTAGATTCCATTAGATTTCATTAGATTCCATTAGATTTCATTAGATTCCATTAGATTCCATTAGATTCCATTAAATTCCATTAAATCCCATTAAATCCCATTAAATCCCATTAGATTCCATTAAATTCCATTAAATCCCATTAAATTCCATTAAATCCCATTAGATTCCATTAAATTCCATTAAATTCCATTAAATCCCATTAAATCCCATTAAATCCCATCAGATTCCATTAAATTCCATTAGATTCCATTAAATTCCATTAAATTCCATTAGATATTCCATTAGATTCCATTAGATTCCATTAAATTCCATTAAATTCCATTAAATTCCATTAAATTCCATTAGATATTCCATTAGATATTAATCCCTTTTGTTCATTTACTCAATCAAATTAACCTTTTCATGTAATTGGCGAGTGAATTGCAAGCGAAATAGTGGTAGATTGTGTAGAGGAAATTGAGGAAAGTCACGGCCAACAACAACACGTAGATTGACCTGAAAAGTGATTGGATATTGCTTCAAAACAAGCTCTTGTTTATGTTTAAGTAAAAATTTAAAACTTGAGATCAAACTCGACATCAAACTTTCATTTCATTTCAAGTGAAGATTGAAATTTTCCAATTTTACATACCAAAGCAAAAGATAGACTTTCTCGTTGAGTGCATTGATCATCAGAACACATTGCACGGAATAGGGACGATTGTTTCCGAGATCTCGAATCTGAAATTGAATGGCTTTTGTTGTATTTGAACTATTTGAACTATTTGAACTATTTGAATTTATGTTTCAATGCATTGCAAGCGAAATAGTGTTAGATTGTGTAGAGGAAAGGTGACAAAGCGAAAAACAATTGACTCTTACAAGACAGTAATGCAACATGACAAACAGCAGGTTTAGTGATGACAAAGCAAATTCACTTTAGGGTAAAATCAAGTCTTTCAGTTTTGAGTTTAACTTCAAAAGTGTGTTTCAATGAAATCACCAATTCAATTTCTATTCAATTTCTATTCAATTTCTATTCAATTTCTATTCAATTTCTGAATTCCATTCGATTTCCATTCAATTCAAAGGTTTTCAATAAGTTCTTGTGATTCTTAAATTGATGATTTCTTAGAAACCAGCCAACAGTTTCATCTGAAATTTCTAATGAGCAATTTATAAATAACTGCTAACTAGTAGCCAAGATTTGATAACGATTGCTTGGTTTGATCGAGAGAATGAGCCACTAACGTTGTTTTGTGCGTTTCACTCTTTGTGGACTATAGAAATATCTCTATAGAAACTCTAGGACTATAGAAATAGCTCTATAGAAATTCTAGGACTATAGAAATAGCTCTATAGAAACTCTAGGACTATAGAAATAGCTCTATAGAGACTCTAGGACTATAGAAATAGCTCTATAGAAACTCTAGGACTATAGAAATAGCTCTATAGAAACTCTAGGACTATAGAAATAGCTCTATAGAGACTCTAGGACTATAGAAATAGCTCTATAGAAATTCTAGGACTATAGAAATAGCTCTATAGAAACTCTAGGACTCTAGGACTATAGCTCTATAGAAACACTAATGAAAAAAGGATCCAGAAGATTTTTAGGAGGATTGATCGGCCTAACATCCGACTACAATTGAACTTTAGCTTATTTAGCTTAGTTAGCTCTTTTGATCTATCTTTTTTTAGTAGAATTATGGAAATTTTCTCTCAAATTAGCCTTTAGAATAAGGTCCAATCCATATACTGACTTAGTTGAACAGTTATATCCCATTCTCTCGATTGAACCAAGCAATCGTCATCAAATTTTGTCTACTAGTTAGCATATACTTATATATTATTCAAATTTTAGATAAAACTTGACTGGTTTTTAAGAAATCACAAATTCAAGAACCGCAAGAACTTATGGATAATCTTAATAAATTTCGCACCTTGAAATCGCAGAATGTGACCCGAGGAAAGTATCCTTTATGACTCGAATCTTCGCCTTGAATGATGTCAGCAGCACTCTAAAAATAAAAGAATTTAAGAAGCTTTGTCAAATATTTAATTTTAAAGCTTAAACCAAATTGAATCAAACGTTTAACTCACCCAAATTGCCCAAAGTGATTCGTGTCCAAGGAAGAAATTCATGTGCCAGAGTTGAGCGCAAAGATTGACGATGAAAGCGAGCTTGAGCAAAATGTAGAGATAGACGGCGCTGTAAAAAGAAGATTGATTTTGATTGCAAGAATCTTTAGGTTATTATCATAGATTATCATGGTTATAATACATTATAAGATTAGATTATAAGATTACATTATAAGATTACATTATAAGATTACATTAGAAGATTACATTATAAGATTACATTATAAGATTACATTATAAAGTTACATTATAAGGTTACATTATAAGGTTACATTATAGGTAATGTCTATAAACTAGTTTAGCGTGTGAAGCTGGCTCCAAACTTAGCTCCAAACTTAGCTCCAAGTTTAGCTCCAAATCTAGCACCAAACTTAGCTCCAAGTTTAGCTCCAAACTTAGCTCCAAGTTTAGCTCCAAATCTAGCACCAAACTTAGCTCCAAGTTTAGCTCCAAACTTAGCTCCAAGTTTAGCTCCAAATATAGCACCAAACTTAGCTCCAAACTTAGCTCCAAGCTTAGCTCCAAACTTAGCTCCAAACTTAGCTCTAAGTTTAACTCCAAACTTAGGATTACATTAGAAGATTACATTATAAGATTACATTATAAGATTACATTATAAGATTACATTAGAAGATTACATTATAATGTTTACAATTAGCTTGTAAGCTCTCTTCAAAACTCAAAGTCTAAACCCACCGTGATCCTTTGCGTTGTTCGCTTCGAGCTCTCAATTGTTCATCAAAATCGTTAACCAGTGTCTCAATCTGTAAAAATATTGTTAGAAAAGTATCACAATCATTTAATAATAGAGAATAAAGGTATAAAATCGTTTAACTTGATACTTTTAACTTTCAATTTCAAGTCTAGACTCTTCAAAGTTTGAATAAAGTTACCATTTGCGAGCGATCTTTGAGATTTGCATTCTTAATAGTGATTGACTCTTCTGTGCACTTCTGAATATCGATTCCCGCTGAAAGTAAGCAAAAATTCAATGAATTCAAGGCTTTGAAAGCATAAAGGCTTAGGCTCAAAGGCTCAAAGGCTTTGAAAGCTTAAAGGCTTAGGCTCAAAGGCTCAAAGGCTTTGAAAGCTTAAAGGCTTAGGCTCAAAGGCTCAAATGCTTAGGCTCAAAGGCTCAAAGGCTTTGAAAGCTCAAAGGCTTAGGCTCAAAGGCTTAAAGGCTTAGGCTCAAAGGCTCAAAGGCTTTGAAAGCTTAAAGGCTTAGGCTCAAAGGCTCAAAGGCTTTGAAAGCTTAAAGGCTTAGGCTCAAAGGCTCAAATGCTTAGGCTCAAAGGCTCAAAGGCTTTGAAAGCTCAAAGGCTTAGGCTCAAAGGCTTAAAGGCTTAGGCTCAAAGGCTCAAAGGCTTTGAAAGCTTAAAGGCTTAGGCTCAAAGGCTCAAAGGCTTTGAAAGCTCAAAGGCTTAGGCTCAAAGGCTTAAAGGCTTAGGCTCAAAGGCTCAAAGGCTTAGGCTCAAAGGCTTAAAGGCTTAGGCTCAAAGGCTTAAAGGCTTAGGCTCAAAGGCTCAAAGGCTTTGAAAGCTCAAAGGCTTAGGCTCAAAGGCTTAAAGGCTTAGGCTCAAAGGCTCAAAGGCTTAGGCTCAAAGGCTTAAAGGCTTAGGCTCAAAGGCTTAAAGGCTTAGGCTCAAAGGCTTAAAGGCTTAGGCTCAAAGGCTCAAAGGCTTTGAAAGCTTAAAGGCTTAGGCTCAAAGGCTTAAAGGCTTAGGCTCAAAGGCTTAAAGGCTTAGGCTCAAAGGCTCAAAGGCTTTGAAAGCTCAAAGGCTTAGGCTCAAAGGCTTAAAGGCTTAGGCTCAAAGGCTTAAAGGCTTAGGCTCAAAGGCTTAAAGGCTTAGGCTCAAAGGCTTAAAGGCTTAGGCTCAAAGGCTCAAAGGCTTTGAAAGCTCAAAGGCTTAGGCTCAAAGGCTTAAAGGCTTAGGCTCAAAGGCTCAAAGGCTTAGGCTCAAAGGCTTAAAGGCTTAGGCTCAAAGGCTTAAAGGCTTAGGCTCAAAGGCTTAAAGGCTTAGGCTCAAAGGCTCAAAGGCTTTGAAAGCTTAAAGGCTTAGGCTCAAAGGCTTAAAGGCTTAGGCTCAAAGGCTTAAAGGCTTAGGCTCAAAGGCTCAAAGGCTTTGAAAGCTCAAAGGCTTAGGCTCAAAGGCTTAAAGGCTTAGGGCTCAAAGGCTTAAAGGCTTAGGCTCAAAGGCTTAAAGGCTTAGGCTCAAAGGCTCAAAGGCTTTGAAAGCTCAAAGGCTTAGGCTCAAAGGCTTAAAGGCTTAGGCTCAAAGGCTCAAAGGCTTAGGCTCAAAGGCTTAAAGGCTTAGGCTCAAAGGCTTAAAGGCTTAGGCTCAAAGGCTTAAAGGCTTAGGCTCAAAGGCTCAAAGGCTTTGAAAGCTTAAAGGCTTAGGCTCAAAGGCTTAAAGGCTTAGGCTCAAAGGCTTAAAGGCTTAGGCTCAAAGGCTCAAAGGCTTTGAAAGCTCAAAGGCTTAGGCTCAAAGGCTTAAAGGCTTAGGCTCAAAGGCTTAAAGGCTTAGGCTCAAAGGCTCAAAGGCTTTGAAAGCTCAAAGGCTTAGGCTCAAAGGCTTAAAGGCTTAGGCTCAAAGGCTCAAAGGCTTAGGCTCAAAGGCTTAAAGGCTTAGGCTCAAAGGCTTAAAGGCTTAGGCTCAAAGGCTTAAAGGCTTAGGCTCAAAGGCTCAAAGGCTTTGAAAGCTTAAAGGCTTAGGCTCAAAGGCTTAAAGGCTTAGGCTCAAAGGCTTAAAGGCTTAGGCTCAAAGGCTCAAAGGCTTTGAAAGCTCAAAGGCTTAGGCTCAAAGGCTTAAAGGCTTAGGCTCAAAGGCTCAAAGGCTTTGAAAGCTTAAAGGCTTAGGCTCAAAGGCTTTGAAATCTCAAAAACCATTATTGTTATTGTAAAACCGTACCCAATTTGCGAACAACTTCTTGGTAAATGAAGAACGGAAGATAGAAGAAACAACCAGACAACAACAAAAACAATGGAACCCATTGATAATAACCGGCAAAGTTCTGGAAAGGAAACTAACTTTTCTATATTTCAATCACTCTTCGCACCTCTTTTTTCTCTTCAGGTGTAATTCGATGATCGACAGAAATTGGCGCGTAATATGTGCCATGAATGAAGCAGTAATTCTCCGCATATTGACCCCATTCACTCGAGAATTCCTTTGGTAACCAACATTGAATTGGTGTGCCGACCCATCTGGAATTTATTCATATAAACATCATAGTTTTAATGGGTTTTAATCTTTGGTCTTATGTTAAAAACTGACTGTTTCGCGGATATCATGAGAAAGAAAATAAAGAGAATTGATGGAAGGACGGTGTGATGTAAATGATCGATGAGATCACCAACGGGAGCTCTTCGGAAAAATCCCTTCACGTAATCGAATGGAAACGCGTTGATCATTGGATCTGAAATGGATTGAAATGAAAAATTCTAAAGAAAAAAGGAAAGATATGAGCTGAAAGTTCCGCTTAAATATCAGCTTAAATATCAGCTTAAATATCAACCTAAATATCAGCCTAAATATCCGCTTAAATATCCGCTTAAATATCCGCTTAAATATCAGCTTAAATATCAGCTTAAAAATATGATAACTGAATCAGGAAATAACTGAATCAAGCTTTAAAGTAATGACGAGTAATGATTTGAAAATAAAACCAATTGTTGAGTAGATATGAAAAAAAGTGACTTACGTTAGAAGTGAGACAATTACAATGATCTGCTCGGACAATTTTTCGGCAAATCTGCTTGTGTTTGATAAGATTGTGTGTCAACATCTAAAACGCCGACAATTACATACAGATATTTTAGCATATAGCAAGCAATATGATAACTTTTCAGCAATATGCAATAGTTTTTTAGAAACTCGTGCTAACAATAATCTTGAACCTTTTGATTGAGAAACTATATGTAAACATCTACAGAATGTTTGAGAATTTGAAAAGCGAGTGTTGACGAGTAGAAATTTGAAGCAAAAAGTAAAGTTAGATATATTCTTGTTCTCTACTATAGTTTGCAACTTCTGCTGTGATGAGTGTTTGTCTTTTTATGCATTTGCGTTTCTTGCAGTCCAAAAAACAAACCCGCTAATCGCTTCCCCGACCCCAAAAACCCTGGGTACAGTCTTTTGACTTCATATCTCTTCTGACAAGGGAATAGTCTCAGCTCAAAGTTTGAAATCGACTAGAAACACAATGCATAACAGAATCGGCAATGGCGAACAAAACGCCTCAAAAATTAGCCGCTAAGAGCCACGGAAACGCGAGGAATCTAGCATGAAAAATCAAATCAAGATCTAAAACTGATTCCTTTATAACGCTTCTCTCGCTGCGGGCCAGGGATGAGCTCGTGGTCTAGTGGATAAAGGTTTAGGTCTGTGAAACAGCGTTCTTATTTTTGCCCTCGGGTTCAATTCGCCTACATAAACAATTTTTTGTTTATGCGGTGTTTATGCGGCGCTCTCTAATAGAAACGAAGTCTAGAGGAAGCTTGTAAACTAATAGAGAGTACGCTTCTATTAGAGTTTTTACAGTGTGCACTGTGTTTCGAGTCGATTCCGAACTTTGAACTGAGACCATTCCCTTCAGTATTTGTGGGGAGCAAAATTTCGGTCTGCGTGGGGGTACTGATCGCTTTGGTCCTTACCGTGTCGACACCCCTTCGGCTCCAAACCACCTGGGACAGGACCCGTGAAGTGGCCAACTGACCGTGCGGGGAGGTCCTTGGCATCCCCGCACTCCTTCCCTCTGGGCCTACCACTAGGCTAGGTCTCCCACTAGGCTAGGCCCCCCACTAGGCTAGGTCCCCCACTAGGCTAGGTCCCCCACTAGGCTAGGTCCCCCACTAGGCTAGGTCCCCCACAGTCCCCCCTCCCATTGGGCCGACCATTAGGCCCAGGGGAGGGCACTGCTTGACGTCCAGCCACCTCCGCGCAGTGAACAGTGGGCATTCCCTGAAAGCAGGGGATGGCTAAGCGCTGGACTAGGTAAGAAACTTTAGGATTAGGTCGTACCCAAAATACTGCGTAAGCCTTGTGCTCATACTGTAATTACTATAGCCTTTTCAAACCCTAACACTCCTATCAGCCAACGAGACTCAGCGATGAACCAAAACTAATCAAAAACGATAACCATCACAGATATTGTAGTGCAAAAGCTAAGGAAAAGATTTATTTTGTGAGCAAAAAGAATCTAATAGCAAGGTTATAAAATTCAAAACAAAAAGCTGAAACGGAAATCAAAACTAAAATAAAACTAAAACTTGAACTAAATGATATGTATGGGTTATCCATGTGGCAGTAACAGGATAAATATCACAAAGAATTTGTTGAAAGACGAAAACCCGAAAAATAGATTAGTAAAAAGCAATTTGGATCATTTTAAATCATAAAATTATCTATTCTCTCCTTGTTGCCATTCGTCAAGCGAGGGATTTCGAGGAGCCACGGCAGCCACTCGTTGACCGGTGTATTTCTCAAGGAAATCTGCATGTTTTCGAAGGACAGCACGAACACTATCAGATCTGAAACTTATTTTTAAAGTTCACTATGATAAAAAGAATCTACTTTTCTTTAAATTTACCGTTCTTTTCTGCCTGAATCTATAGGGAAATCAGGAAACTGTTCGTTGACGACAGGTGGCGGAGGTCGGCTTTCGACTCTGGAAAAGTTCATAGAGTGATTATATCAAAACTAAGCTGACAAAGCTAACAAATAAGCTGACAAGCTGATAGATAAGACATTTTACACCCGTTTTAATGTAGTAGTCTTTCTAATGGAGTCTTAAGTAGTCTTTCTAATGGAAAAAACCGTAATTCAATTGATGCATTTGTTAGTTTTAAACGAAAGTACGAAAAGGAAAGAAAAGACTTTCTGGACAGCCTAATATTACTAGATACCTTAAAAAAAATTGGGTACTTTAACCGTGGAACGGGTACCTTAAGAAAACCTTAAGAAAGCAGGTACCTTAAAGAAAATGGTGATGCCCAACAATCAGTTTTCGACAACTGACTTTCCTGCAACAATTCTCCCAGCAACACTACCTGAATGCCTAAACAAAATCCAATCCGACTCTTTCCCAAGTACTGACTATTCTAATCTTGGCTTGCCGACTTTTTCCTGAGCAGAATTCGTCAAATGATACGTGTTTGATAAGTAGAAACGTTTTTTTTTCAATAGAAAGGCTAACTAATCCTCTACAAATATGAAAAGAACAAAAAGATTTTCTATACAGCCTAATACAAGACTTTCAAACACTAGAAATTCTGGTTATTTAGTACAAGACCTTCGACGACAACTCAAACAACTACTAAAACTACAACTACTACAACTACAACAACTACAACTACAACGACCACGACAACGACTACAACTACAACTACTACAACTACAACGACCACGACAACGACTACAACAACGACTACAACTACAACTACTACAACTACAACTACCAAAACTACAACTACTACAACTACAACGACCACGACAACGACTACAACAACAACCACAACCACTACTGAGCCCACGACCGAGGAACCAGGTTTTACTTCAACTTTTTGCACTGATAAACAAGATTTAGAAACGCTTGTGCCTGAAATTAAAGCAATCACGAATTCGCCAACGTTTGTGCTAACTTGAAATATTTTAAAGGCTTTTCAGAATGGTCACTATTCACGAAAGTCACTATTCACTGGGAACGAAAAGGAACGAAAAGGTACGAAAATCTTCCTGGACAGCCTAATATTTTAGGTTTATTAGTGAAGAGTCACCTGTTGATTGCAATAACTCTCCCCTCGTGTCGGGGTTGATGCTGAGTGGATTCTGGAATGGGAAAACCTCGATTCCGAAGATTCTCCAACTCCATGCATTCCTCCATTAGTGAAGCTTCAAGTTCGCATAACTGAAAAGCTCATTGAGCTCGTTGAGCTGAAAAGCTCTGTTTTTAAAATCACTTGAAATGAATAACAAAGAATGCTTGGAATTTTGGATAAAAGGACAAAAGAGCAAAAGGAATTTTGCTCAAGAAAGTTAGTTCACTGAATATCTTTAGAGACCCATTTTGAGCGCTCTTTTCATCTATAAAATATTACATTTTAAGAAACTGCTTTATCCATCATGTAGCCAAGCATGCAAAGAATTTTTTGATATAAAACTTGAACCGACTTGGTTTTTTGGATTGTGAGGAATTTGGTGGCGCTGTTTTGACAGCTTTCTATTCCGCGCTGTTTTAACTACATCTAGCTACAATAAGCTATTAAAATTTGACTTGATTAAATAAGCTAAATAATTACTTGTTAATAATTTTACTTGTTTATATTTTGTTTACTTGTTTATTTTACTTATTTATATTTCGTTTACTTGTTTATATTTTGCTTCATAGTGTAATCTCAAGCTTTCCGAGTGCTCTTCTGCCAATTGTACATTTTGTATTCGATGTTGCAATTGCGTGGCTTCTTCCTGAAACAAAATCGATGCAATTGATGCCATATAAAATATTCGAGAACAAATGAATCTTGTCTACAATTTTTTTTACAAGTTTCCAATTAAAATACCAAAATGTTGAAGTTTTCTTTCAAATTAGATTGGGTTACGCTAATTGCTCTTTGTGTCATATTGATCCTATGAAATTATTAGGTTGTTCGGATATAAACAAGCGTTGCTAAACTTATTGTTGTGAGAGAAGCTTTTAAAACATGTCTTTCTGTATTTAAAAGTACGTTATCTTGTGCATATTTGGCATCTTTTTAAGCGGATAATTTCTTATTTTTAAGATCTTTACGATCTTAAGATCTTTTTTCTTGCTTTAGATAATCGACTTCAAATATATCAAGTTCGCCTACTTTACGACTTCAAACTGGGCAAAATAGTCGCGGAATCACATCGAGATTTGGTGAAAGCATTTGGGAATGATGTATTGTTCGAAAGTCGATGCCGAGCCTGGTTCCAACGCTTTCGGAATGGTGATGAAAGTCTCGAGGATGATGACCACTCTCATCGACCTCAAGCGGTAGACAACGATATTTTGAGGACTGCAATGGAATCGGATCCATGTCAAACGACGCGTGAACTTGCTCAACAGTTTCTATGTTCAAATTCTACTATTGATGAGCATCTCCATTGAAAAGGCGATCAGACACGGGAAATGGCTTCCTCACGAGTTAAGCAGTGCAAACGCTCGTTTCTATCCGAACAACCTAATAATATTACCTGCGATTGAAGAAATTCCTTTGGATTTTGGGGCTCTTTGTTTTCGAGAATAAACTCTGGATCGAATTCCAAAGCTTTTAAGAACATCAATTAAAATTTCAAAGGGTTCTTATGGGATAATTATAGCCAAAAATACGGGAAAAATGGCTCAAGATCAGCACAAATTGGAGATTTTGCTTGGAAATACAGCAAACCGACTCCGCCAATCGCTTCCCCAACCCCGAAAACCCATTGGTACACAATTTTGGCTTCATATCTGATCTGAGCAATGTTTACAAAACAAAAGAAATTCTTTGGAAAGAATCTTTGTGCGGCGGCGTAATCGTTCGCCGTCTGGCGCAGGTTCTTTACCTATGAGGGACCCTTCCCGTGCCTCTTCGGCAAACTGTTCCGGTCCGGGTTTAACTGGCCGTATCCGAAGGGGGCGTACCATTTTGGTGCGTACCGTGTCGTCGCCCATTTGGCGCAAAACTTCGGTATGTGTGGGGGTACTGATCGCTTTGGTCTTTACCGTGTCGACGCCCTTTCGGCGCAAAACCACACGGAACAGAACCCGTGAAATGGCCAACTGGCGATGTGTGGGGATGTCTTTGGCATCCCTCGCACTCCCTCCCCCTGGGCCGGCCATTAGGCCCCGGGGGAAGGATCCCCCACTAGGCTAGTTCCCCCACAGTCCCCCCCTCCCACTGGGCCGACCATTAGGCCCAAGGGGAGGGCGCTGCTCGATGTCCAGCCACCTCCGCGTGGTGAGCAGTGGGCATCCCCCGAAAGAAGGGGATGGCTAAGAGCTGGACTAGGTAAGAGATTTCAAGAGTAAGTATTATTTCAAGAGTTAGTTCATAAACTAGGTCTTCCCCTCTATGAAATTGCTAATATCTCAGCGTAGAAAGAATATATTGTAATGAAATTTTAAATGGATTTTTCTCAAAAACTGACAAGCTTAACGCCAAAATTATAAAGTGATTCGGCGATTAGGCGACCAAGTTATAACAAAAAGACTGCGCGAGCGCAATTTTTTACCTCCGGTGCTAAGTTCAAAAATACGAGCACATGAGGAAACAACACAAATTTTGGTTCTACGACATTTAAAACCAGAATAATGTGGATAGTTTCTGAAAAAAGTTTCATCACTCTTAGCAAAATTTATTCTATTTTTCAAAAGGGTTAAGCTTTATCTAGCTGTCTCTTGGAATCGCTGAAAATTTGATATTGCTATTTAACCAGAAATACTACGTTATTCTGCTTAAGTTTTTTATTAAATGAATTACACAACAGTTCCGGGAACATTCATTTTCTATTTTCAGCTATTTTCAGCTATTTTCAGCTATTTTCAGCTTCTTCTATCAGAAAGAAATTGAAATTGAAAAGGATTGAATCAAAATTTCTACAAAAACCAGTTTTTAAACCAGTTTTTATTACTCAACATGAATAGATCTTTTGCTGAATGTGAAAATTGAAAATATTTCATCTGAAAGCAACATTTTACAACAAACTTTGAGTCTTCTGACATCAGCCGAGCGTTTAAGTTGAAATTGTTGTTGTTCTCTTTCCAAACTCTCCTTTTCATTGCTCACCCGGATCAGCAAATCGTGCTGTTCTTTGAAAAATGATTCCTGTAAATTTCTAGTTAATGTGAAAACAGAATTTGATGACTTTTGTCGTTTCCAACATTCTTTTCTGTTTCTCGATGCTTTCCAAAACAAAGCGCTGATCTTCTTTGAAAATTTTGCGCTCAGCACTGAGACGATTCCAATCTTCGCGAATTTTCCATTTTTCCTGAAAAAACAAGAGAGTAACCTTTAAAAACAAGAGAGTAATCAATAAGGTAAGCCCATAGCTAGGCAAAGAGAGCAAGCAAGCTAGGCAAAGAGAGCAAAACGTATCATTTTTAAAAAGCTCGCCTCGAAATCAAAACTCTCTTGGAGAAAAAGTTGTCTGTTTCTCACTGGATAGCTCTTTTCTTTGCATTTTTCTTTAAAAATATTGCATCTTTCTTTTAAAACGTTGCATTTTTCTTGAAATTGAGCCAAATGCGACTCTTTTTTGCGCACCCAGCCCATTAGCGCACCTTTTTTCGCGTTTTAAACTCTAAAAAGCTAACAGTAACCAATTTCTATTCCAAAAGTTGTTTTTCTAGATAATTTTAGGGTGTAGAATTTAAATTTTGACATATCAGAGCTTGTGGAAGCAAACGGACAGAGTTACACTTACTAGAGATCGCTGTTCATTTACCACCGAGTTTCGAAGTGGGATCAAGACTATTTTGTAGCAAATTTTTCGCTGATTCCGAATATTTAAGTCGTTTGGGTGTAATGGGTTCAAATTTTCGATTTAAAACCGTTTGAAGTTTGTGTGCAAGAAAAAGGAGTTTTCGCGTGTTGCGCTAATTATCTGACCGCGCGAGTATCAAGAGATCTTGCCTCCGCCGAAGACGTATCATCGTGGCGAAGTGCCAAGTGGCCAAGTGGCCAAGTGCCAAGTGGCCAAGTGCCAAGTGGCCAAGTGGTCAAGTGGCCAGTGGTCAAGTGGCCAAGTGGTCAAGTGGCCAAGTGGTCAAGTGGCCAAGTGGTCAAGTGGCCAAGTGGTCAAGTGGCCAAGTGGTCAAGTGGCCAAGTGGTCAAGTGGCCAAGTGGTCAAGTGGCCAAGTGGTCAAGTGTTGCGCTAATTATCTGACCGACCTTTTATCAAGAGGTCTTACGTCCACCGAAGACATGTCATCGTGGCCAAATGGCCAAGTGCCAAGTGGTCAAGTGTTGCGCTAATTATCTAACCGCGCGAGTATCAAGAGATCTTGCCTCCACCGAAGACATCGTGGCCAAGTGACCAAGTGCCAAGTTGGCCAATTAGTTTTTTTAGCCAAACTCGGTGGTCAATGAACAGCGATCTCTAGTAAGTGTAACTTTGTCTGTTTGCTTCCACAAGCTCTGAAATGTCAAAATTTGGATTCTAGGCCCTAAAATTACCTAGAAAAACAAATTTTGAAGCAGAAATTGGTTAGTGTTAGCTTTTTAGAGTTAATCTTAACTTTTATTAGCTTTTTAGAGCTAATATTAACTAATTTCAATTCCAAACGCGAAAAAAGGTGCGCAAATGGGTCGGATGCGCAAAAAATGGTTGCATTTGTCCCACTCATTTGTTTTATTTAAAAAAAATTGCACTCTTCGTCAAAAAGTTGCATTTTTCTTCAAGAATCTGCCATTTTATTAATTTCGTTGTCTAAAATTTGAGTAATTGCACAATAGGAAAAAAGAAAGGAAACTTTTTCTGGCTACGGGCTTGAACAATAAGGCCTACCTTTTGAATACCATCCTCTTGCTGTTGAACCAAATCTTTTAGCTTTAAATTCAGAAGAGTAACATTGTCTTTTTCTTCCTTGAATCGATCCAATTCGGATTTTAGGCTAAAGAAATTGAATTGCATTTGTTTTTCAGCATTAGAGTGTGTTCCTCGCAAGTAATACGTTTAAAAAGCACACTTGGGAAAAACTACCGTACTTTTGGCGAAAATTATTGCAAAAAATTGACGCGAAAAAAATCGCTGACTTATATACGTTTTCTTTTAAAGATATTCAACTGTTTAATGTTTAATGCTACGGCCTCGCCACGTTGAAACACGGTATCCCGTCAGATCTGCCAAGTTATAAGCAAGTTAAGCAACGTTGGGCTCGGTTAGTCTCTGGCTCGAATCCAGCAGATGAGTCAGGGATATCTTCCCTGAACAGAGTGCTGTAGGTAACCGCACCCATATGGTGAACTGGTTTCCAAGACCATTCTCCCTAGACCCCTTCCCCACGGGATTGGGATAACCAGGGATCCAAATTGGTAGACTTGTCTGAGGCGCAAGCTCATATAAAGCGGGTAGCCTTTTCCTCTCACATCGTCTCCTACATCGTCTCTTACATCGTCTCTTACATCGTCTCCTACAGCGTCTCCTACAACGTCTCCTACAACATCTCCCAAATCGTCTCCTATATCGTCTCTTACATCGTCTCCTACATCGTCTCCTACATCGTCTCCTACATCGTCTCCTACGTCGTCCCATCCTCACCTACGATAGAATGTTCCCTAAGTCTTAATGTGTAAATTGTGATTATGTGTGTGCAAAATAAATCACGGGTAACCCCGGTATACATTATTTAAGTGATTTGGTGGCAAATGCTCTTCAAATGTAAAGATATTCAAAATTAAAAAAGATACTCGGCGTGTAAAGAGGATTACTCGTAGTTACTCGGCGTGTAAAGAGGATTACTCGTAGTTACTCGGCGTGTAAAGAGGATTACTCGTAGTTACTCGGCGTGTAAAGGGGATTACGCGTAGTTACTCGGCGTGGAAAGAGGATTACTCGTAGTTACTCGGCGAAAAACGTCGATCGAGATCGATTAATCAAGTAAAAAATTACTCATGCAAATTTTACTCGAGGAATTCTTTACTCGGAAGGAACACACTCTATTCAGCATTAAAATCAACTCTTCACTCACTTTTGTTCCCTAGATTCAATCTGTGTCTCTCGAATTCGCAAGGTCGTCTCCAAATCAGCTTGAATTCTTTCACCACTTCCACCAACAGAATGCACGAGATCGCTAATTTGAGAGCTCAATCTGTCCACTTTTTCCACAACTCCAACAACATCTCTAAGAAATTTTGATTTTGTTTCTGATTTCGATTAAATACCGGCAACAACTGCATTACCTTGTCTGACTATTCGACGATTGTAAAGCCTCAATCTGTCGAGAATAATTCTCTCTCAATCTCTCCATGTCATTTTCGTTTTGCTCAGTCAATCGTTGGATTTGTTTCCTGAATCTCTATCTATTCCCTAAAATCCCCACTCAACTCACTGATATCCCTTTTCCATTTCTTCTCTATCAGAAAGCCACGATTTCTCTTTGTTCCCCAATTTCTCTCTCCATTCTTTTTCGAGATCTTCTTCATCTCTTTTCTTTCTTCTTGTCAAATCATCGATCTCTCGATTGAGTCGTTCTATTTCTTTCTCCAATCTAAAACAGTTTAATTTAAAAGATTTCCAATTCAAAGAGAGTTTGAAGAAGAAAAGAAGAAGAAAAGTCTGAACCTTTGAATCCTGAGAATTGATTCTGTATCAGATTGTGATGTTTGAGTGATGGGGACAGATGGAGTTTGTTGAGTTACAGGAGCTTCTTGAGACGTCGATGGCCCACCGAAGAGATCGGTCGATGTAGGTCTTGGCCTTCTGTAAGAAATAGTTGTAAATAGTTGTATTTCTCTTCCTTCTTCACTTTAAGCTCACTATTTCTTTGGTTAAGGTCTCCCTTAACCAAAGAAAATGGTAAACGAGACTTCTAAGTGATAACAATATTATTTATCCTGCCGTAATGACGGAAATTCGGCTCTGATGAGCAACCTTACTATCACAGCAGTTGGCAACGATAAATGAAAGATCTGAAGAGAATTTCCGGGGATAATTTAGAAGAAAAAAAGAATGCTATGTTTTTACAAGGAACAATAAAATGGATGAGCAACAAATAGAAATAGATTGGCAGGGTACAGTAGCAAAAAGACAGCTCGAATTTTGGCTATAATATTAGGTGTATCCTTTTCAATCATTTCCTTGGCATTCTAGCTTGATACTTTTTTATAACAAACTCGAGAGAAACCTTTGGCGATGGGTATTCGCCACAGTTATCCAGAAAGTCTTTTTGTTCTTTTTCGTACTACTGTTTAAAACCAACAAATGCACCAATTCAACTGTTTGTTTTATTAGAAAGGCCACTTATTTTTCTGCAAAATAACATTAAAACGGGTGTAAAATGTCTTATTTCTGACTTTTTTGGGAGCGTGGAGTCGGGTAGTCAAAAAGAGCGACGGCTCGATGATGCGGACACTTTAGCTTTAGAAAAGACACACTTTAGCTAAGGAAACCTCACTTGGTGTCAATAGATAAAAGATAGAGCATAAAAAGTTCGGTATATAGCCAAATTTTCAAAGAAATTGATTCATCCAATTTCTTCGTAGAGGTTTTTAAAGAATTTTGCGAAAAACACGTTTCCACTCTCAAATTTGCTTTTAAGTTTAGATTCACTTTGGCTAAGCTAGCTCTTCCTTTAGCCCTTCCTTTAGCCCTTCCTTCAGCTCTTCCTTTAGCTCTTCCTTTAGCTCTTCCTTCAGCTCTTCCTTTAGCTCTTCCTTTAGCTCTTCCTTTAGCTCTTCCCTCTTCCCTTACTTTTAAGTGAACCAAAATTGAACAAAAAACACTTTTATTTAGAGCAAACAATAGGTTATTTGGTGAATTTGTGATTTTTCAACCTGACCTTGTTGCCGGAGCTGGAGTGGTGGCCGATTCATTTCTTCTCCCTTCCGCTGTACTCTGTCTTGGCCCGGGATCTCCGAATAGTGAGTCAAGATTTGATCGACCCGTCTGAAATGAGTATTTAAATTGATTTTAGATGCTTAAATCTATGCAAAGAGATCAAAAGCTTGAACAAATAGATTCTTGTTTGTTCTGCATTCAGCTTTCAATTCTAAAGTCGACTGATTCCAATGCGTGACTCTATCTTCTTTCATTTCTGATTCAAAAAATGAAACTATAACTGAACTTGTAGCCTAGTGTTTTGCCTTTGATTTAAGCTTCAAGTTCACATTCCAGTTCACATTCAATTCAAACACTTTATCAGTTCAGAGACAGACTAGAGACAAACCGCTGCAGTGGAGGGGCGGGTTGGTTCGGCAAAAGTGACCGTTGATCGCTTTTGCTGTGGCTAAAAGGTGTACTTTTCAAAGAAAAGCTAGAAATTGTTTACTTTCGAATCTCCAAAAATATTATCCAAATTTCCTAGAGTTGGCTTAGGTCTGGATTCGGTTTTTCGACCAAACAGCTCTGATTCCAAGTCATCGAAGCCCTGAATCTTGTTTATTAGGGGAAGATACAGGGTGAAGTTTATTAGGGGAAGATACAGGGTGCGTCATAATTATTACAACAAGATACTCAAGGCATTGCACACCAAGACACCAAGTTTCACTGGAAGAAGATTTTTAAACAGAAATAGCTTTATTTAACAGTAACAAATAAGGAAACAAGAGATCATTCGATATGACCGCCTTTTGCCTTGATAACAGCCCTTAATCGGTTCGGATATGCCTCCACTGCGGCCCGAATGTCATCTTGAGGAGTCGCCTTCCATCCTTTGGTCAAAGACTTCTTCAAGGTCAAAGAGCAGACATTAGCCTCTAAGATTGCCCAAATGGAAAAGTCCATCACATTGAGATCCGGTGAGTTTGGAGGCCATTCATCCTTGGTGATCACTGAGGGAAAGTTGGCCACACACCAGTCCTGAACCGTCTTCTTCGTGTGAGCGGGAGGCAATTAGGCAAGAATAAAGAAGATAGAACGAAACACAACAAAAAAGGGGGCAAAAAAATAAGAAAGCTGTTTGGAAACTCTTGTTTGAACTCTTTGAACTCTTGTTGCAATCATTATGACGCACCCTGTAGACTCCAGAAATTAGAAATTAGACTCCAGAAAGTCTTTTCTTTTTTTTTAACTCACCCCTAACAAATCCAATGGATCATTTGACATAATATAAATGAAAATATAATAATATTTAGCTAATTATATCATTTGATATTGGCTAAAAGGGCCTGGGGAAATCCCAAGGCTTCAGACAAATTTCGTGTGGTGTTTGGTGTCCATGGTAACACGTTCTATTCTTTTCGCGCACACACATAACTATCGAACTTCGATACAGAAAAGATATTCAGTTTAGGATTGAAATAAGAAATAAGAATACTGAATTGAAAAGAGAAATTAACCAAAAGAAAAATGAAGCAAAAAGGAATGAAGCAAAAAAAAGAAAAAAAACGTATTCTTTGTTATTCAACTTGCTTCTAAACCTATTTAACTTGTTAACTAAACCTATTTAACTATTTAACTTGTTATTCAACGTATTCAACTTGCTCTAAACCTCTTATAAACTAATGAAAAGAATAAAAACACAAACTTTTGAACAAAGCTAGAACAAAGCATTTTTGCTAGTTTGCTAGCATTTTTGTTAGTTTAAAAGCGAGTTTTTTAATAGATTTTAAAGTTACAATATCAATTTTAAAGTTAAATTAACAATTTTAAGGTTAAATTATCAATTTTAAGGTTAAATTATCAATTTTAAAGTTAAATTATCAATTTTAAAGTTATATTATCAATTTTAAAGTTAAATTATGAATTTTAAAGTTATATTATCAATTTTAAAGTAACATTATTGAATTTTAAAGATACATTATGAATTTTAAAGTTATATTATCAATTTTAAAGTTAAATTATCAATTTTAAAGTTAAATTATCAATTTTAAAGTTACAATATCAATTTTAAAGTTACATTATCAAATTTTAAAGTTAAACTAGACATTTTTTGAGGCTTAGAAGCGAAATGAATCATTTGGAACAACAAGAAACGATATTTTTGTTCAATCAAAGAGAAACATCTCCTAATTTCCTTTTTTTCTTTTTAAATCTTTATAAAATTGTCCTTTATTCTTTGAAAAACACCAGATTTTTGCCCCTTTTCCCCCCTGAAATCATTGCTCTTTATGTAGTTTGTCTTTTATCACAAACCAGCATGTAATACCGGAGATGAGAGACGAGCCTATAAAAAGCAAGACTTGTACTTGCAAAATGGACGTGCACAGAATGAAAATCGTTTACATTCTTGTTGTAATTGTTGCCTATTTTGCGAATCGATGGTATCGAACGCCGAATATTCCCGAACATTTACTCAATCATCCCGCGACTTTTGTCCCAAATCTGATTGAGGAGGATGCAGCAAAAGAACTATTGGAATTAGTCAAAGGAATGCACGAATTTCCAACCAATTTGAATGATTTGAATGTAAGTTATTGCTTTTTTGGAGCTTTTTCTGAAGGTTTTCATTATTTTAGTTCTATGACACTGTTTATGAGCATATTGGGGAAGCACAAAAGATCGAAAGCGATGGGAAATGCGCGGATCCGTTTTTGGTTCCAAACAAGGTAATTTTTTTGTGGAAAAAGCTTATTGAGATCAGAATTCATCGGTACATCAGTATTTTGAGAGATCTTTTACTTTCAGGACGGAAGTTTATGCATTTTGCCTGGGAGAATCGACGTGGCTAAGCACTTTATGAAGTACGGAGGAGTGGAAGGAAAGAAAGAGAAATTTGAGGTACGTTTTAGGGAACTCGGTATCCATTTAAGAGATCTATTGGGAAAACACCTTTTTGACATTCTAAGAAAGAGTCTTTTTCATTTCTACTTTATGGCATACAGTTTTCGAGTTCAAAGCTTGGGCATTTGGAAAAACGGCGACATATGAGCGAGGATTATTTGCCTGAGCCTAAGCCTAAGCCTAAGCCTAAGCCTAAGAAATCCTCACCAATACCGTCGAGGCGCCATTTTTCCAAAAATAATTGCACCAAGAAAAACAAAAACATAAACTGTATCCGAGATCGAAGGCTGATCTTGTGAACGAAAGCCTAGGGGGTTATCCACTAGGCTATCAACCCAATGTTTTGCCTGAGAGCAGAAATGCTTAAAAAGCTCCTCTCCTACCCTTGGAGAGGAGCTTTTAAAGCATCCGTTTTGACATCAAATTTTCGATTGAAGTTTTACACGCCTGGAAAGTCATTTATGAACATAGCCGACAACGAGAAACGACAATTTTGATTTCAGATTCGGATTCCTCATACCCGATTCTATAAAGTGTACTAGGTGTACTAGGTACTAGTGTACTAGTGTACTAGGTACTAGTGTACTAGTGTACTAGTGTACTAGGTACTAGTGTACTAGTGTACTAGTGTACTAGGTACTAGTGTACTAGTGTACTAGGTACTAGTGTACTAGTGTACTAGGTACTAGTGTACTAGTGTACTAGGTACTAGTGTACTAGTGTACTAGGTGTACTAGGTACTAGTGTACTAGGTGTACTAGTGTATTAGGTGTACTAGTGTACTATAAAGTGTTCTATAAAGGTACAAAGCTCACCTAGAGTTCGTGCCTTTCTCTAGTCAAATAAAATGAATCCAGTCTTCTTCAGGTAGCCGCATCTCGTTTATTATCGTTTGGCCGATATATCTTTGATCTCACTTCGTATCCAATCGTCGAAAAACTCTTCGCAAGTGAGAAATTCTTGCATGGAGCAAAGAGCACGTGTCCTCCTCATAAACAAATTCTCGATCCTTTCCAATTCAACTTCATCATACAGGTTTGAGAATTTAAAACTAGCAATTCATCTCTATTTTATAAATTCGATTTTAAATCTATTTTATTGGGTTGGTGAATTGAAAACAGCGGAATCCTAAAAGCGCGATTTTTCGACCGGATTTAACTGAGCAATGACGAAAAAGGCTTTTCACAAATATCTAATTGCACGTTTACTTATATGAGAGAATCACATAGAATCGATGGCTTTAGGCATATTTATTTGACTTGAAAATTCCTGGATCCAACTATTGGGTTGGTGAATTGAAAACAGCGGGACTTTGAACTAAAATTTATTCAACATAAAACCATGAATTCATTCCAAATAATCTCCATTATTATTGACGACTTCTGCCCATTTTACAGGCAATTTGCGGATTCCTCTTTCGTAGTAGGATTTTGGTTTGTGTGTGAGACAAGTGTGAGACTCAAAAATCGAGGACTGGAGATGTCAGCTGTCAGCCCAGTTTGAGCACTTTCTTCAAAAGAAACCCATTTTGGTGTCAATAGAAAAGTTGTAGAGAATCAAAAATTAGGCTTATAGCCAAATTTCCAAAAAGATACACTTAGTAGTTTCGCTTAAAATGCAAGTTTTGTGAAAATTCGTAAATTTGGCATTTCTTGAAAACCAGTTTTTGAATCGTTCTGAAAATTTGGATATAAGCTTGATTTTTGATTCTCTACAACTTTTCCATTGACACCAAAATGGGTTTCTTTTGAAGAAAGTGTTCAAACTGTCACATATGACAATAGCCCGCAGTTTTCAATTCACCAACTCAATAATTCTATTTTAATTCTATTTTAATTCTATTTTAAACCTATATTAAATCTATTTTAAATCTATTTTAAATCCAATAGTAAAGCGCTTGAGCTTTCAGGTTCCCGGCCAATCAGTTGCCCTTCATTTGGATGCGGTTTACTTCTTGCACGCTACTCGTTTTGAATACCCAATGTGGCTTCTTTCTGTGATGGCTCATTCTGGGCTTTACAAAGAAGAATTCATCGATCAAGTACAAGTATGTTAAAAACCACAAAACACAGTCAAATACTCAACTTATTCAATCAATCAACCAATCCAAGCAATCAATAACAATCAATCAATAAAATTTCAATACAGGTTGTCGGCTATGTTCATAAATGGGAAGACTCGCGAAGGGGTGGCAAATTTGTCTATTACTTGAAGTGAGTTTTGACTGTAACTGCAATTCTTGAACTTCTAAATTCTAACTTCTAACAAGAAACTTCTAAATTACAAAACCAATATAAAAGTTCACTGTTTTTCCAGTAAAATTCCAAAAAGCTTAATAGAAAAACACTATTTCAGCAACTCAATCAACGCCTATCAAGAGGAACCGCTGCCTAGAGCTGGATCGTTTGTTGATGGATCAAAGGTAAACATTATTGGGACTGGACTGGTTTACCTCTGGACTGGACTGGTTTACCTCAAAGGACTGGTTTACCTCAAAGGACTGGTTTACCTCAAAGGACTGGTTTACCTCAAAGGACTGGTTTACCTCAAAGGACTGGTTTACCTCAAAGGACTGGTTTACCTCAAAGGACTGGTTTACCAACCAATCCGACCGACCAATCCAAGCAATCAATAACAATACAGAAAGAAAGCCTATTGAAACCTTATCTTAAACTACCTAATGCCTACCTAATCAATTCTTAACATAACTTAACTTTTGCCTTCTCTCTCTTCTCTTCTTTCTTCCTTGTACTTCCTTCTTTCTCTTCTTTTTTCTCTTCTTCTTTCTCTTCTCCTTCTTCTTCTCCTTCCTCTTCTTCTTTCTCTTCTTCTTTCTCTTCTCCTTCCTCTTCTCCTTCCTCTTCTCCTTCCTCTTCTCCTTCTTCTTCTCCTTCCTCTTCTTCTTTCTCTTCTTCTTTCTCTTCTCCTTCCTCTTCTCCTTCCTCTTCTCCTTCTTCTTCTCCTTCCTCTTCTTCTTTCTCTTCTTCTTTCTCTTCTCCTTCCTCTTCTCCTTCCTCTTCTCCTTCCTCTTCTTCTTTCTCTTCTTCTTTCTCTTCTCCTTCCTCTTCTCCTTCCTCTTCTCCTTCCTCTTCTTCTTTCTTTTCTTCTTTCTCTTCTCCTTCCTCTTCTCCTTCCTCTTCTCCTTCCTCTTCTTCTTTCTTTTCTTCTTTCTCTTCTCCTTCCTCTTCTCCTTCCTCTTCTCCTTCCTCTTCTTCTTTCTTCATAAGAGTCCAAATAGCTCAGTGGTAGATCAATTGTCCGGTAAGCAAAAGATCGAGGATTCAAACCCCTCTCTGGAATCAACTTTTCTTCTTTTCAATCAATTCCAAAAACTTTTCTTTATTGTGTTCAGAAGAGCAATCCTATTCAGAGCTATTCAAGAGCATAACTCTTGAAAGTCAATGATCATTTGTGAAGTGACAATGCTGGTTAATGAAAGGAAATAATGAGTGAAGATTTGAAACAAATTCAGATTATCCACGCCGCCACAATCTACTATCCAGATCTGAAGCCTCCAATCATGGATAAGAGTGCCGAGAACAAACTTGTTTATCAGGGTCAAGATAAATGGACTGTTACATCAAATGGGAAAACGTTGAAGACGTAAGTTATGGTACTAATCGAAATATCAATTCAATTCATTTAAAGTTCCGGTAAAAATACCAATTGAATTCATTTACTGTCACCTCCAAAAAGTGCCCCTTCTTTGGAGGATTGTAACATTTTGTCTAGGCACCGTAAAAGCATATGCCATAGAGATTCTAAAAGCTCTTTTTTAGCTCTACAAGATGCGCTATCAGAATTTTAAGAATGCAAAAAATTTAAGTAGATTTTTAATGGCTTGAATCAGCGGTAAAATCTTTGTGCTTTTCAGAGCTTTTCAGAGCGAGTTTTCTCTATTGGAAACCCATCGAATCAATTTTAAACTGTGTTTTTTGAACAGAGCGCAAGAAATTGACCCTAGAAAGTGTTTTTCGGAATATTTTAACGTTTCTCACTAGATAAACAACGCCGAAATGGAAATCTCCGCCTTAAGAAGTCATGGAGCTCTGGGCTAACCACCAAATTCGTTAGACGTTTCTCGGACTGTTTTTTCGTGTTAATCAACCTTTTATTAGTGTTTTTTATTAGTGTTCGCATTCTTAAAAGTCTTTAATTGGAAAAATCGCTCTGAAAAGCTCTGGAAAGCACACAAATTTTACCGCTGATTCAAGCCATTAAAAATCTACTTAAATTTTTCGCATTCTTAAAAGTCTTTAAGTGCATCTTGTAGAGCTAAAAAAGAGCTTTTAGAATCTCTATGGCATATGCTTGTATGATGACTAGACAAAATGTTACAAGCCTCTAAAGAAGGGGCACTTTTTGGAGGGGATTTTTGATTCATCAACTTACTGTAATTCTAGATTCAAAACCGATGATCTCCGAATCACAATCGTTTATCGAGCTCGATGCTTCGAATCTGAAGAAAAGAAGGCGCAGTTCTCTCGAATTCGTGAGACAAAAGAAGACATTCGGCCAGTTGATGAAATTCTTGAGGACTTGAAAAAGGTAAACTAAAGATTACAAAAAAAAAACAGTTTGACTTTATTCAGGATCTGCACGAGACTCGTGGCTACTCAATGGAAAAACTGAATGCTTTCTCTCGATATGATCTTGGAATGATTCTTCTCGATGAATACATCAAATATCCCCTTCCTCCCCATGGCCTCATTCCTGTCAATTATTGTCTTGCTGATCGTTTTTATCCTTGGCTTAAGCCAATTTTGGATCGAATTTGTTAATGCTGTACTCATTTATTTTACGGGTTCTTGAATAAATATTTGTTATCTTCTTTTTATTCTTATTCATTTAGAATGACGGCTAGACGCAGCTCGACCAAGACCTAGACCAAGACCAAGAAGTACGGATATGCGCCAGCTCTCGGGATTCAGAGATCCTATACACGATAGGCGTTTGCATCTTAACGGCATCAAAATCTTTCACGGTCATTTTGTGGCAACTCCTTATAAATCCTATGGCAACTCCTATGGCTTGCTTTTTGAGAAATCACTGTGCAAACTTTTTCTACAAAACGAAGCATCAGCATGGAGGGAGACCTAAGACCAGAAGTCGGCAGAAGAAGACGAGCGGCCTGGACAGCACTAGGAAGCATCAAAGAAGTCACAAAGATACTCAAGAATCACCAGAGGACTCAGGCACACCTCTTCGACAGCACCGTCCTCCCGGCACTCTGCTACGGGACAGAGACCTGAGCCACGACACAGACCACCGAACGTGCCCTGAGAACGACGCATCGAGTCCTTGAAAGGAACCTCCTCGGGCACAATAAGAAGACACAGCTCTCATAGACCAAGACCAAGACCAAGACCTAAGAAGTACGGATATGCGCCAGCTCTCGGGACTCAGAGATCCAGTAGAAGTGATCAAGAGAAAAAGACTCAGATGGGCCGGCCACGTGGCCAGAAGAACAGACGACAGATGGACGATACGGCTCACAGAGTGGCTACCACGAGACCAGAAGAGGCCCATCGGAAGACCAGCAGCGAGGTGGAGCACACGAGTGGCAGAAACGGTCAGAGAAAGGATGGCTAGAGTGCAACCACCACCAGCACAAGCAAGTCGAAGATTTCGAACCAGGAGCAACCAAGATGGGAAACACTGGATGACAATAGCAAGAGATAGAGAAATATGGAAGCAGGTTGTGATCTGCGCAAAATAGGAACACCTAAGTGCGAAGACAGATCAAAAAAAATAATAGATAAGCAACTATTATCTAGATTATCCAAAAGCTACCGCAATATTCCGATCGATGAGCACGTTTTCCGCAAAATCGTCATCTTCTTCGCCGAATAGGTTGGACATCGTTTCACCTAACCAAATATAATAAAATTTATGTAAATTATATCTTGATATGTTTTGCTGTCGGCTTCAAAGTTCAGAAATAATTTGGTGTTCGAAGAAAAAGGAAAACGTTTCAGTTTAAAGAATATTTGCCGGTGAAATGAAGCTTCGGCTCCATTCAGACTATCGATTTAAAAGTAAATATAACCCGGTAAACCCTGTAGAGACCCTGTAAGTTGAAAGGTCAAAAATAATCATTTTCCGGAAAATGTGTTTCTCGTAAGAGCCGTGCTCGGGTTTTCCGTTAGAAAATACCGCCAATTAAATTTATATAAAGCTAACACAAAAGAACTCTTTTTGTTCGCCTTCTAGAGCTTCTGTTTTTCCTAAAACTTGCATTTCAGGCCATTTCAGGCCACAAACGGCGATTTTAGCTTTCGGTTTTAGGCCAACATCATCTCTCGTATTTTCCAATGCTTGAGCTTGTTTGGCTTCATGAGTTTCTTGCTGCCCCTGCGGACCGAGATCCTTGGGATGAATCCAAAAATTCACAGCGGCTCCCTTCAGCACCCTTTTACAGGCACTTGGGATCCCATCTCGACCGACGAAGAACTCGCCATAGTGGTCAAAATGAGCCGGAATTGGGTTGACCAATTCTACAACCGAGGTTAGTTTTGGGAAGCGGTGACCACATGGGGCAGACAACGGATTGGTTACCGGATGACCCAAAATGGACGCTTCCAATTTGAGGGTTGAAAAAGGAAGTATATCAGCGGGCGTCGTATGCCAGATCGAGCGCGATTGTGCTTCCTCACAGCGAACACACAGCTATCTTCGTTTTGCATTTTAAAGTTCAAAAACTTCAAATTTTTGGACAGAAGGATTGTACCCGGGGTTTTCGGGGTTGGGGAATCGATTGACATTGTAGAATGTTCGTTTTAATGTTTTTCTTGTAAAAAAACAATCTAAAGCAAAAACAAAACAATGGTTTCAACGCATTTCTCATTGAGGGATGGTTCTAATCTGAAAAATTTTTTGATTCTTCGTGACGTTCCAAATAAAATAAAACTTGACAGGTTTTTGACTTTAAATCCTCGTAGGATTGTTTTTAGACACTTTTAGATGAGATTTGATAAAATTTTAATAGTTTGGCGCTTAATTGAAATAAAAATTTGCGGAAAAAAGAAAAAAATGTAGCCATTTCATTGGGCTATAGCCTTATAGTGTTTTAATTTGACAAACCACCGTATGCTAGTTAAAAAACGTTGCTTTTTTTGTAAAAACTCAAAGAAGTGACCAGGGTGATCTGAATTCGGCTATTTTCTTTTCCAGTTTATGATCCCGGTTTCGTTTTCTCTTGAAAGATGGAACAAAATGGACTTCGCCAATCGATTCGTCGACCCCGAAAACCGCCGGGTACAAATTTTCAGAGCAGGCCAAAAAATCCTCTGAAAGAAGAAAACTTAACGTCTTTTCAAAGACTTAACGGGCCAAAGCTATACAGTTTTTCAAAGTATGCGAACTCTTCCAAAAGTTCTTTCCCTTTTTCGTTCAGCTCTTCGCCACTTCCTGTTTCCAGGAAGTGCCCAGAGTGCACCACGAGGAGGTGGCTGAGCTTCGCACTCCGCCACCCTGTAGTCCGAAGACTCTTGGGATCCGAGGTCCACGTCTGGTCCTTGGCGATGGCACCGATCCCGCAGCAAGAATGCTCAGCTTGCTAAGGTGCGCGCAGCGTAAGTAGGAGAATGCTCCGAAGTTACACTTTGTTGATACTAAAAGGGATTGATCTGATCCCCAGTCGGTTTAAGAACCTCACGGTTCCTCCAATGGGGTGTCCAAACTTCCGCCATCTAGACGACTGTCCAGTAGCGGACAGCTGACGGCAGCCGGAGCCCAAAGGGAGCATAATTGTAATCCGGTTACGAGCAACAGACCATTCTGCCTCCCTCCACGGGTGGCAGTGCGAAATAGTAGCGATTCCACGAACTTCAGCGGTATCCCTCACGGGAGACTGTGGTCTTTCCACAACATCCTTTCGGTCAACCTTTCGGTTTTTTGCTGCTCGGGGCTATTCGTACAATCGACCCGGGCCAGCCCATGACTCCGGGCGCCGCCTTCCATCACTGGGTTAGGCATCGACCAAGCAAGAGAAGCAAGCTTCTACAAACTCTGTCTCCAAAAATCGTTTATACTCGTACAACCAGATGGACCAATGTGCGAGTGGACACAAAGGCGAGAGAAGAGCGAAAAGGGTCCCCTATCTCTATCTTTAAAGGCCCTCTGCCAGAAAGTTCGCGATTGTGCGCGGGCACAAAGAGCACCAATCCCCTATTAAGCTATTTCGTTTTTTGACTGTTACTCAGCCATACTATGACGGATCGGGTTCATTGTGAGGTCAAAAGTTGCGCCTTTGCTTTCCTTCAAAGATTTATGCGATGCAAGTGTATGAAAATTCGTTAAATTTTGACAAAAACAAGGATGGCATGTAAGCCATTTATTTGGCCGAGTTCAAAAAGGGAAAAGTTTACAACAAGTGAAAAATTACTACAGATTTTAGGACCGAATTTTAGCCAATTCATCATATCATATTCAAACCTGTTTGCACCAGACAACGAGCGCTTACGCGGTCGCACAAAGGGCACTCTTTACAAAAGAATTCTTTGGTTCAGTAAACATTGCTCAGTTGAGATTTGAAGTTAAAAGTTTGTACTCAGGGGTTTTCGGGGTCGAGGAAGCGATTAGCGGGGTTTGTTGGTTGTATTTCCAAGCAAAATCTCTAATTTGTGCTGAGCTTGAGTCATTTGTCCCATATTTTGGATAAAAATAATTGACGTGGGGTATAACCCGTAAGAACTCTGAGTTTTGTGTCTGTTTTTAAACACTGTTCTGATTGTTCTGAAATTTTGGGAAACTATGTAATCGATGAAGCGTTTTATTTTAAAAAGTCTGCAATCACTCAAAAATATATTAGCTCATGAATGCTAGAAACCAGGATTTCGAACTCTTATATTAAAATGCCTGAAAAAGTTCTAAAATAAAACATTTTTAGAACACAATAGATTGCATCCCTCGACTTAAAAAGTTTTCCCCAAGCCTCGGCTATGATGGGCATTCTTGGAGAAACACGAAGAACCACTAGAAACAACGTAGATCACTCACTCGCAACTTGAAGATCTGTGAAAACGATTCAAGATTAGAACTAGATAGAACTATTAGGTTGTTCGGATATAAACGAGCGTTTGCACTGCTTAACTCGTGAGGAAGCCATTTCCCGCATTTGATCACCTTTCCAATGGAGATGCTCATCAATAGTAGAATTTGAACATAGAAACTGTTGAGCAAGCTCACGCGTCGTTTGACATGGATCCGATTGGAGCCATGGATGGAGCCGACTCCATTGCAGCCCTCAAAATATCGTTGTCTACCGCTTGAGGTAGACACGATATTCTTGACGAGAGTGTTCATGATCCTCGAGACTTTCATCACCATTCCGAAGCGTTGGAACCAGGCTCGGCCATTTCGATTCGTACAATACAATACAATTCAAATTGAAATCCGATCTCAAATTTTCATAATTGATTTGAGATTTTCTATATGATTAAAGTCTACAATTTTCTATTGGGTTGTTCAATTATGAATGCGCGTTTCTACTATTTTGTAAATTTCTCAAGACATCGAACAGATGTATATGAGTGTTGTATATCATTCGAAAGCTGAAGATCTCCTCTACATTTTGATATAAAAAGTTTTTGAATTTGTTCAGCTTTTGGGCAAATTGACTGCACAAAGGGAGAGGTCGTTTTCGAAATTTTCCATTCCAGCTTATGTTAATTGTAATGGTTCTTATTTCGATTAATAAAGTTTTGTTTGGATCAAGTTATGAGATTTTAAATACCGTATTTTCTCTAATAGTAGTGCGCCATGAGCGTCGCCTAAA